TCGCGTGTGTCTAATCATAAAGGAACCTGCCGCCACAGAAATATCATTTTCGGAAGCTAGAAAATAAGCAGCTACTTAAGCGGTTAGTAGAACGTAAAGTATGTTACCTGAGGCTAAATATATATTTTTCATTACACAAGGAAGTTTTTTTTCTAGACAGAAACTGTAAACTAATTCGTAAAAAAATTAAATTGCGTCTAGACTTTTAGCAATTTTCGAATTACATATGCCTGAAAGGTTTTCACATCCTTGAATGGCCTAAAATATTTTTCATTTCAGAAATTTTTGTGATTTTGCCCTGGGTTGAATTTGCAAAGTGACTCCACTGTTCAAGTGCCAATAATTATGTGCTAAATAAATAAGAAAAGTAGTGAGTTATTACTTTTATTGATATTCTCACATTTTAGCAAATCAATTTTTAATATTAATTTACAATGAATACATTTTAAACTGCTTTTAAAAATATTTATTATGAATAAGTTTTATTTAGAGTAACTTGCATCAACGGACAATAAAAAAACACTTTTCTTTAATGAATTCATTAATATCTGTATCAGCAAAAGCTACTTTAAAACTTTATTTATTTGATGTCGAATCAATCAAGCTTTTAAATATTAATTTTACTAATAAGTCTTGAAGTTTTGCTGAAATAAAACTCCAAAAATGAACATCTAAAGATTTAATATTTTTAATTATTTATTAAAGGGTCTTTTTAAAAGCTCTAAAAGCAATTGAGAAATTTTAATTGACTTAAACAATACTTATTACAATCCAAGCCATAATGGTTGAGTTGTATAAAAAGTTTCAACAGTAAAGAATAATTTACTTTCATCATTTGAATGCAGTTATGTTGGACCATGATTAAAAAGAAAAAAAGATATTTTTAAAATTATATGCAATAATATTCCATAAAAATAAACTAATAATATGTTTATCAACCGTATTTACATTGAGCAGAAGCTGAAACTCTTCATATGAGTAATAAACATGCAAAGTTGAGGTGGAATATAACAGCAGAGATGGAGATTATTTGCAGCAGTTGATTTTCTTGCGTGAATATGTAGTGTATACAAGCATCTGAAGAGGGAGAATACTAATCAGATTTGCATAAGCGTGGAGCTCTCGAGCAACTCTCAGTAGCCGATCACGTAAGTGTGCCATGGCCGTGTTGGTTTTGCGACTCACGGCAAAGGTCGTAAGTGCAGGGTTAAATTAACATTTGACCTTTTAATATACCGGAAAAGTGGTTTTTCCAACCATTTAATATTTTTCTTTCTTCACATTCTCAACTCTCTAAATATACATTTTGATTACCATTCATAATTAATATCAATAAAATTCACAAGTTGTCAATATAATTTTTCAGTTCAGGCCACTTTTATTTCTTAAATAATCTATTCTTATTTGTAAGAAAATAATTATTTAGTCGTTATCTAAAGCAAAAAAGAAATAATGACTGCAATTTTCCTTATGACTATGTATACATCCCATATAAGTTCAATAAAAAGACTAGAATGTAATAAGGAGTATTTTCAGTATTAAAAGTCTAGAATATTCGCCTTGCTGAAGCCTTAAATGTCATCAGTGATAGTCTACCGGTATAAATAATTGTTATTATCAAAGTGGCAGTGGCTTTGGTGGTTCTGGTGTGAGTCAGAGATCGAGAGGAGGCGGCCAGTTGTCTTATAATTTATAGATTGGAGTGTATCATGAGAAAAAAAATGCTGGAAAAATGAATACATCACCAGGATAAGAAATAAATCCATATTTAACCAACAAATTATTATCCAATTTCATGAATATTTTTTTTTAATTAATACTTTGATTATTTTATAGGTAAACAACTTTGGTTCCATTCATGACCAGACACCTACTCATTCATTTCATGGAGTTGAAGACAGCAAACTCATGTTTTTCCCAAGATTTAACTGCCACTTTATTCTTAACTTATCCCTTTTTATTTATAAGAAATGAATCATAGTATTTCTGTCATCATATTGGATCCATTCTGGTCTTCATTCGTATCATGTTGAGCAAGTATTATTGTTTTATTTAATTTTATGATCAATAATGACTTTTGTCACTGGATAAATTGAAATAACTTTATCTGATTAATTTAGATTAAATGATTAAGAATTAATTTAAATCAGTTCTAATTGATTACCATGATCAGATCAATAAATTACCATCACCTAGATGTTGGTCCTTCAACAAAAAGTATCTAACAATTGAATAGAATATTTTCCATTTTAAAGTAAAAGATATTTCAGTTTAAAAAGCAATAAATTTTCTCTATTCATGTTCATTTTGAATATTTAATAAAAATTTATATATGTTTTTGTTTTGATCTTCCTGTCTCATATATTGTTGAATATGTCCTATCTATCTTTCACTGACCCCCCAGAAACGAATTTTTATGTCTGCTCTTGCTTCAGTAATTTTCTTCATTGACATCTCTAACCAAAAACCTAGTTAATAATAGATACTTGACAAATTATAAGAATTACCATAGATGACCAATTAATTTTGACCACAACAGTAAATAATTCTCTATCAATAATCTTGATAGTCATAAGAAAAGATTTCCCGGAAATGAAGATCGAATCCAAGGTGTCTAGATTCTTTGGGATGCTTGATGGGAACCTCAGCGCCTCTGTATTCACATATTATGGTAACAATTAGGTGAAAGGCGCTCCCACAAGTCTTCTGTGGTGTATTATAACAGATTAGAACTACTTCTAGTTCTGCGTGTTGAAGATTGAAAAGAGAGAGGTATATCCTATAAGAGAGTAAGAGGAAGAAGAAGAAGAAAAAGTATAAGAAGAAGAAAGAACGACTGGATCATTTAATATTATACCTACCGTGTGTCTAAGTGTTGTTGTATAGCAGTTACTACATCATGAGCCAGCAGCAGGCGCGGGTGAGACCAGCTAGAGAGCAAAACACACCTCGTGTTCGCCCAAGGCAGACTAATCTTCAGCTTTGATCCAACCATCATCAGCAGTAACCTTTAGGACACCTTTTCAATCCCACCTTTTGCTTGTTCTCCTGTTACTTTAACTATAAACATTTATGAGAAATGGATAAATTCATCGAGAGGGAAATTTGTCAAAAAAATCATTAATTTATATGTAGATTATACTTGATATTTATACTCTTTCAAAGATTTCATAAACAGATGTTATATAAAATTTTCCTTATATTTTTATCTAGCTTTTAACGCCAACTTATATTTTTATCTATAAAAGGATAAGAAAGATAAGTGATATGATGATCGATTATCTACAAATATGATTGATTAAATAATAATTATTTATTACAATTACTTATAATAAATATTCCTGTCTGTATCCTTGACGGCACAAGTAGCTTCAAGGATTTTCGATAAGAGAAATGGTTTTTTTTTTTATGTGACTACTGATAGATAAAAGACATTTCAGAATAATTTACAACGTGATTTGATTTCCAATCCTTTCAAGGATATAACAGTATTGTATAAAAATAAATAAATTTACGTCATGATTAAAACTATTATCTTATATTTACACACAAGTTGAACTTCTAATAAATATTTATTTATTTCATTTTAAATATTATATTGAAAAAAAAAGACACAACAAATGCTGCTTTAATTAATAAAAGATTTATCATTAATTCCAAGAATTTGATCAATCATATACTACTTTACATGATCAATTCCCACTTGCTAGTATGTTCCAGGTCTATTGATGATAAAAAAAGGTAATTTTCAAATGAATAATGGGGTTGAGTATGATGTCCTTCTTGACTTTTTATGCTAATATATGCAAATAGCACCATTAAATAATTAAGTAAATTAGATTGTCTTTACACAAAAGGTAAACTCTTCCGTAGTGAAAGTCAGTGGCAGTAGGATTATTAACACGGATTACTGTTGATTTTTATATTAGTCAGACATACTACAAGTGTGCTGACTATTGCATTTGAAGTTCACTAGATGCCCGCGGAGGTGAGAGTCCATGGGAAGCTTCTGCCCGCTACTTGAACAGCCCGCACGAGTTTCTATTCCTAGATGTAAACTTGGACGTGTATTCTTGACTTATATTAGCTTAGCAGTAACTAGCAATGTACGTAGGTGCATATAAACACATCACCTTCATCCATTAGATTTAGATATATGCAACAACGGTGACTCTCTGGGTGACTCTACGCGGATATGCCACTGCCGCTGCCGCCAACTTGTATCAGAGCTGGAAAAATTATTACCTTGCTTTTAGTACTCACCATTTGAGAATCGTGAGAGAGATGTACTTGTATATATGCTTCTTGAATAATATATGTCTATATATATAGATATGTACTTGAAACAAAATTTTTTTTCTCGCTTACTTATTGGCAATTTACACTCTTTCGATATATTCTCTGCTTAATGCATTTATGACTGGATTATAAATAATCAAGATTTTACGAGAAGTTCATAGCTTCTAGTCTTACCTACTTACGAACACCCACGTTGAGTAATAAAATAATCATAACCATCCATTCTTTTGGTCTTTGAAAATTATTCTCTTCAGATACAATGAAGTATTTTAAATTATTTATATGTTACTCTGAACAGAAAGCTATTAATGTAGTTTGTTACATAACATCTGAGCCCAGGTGAGTTTGATCCAATCCAAGTTACAGCTTCAATATCTTTTTGCTCCAAAAACTAAGAATCAAGTTATTTATTGATCCATGGATCAACGACTTCTCTTTTTAAATGTATTCCAAAGTGTAATAGATTATTAAAAAACTTAATGTTAAAATGAGAGTTGGATATGAATGAGTAATTAAAAATATTATCTTAAATAAAAATAATGGAGTGGAGAAGAAAAAAAAAATCCAAAAGTTAATTTACAACTGATGATTTATTTGCAAACCATTTTCACGGTTTATATGAATAATTATTAATGACAGAACAATTGTTTACAATTGATAATTGTACATATAATAATTATCATTTAAAAATATATTTATGATAAAAACATAAAAGCAGAATTGCACGACTTATGTATTATAAAAATTATAACAATTGTAATCTATAAGCTTGTTAACGCATTTATTTGATAATTTTTTTTTTCGGTCATTTTACTTCCAATAAAATATTTATATTTATAATAGTGAAAATGATTAGGAATTATTATTATACATATAAATTGTATCACTCCTAAGTACTAGGTACAAAGAGGGTGGGCATATAATACTCAGGCTTGTGAAAAAAATTAATTATAATTATAATAATTAATAAAATAAAAATATATGATTAAGTATTCTGTTTCAGAATGACTATCTATTTTGATAATATCTATATAATAATATAATTATTTTTATATTGTAATTCATCATATTATTTATACTTTAAACTTATTCTATAAATAATTAAAATAATTATTAAAACACATTATTATAAAGCTATTTACAAAGCACGACTGCAGTCTCATTTTTTTATCATTTTTTCTTCTCAGTTTATTCTGATCATATTTTACTGTTTATTATATTACTATGAGAAATATTTGATTTTATTATTCACTTTATTAATCATTTTATTATTATTTCATTCGCCAGTCCTTATACGACTTGTCAAGTAATAAATTTTCATTTTATGTACTGTTTATTGTTATTGAAAAATTATTGCTTTTATTACTATAATTCGATAGAATAATTTTAAAAAACGGCTGAAATGCTATCTCGATTAATCGAGTTGCTACAACCAAATATAATAATTTTGTTTTTTTTTTCTTTACAATTCCTTTAGTACATTTTTACATCTTACTGATTTTTCAATACATCAATATATTGAATATAGAAGACATAATTAATTTTTATTGTTATTTCTTTCAACATTTTTTGCTTCGATTTCAATAAAAAAAAACGAAAATCAATCACATTCACAAACAATACAACACGTCTGACCTCAAATTACTTTTTTCACTAGACCAAAATACATTAAAGATACCAAACATTCATTGTGTAGTTACCTTGAAATAATAATCAATAAATAATATAAAAGAAAAAAAGAATGTATAATATACAATAACCCTAAATTTTTGTCGACTTTTTGTTAAAATTCAATGTCATTAATAAATTTTTTTTTATAAATAAAAATATATGTACTTTACCAAACGACAATGACCAACATGGAACGGATCTCTCTTGTGTAAATTAAAATGCAATTAGTCATATATGCCATTCCAATCAATCGATTTCGATTGGAAGGGTACATAAATGTAGGCAGAAATTGAAGTGACAACGGACTTGCTGTTTACCCGCTGGAAACTGAACCGTAGGTCCCATATGCTGAGACCACCATGTTGAACATGGTGATTTTCAGAGCCCACCAAAGTCGCCTATTTAGAAATGATAGAAGAACTAAACGTCTTCTATTCATGAATTGACATTACAAAATGAAAATAATTTTTCTCACAAAAAAAAAAGAAATTCATGTAAAACCAGAATTAATCCAAATAAAATATCAATAAATACTAATAAATAAAACTGATAAATTACTATTGATTTGGATTTTGAAAGCTCAACCTAATTTTGAATGCACAATAAATAATAAAACATAATAGTTTTAATAATATATAAAATAATGAATCATAAAAATCAACTGATTAATTTATAACGATCTTACATTGATTGTAAGTCCTAGTAGATGATGCATAAGCCTCAATAACCAGTGTTGATGATTCGTAACTTAAGAGCGGGTTTGATGTCGCCTGAGGCCTGGGCGTGGTCCACAGTAGCCGTTCATTGCTACACTTTAGTAGCAGCCTCTTGTCTGCTGAACAGATAGTTATTACGTAGTCCAATTTAAGACATCTGCCTGAAGGAATCCGCGAGCAAGACTTGAATGTATCAAGTCCTGATGACATTGAGTTCATTATTGTCGTAGTAACTTGACATCTGGAGATATTTTATTATTCCAATGATATGTTGGTGTTTTCCGTGATCCTTGTCCTTAAATAGTCCTTTGTCAAGTTGCCAGGAGAGATTGAAATGTGAAAACTTACAGTCCAAAAATGGAAAAAATGTGTTTCGGAGGTGAGTGAGGTAATGTCGACTGGTTCTCTCGGTCTTCTGGTCCATCATTTAGTCACATAAAGTCTTTTATGTCGTAGGTTAGGTGTTTCAAAGGGTTAGGTGATGGTTTTTTGCTTGTAAAATATAGAATCTACAGATAGGAAATATTCGTTTCGGCCTTATGGCTTCTAATACCTAGAGTAGCCATTCGAATAGCCGTTTGAGTAGCCGTTGGAACCCTTGTAGGGAACGGAGTGTATGCTCCTGGAACAGATATTGACCGAAATTTGGGAATGAGGATCGACTATTGAGTGACAGTAAGATTACAAAAGGAAGAAGTTGTTTTTTTCCTCCTTTATTAAGTATAAGTGTTTTAGACCAATTTGGCCTATTCTTCCATGCATTCGCAACTTCTTTTGTGTTAGTAGATTTTAGTTTGAGTGCCTTAAAGGCTCGGGATAATAATAAAAAAGAGTACATGCTGGGTGACAGACAACAGACGGTCTCATTTCCTTGAAGTTTTTCACTTTTACTTTTGTCTTCTTTTGTTTAGCGTGGGACAGATTTGAAGCAGAATATTTTAGGGATATTCTTTTTGAAAAAAAAAAAATAAAATAAAAAATAACTAAGGATTTAAAAAAGGAGGAATATGAAAAAGGTGGCGATGGAAACGGAAAATCATTATGTATGTAAATGTTTTTTGTTTTGTCTATTTTTCATATTTTGTTTTCGCTTTAATTTTTTTTTGTTTTTGTTGTTGTGTAAAGGTGCAGGGGGTTCAGAGCTCCCGCTCACCGCCACCCACATCTACAACAGAACAGAAAACAAGACCACCGCCGTTACATATACAAGGTATCCATTAGTATACGCCGTAAATCGAAGATTTATTTTCCATCCCTTTAAATCCGCGTTCAATTTACGCCTTCATATTATTTTCTACACAACAACTAACTCTCTTGTCTCGTTCTGGCCACTTTCAGGTCATTATTTATTATTTATGGTTATCTATTCGGCATAAAAATTACTCTTACTCTTTTAAGAACCCACTTAACTTCAATATCACCCATTCAATTATATCACTAATATTATTATCAATAAAAATTTCATTTAAATTTTACAATAAAATTACTGTCTCTATTTAAATCATTATGAATAGCTTTAATTAAAAACTATAATTCCACGGTTTAATTCAATAATTTATATAAAAAACCATTTTATTTAAGAAAATATTACGTTTTTAAATTGACCATTAATTAAGTAAACAAAATGAGCAAGACAAAGTGTAAAAAAGTTCAATTTGAAATATATAATGATTGTGTTTTAAATGAAGTAATCAGTTTATGTTAATATTTAAAAATAATTGACAATAAATAATCAGTTATTATTAATTAATAATTCATGCTAATATCATTCCACGAGACTTAAAAATAATTCATAAATACTATTTGATCATTGCTAAATTAAAATTAGATTAATTTATTAATTGAAAATGTTCGAACTTTAAACTCCATAATTCAGTAAGTAAAATTTATTGAAACTCGAATAAATAAATTAATGAGTGACATGGATTTATAGACATTATTTATTTGTTCTTTAAAGCTTTGTTATGGCCGACGGATACCAAAAATATTGACATAATATACGATTGAATCAAAAATTAACCATCTATCCCAATCATTTTTCAATTTATTACTATTGCGATTTGCAGTTTTGTAAAAAATTCAAAGTCATCCGACCGGTTTTAGCTGCGCATCTTACAGCGCAATATACTGGATCTTATCAATTTTTTTTTTTCCATTAGTCATACATTTATCGCCCTTTTTCACGTGTAAACAAGAAAAATTAATAAAAATAATCACACATAACCCGCATAAACACAATTGAATCAAATTGTCAGTTCATTTGTAGCCGATAACAGACTCGTAAATATTTTATTACCGGATATTACGGAGTCTAAAGTTCAATTTGACCTGAATGTCACCAAATAGATCCAACGGGTCTTAAAATAAATATTTTTCTACATCAAACACTAGTTTTTTTGTTTATTTATGAAGAACCGAAAGTCATGATAAAATAACGACGGAACAAATGTGTTACTGAAATGAACGCACAAAAGATTGTATTATAATATTTGGAATAACCTTTTTCAAGTGGGTAAATAATAATTTATTTAGATAACATGAAAAGTGCGTTAATCTCAAACACATTTGTTCCATATGAAATTGGTCAAAAGTGCACTGAAGCCATATCACAAAGAAGAAAATGAAAAAAAAAGAGTACCTGTGTTGTTTAAGGTTGTCTTGGCGTTTGAAGGACTTTCCGCAGACCTCGCAGGTGAAGGTCACATCGTCCTTATGACTACGCTCGTGTATCATGAGGTTGTAGGGTTTAGTGAAGCGCCGCTGGCAGTACTTGCAGACGAACTCGACGGTGCACTTGGCGCGCATCTTCTGCCGGCGGCCGAACTCCCTGCCGTGCCCCTCTGTCTCCATCGGCATTATCGCGAACATCCTTATAAATTCCCACCGCTCCTTCGCGCTCGAGACTGACTATACTTCTCCTCGATTGCCCGGGGTATCTCCCTCTCTCCAACAACGAACAGAGCACCTTCTCTCTTCTCCTCCCTTACTGAGTCCGAGTGATCTCACTCTCAACTCCAACTTCAAGGATCCGCAACAATTGGCTACCTGAGAAAACAAACCAAAAGATGAAGATCAATTGATGGTGTTAAAGATTCTTGTCAATTTGATATATTTATTTTAAACATAAAAAACACCATCAAAAAGACATGAAGAATTTTCTACGTAGTAGCTAACAGTGATCATTTTTGCCAGATTAGATTGCCGAAATTCTTTCGATGGGTCACCAATAAAAGTCTCTAGAGAATTCCGACAGACATCCAAGTGGATACATATATCCAAAGACCCACGAGACCCAAAGATGTACTGAAACACCTTTCCTATCAGATTGGAAGCTGGAATTTTGACTGGTGACATTTTCATCGGCGGCTTTTCAAACACTACTACTGATGGTCTACAGCCATCAGATGAAACAGTAAAACAAGAAATCATCTTTCAAATACACGAGTCTAAAATTAAGTGACACATTCTTTAACTTTAAATTAATCATAAATCAACAATTAAAAAACTCAATACTTTTCATTGATACCACTCGCGGTATTTCGTTTCATTTAGCTAGGAGTTGAATAAATAGAAGAAGATGAATAAATAAAAATATAAAGCTCTCGAGTCTTTTTGGTTAACAATCTCAAGACGTTGAGATTCTAATTGGGCAACTGTGTTACGCATGCTACTGTTGAGATTTCTTCTCCCTACTTCTTGTTCTTTTCACCAACGGAGTGCGTGCATCCGCTGGAGCGGATAAGAAGGGAGAGAAAGCAAGCGTGAGCACTCTTATAGCCAACCAAAGAACAGCTACTGTGCACCGCCCTACGCTAAAACCGAGCTACCGGTTTTAGACGGCTGGCTACCAAAGAGACCAACCGCCGTAGCCGCGGGAACCACACCTTCCCCACCTTGACACGTGAGTTGATTATGATGCCGAAAGGGCCTAATATAAATATACCTTGATAGTAATGTATAACATGACATGAGATGATGATAAAGAATTTATGACCGAAAACCCTTTTTAAATATTCATTTGTTATCAATTTTATTATATCCATGAAAAGATCACTGATCATTAAGATATTCAATTAAATCATTTCAACTTACATTTAATGATCAATGATGATTGATAGAAATGAACAAAAATGAATTGAATGAAAATAAAAATGAAATATTTGAGTAAAAATGATAACTCACCTTGGTAATAATTAATTGGAGTAATGAAAATATAATATCCGAAGTGTATTTTTGATAGAACTTGGTCGAATATTATTCACAATTAAATAAAGACTGTTGTAAGTATTAAGAAGAAAAGAACGTTAAAATATCAAAGCGGCTCTTCACAGGTCTGGTCTGGACCGTTTGGGTGCGCGGAGTAGACTGAACCTTCGACCAGGTCTGACGGGTCCGGTTGCTGCTGCTCTTCTGGCTTCCACGCAGCTTGGTACTTGGTAGCCCGAATATAGTAGACACCCGAAGACAGTAGACAGTTCCCGCGGTGTAATGCAGCACCGAAGCTCCTCTTGACTTCCTCGTCCTAAGAAAAGAAGTGAAGGAGAAGAAGGAGAAAGGGAGGAAGGAGGGACCAGGTGAACCTCCCTACCGAACTCGAGCGACTCCTTGGTGCCTTTCTCTCGTTTTCAGTTTTCTTATTCTGTCTGTCCTCCCTCACTAAACAGAGACACCAAATGGTGCTGGTGGTAGTGTTGGTGTGAAGGAAGTAGTAGCGCTTTTTTATCCTAACTCAGGGTCCTCGAATAGCAGCGCTTACTCACAAATCCATCTAGACGCAGCTTCTTGGTGCTCCCAAGCGGGGGCTCATCCAGAGGCCCCCACTGTAACCTTCTGAGCCCTTAGGTCCCGCCTCCTGTCACACAAGTCAAGCAGCATCCCTCACCCTCTTCTCTCTTCTTGATGTTTAATACATCACCATCACAAGAGGGTTCTCCTATCCCCTAACACGGGGGCGGTAACGTAAATAGACGTTACGGTGATATTCGTTAAGTAGCAATATACGCATAAGGAGAATAAAAAAAGCTATTTCTTCTAATTTTAGATGATGTCATTATTACCTGGAAAAAAGTGGTAAATGTTACACAGTGGTGATATGATTTTCGAAAAAGAAATAGTTAGTGAAATTTGAAGTCGAAAAAGCATTTGCAGACATGTAGTCTTCTCATGAGTCACTTTGTGATCGTTGTGTAGGAGTCGCTTCTTTGAATGAGAGAGTAAGGTAGATATCGCTGTGGTCGACGGATTATTATTATAAAGCAAGAGGAAAAGAGAAAGGCGAGGAGAGTGTAGAAGACGTGCGGAGGCCGTCAAGCAATGAGTTGCCGCAAGGGTTCCCAAGGCACGTGGGAAATGCACAGTAGTCCTACAGCGATTCCCCCACTATTATGTCCACGAGAAGAGTTGACTAAACTCCCCGGCAGCAGCTCAGCATCCAAAGGAATCAGATCAACTTGTTAGAGGTGGAAGCCACGCCCAGACATCGCGCACTGTTGGTTTCATTGGTGGAGTTGATCATTCGCTATCACCTCCTACATATCTAGAAGGAGAAGCCAACTTTGAAGAGGTGGTAGGTGATCACGTGGACCACGCTTTTGTGACTTGGACAAACTGTTGCGTTGATCCTATGGGGTGGAAAAGTAACATGCATGCATACATGCCTGAATCACGATGATACTATGACAATTCTCATGATGAAGATGATGATAATGATATTGGTGATGATGATGATGGTTTTGTGATGAAGCAGGATCATATTGTGCAAGAATATCAGGTCAGCCGCCATTTCTTCCCTCTGAATTACCACCCCCACATCCATAGACGTGACCAAGACGTCTCGTGTAATGAACCTCCTCTTGTATATATGAGAATCTTCCAGAAATTGCCCCAGGCTGCTTCTGACTTGGATCCTTGGGACTGATTTTCGTCACGGCCTCCTATCCACTCCTTCACCTCCCGCGATTCCTCGTCTTGGGTGTGGGATAAAAATGCGGTTTCCCTCAACGTCGACCGGCCAATTTATTCCGCGTGAGAAACTTTGATCTCTTCGAATCTTGCGCTTGTTAACGCACCAAAATCATTCATTTTTATTATCCAAATAACATTAAGTATTAGTTAAGAATAGATAGAATAAATTTTTCCTTACGTGTTATCATTTATATTTCTCCAATGAAGTCTTTATCTTCTAGCATATTTCTAGCAAATAACATTGTTGCTTATTTAATGTAGCAATTTTTATAACTACACTTTATATTATACTTATAAAAATCTTCAGTCATTGAAAGTATGTAACATCAGCTACCAATTATTTGATGTATTATCACATAAATGTTATCATAATACGCTGATAGTAATAACTACTTCAACAATGGAAACTTTTGACGTTCTTAGCAATTATATTACGATAATAACATACACAATATTATGACTTTTTTCCCAAGATCATTCAACTAAAATAAAATGATAGTGTTTATAGTTTATCAAGATTACGTTATTTTAAGAGAATTTAGAATCATAAATACCAGACAAGAGCCCAATTTTATTCATAAAGAGTAAATTTTTAATTTATCCTCAGTATCATCGCTTCAGATGAGCATAAAACATCACTGCTATAACGCCATTTTCAACCTTAATGAGCTACAATAAGATACCAAAGATAAAGACACAGATGAATTGACTCTGATGATGAACATTTTAACATATTTCACATATACGCATATGTATATTTACAACCTCACAAAATCATCAGTGACACATTTCATAGTTATTGAAGTGTCACGTGATAGAATATGACAAACGTATTCTATTTGGATTACATGCCATCACAGGTACCGCCATGTTTACTGGGCGGTGATAGAAGATCCCAGGAAACGGAAACTCTTGAAAACAAAGTCTCGACAAACAGACAAGAATATTGCTCCAGCAAATAATAAAATGAATATTATCAGCAAGTGACAAATATTGTCACATCCAAGACATCTTTGTTTCCTCTTCTTAAAATGGTGTCTGTCTTAATTTCTCTCGCACTTTCTTCATCATTATGTATAAAACTGTCGACTCATTTTTGCACTCCGATCATTTGTTCTTTGATTAAGCTAAAAAAAAATAGATTACTTTGTAAATTTTTAATTCAAACACTTGGGACACAGGGCTTATCAGCATCTACAAAAAGAAAAAGAAGCAGGAAACAGCGAAGAAGAAGAAGCAGAAAAGGTAGGCGGATCCCCTGTGGACATGGGAGACTTCTAAGACGATGATAATATCTATCCCCCGCGACGGGCGGCTTACATCAAAGAGTATATATACATTTTGCTGTCTCTTCTTTCTCTTCCATGTCTATACATATATTTCTTGTGTCTTCTATTCACACTGCAGAATATCATCACACAAGTCCTGAAAAGAGAAAAACTATGAATTTTTCATGAATAATGCTCTTTCACTACATAATCATCGTCATAAATTTTATATCTTTATATTTTAAATCCATTAAACATCAACTTCTTAAGTTTATCATGTATTCATCCAATACTAGATCAGCTATTTTTATCTGTTTATCAATCAACACCTATTATCATGGCAACTTTGTTTTCAATAAATTCCCGATTTCACGAACAATAAAAGATTATATAAGAAAAGGTAGTAAATATCACTTTGAAAAATGTTAAATTTTTTAATAGATAATAAAGCTACAAGAAGTTAGAAAATAAATGTCCCTGGGGTGGTCGCTATAAACTTATTGTATTTCAATATCTTCCCAGGTTGTGATCAGAGTCTGTAAAACTATTCTCTAAAAGCTAAGCAATTTTATTATTGAAGTTGAATAGAAAATTACTTGATTATTTGATTGAAAAATGATGAGAGCTGATTCTAACTCGAATCTAGAACGATGAGCTAGTTGTAACAGTATTGTCAATAGTTACAGCTGTTGGAATTCATGAGACAGCTATTCAAATAGCTCTTACAGGAATCTAAAAACAAAGCTGTCATAATGATTTTCTATTTTACCGTGTATGATTAATTGTTCGGAGTAAAACTGTTAAAGGAGGTTTTTTTTGAGGATGCTCATCATTGTGAAATTAGGATGTTAATAGAAAATATCGGAAATCAATTATCTGGCAGTCAATAATGATTTGAAGAAAAATAACAGTTTTGGCCTGACGGGACAGTAGCGCATCGAATTTGAAGAAACAAAACCCCGTCTTTTGGAGGCTGAAATGAAACTTGCTTTAAAGCAGATTATACTCATTCATGGGCTGAGTCTCTTGATGCTTTAGGCGAGGAAAAGGGAGTGAAGGAAACGCGTCAAAACAAACAGCAGTAACAACCAGCCTCTCATTCATCAGATTATTTTACGGTTCATTCAGTCTATTGTTTTTACGCCAATGACGTATTCAAATGACCTAATCAATAATTAACTCTATCAAGAATTAATTCAATTTCCAGAATTACAAATAAGAATGACAGTAACACGTGTTATTTACACATCTGAAATGTCAAATATAATTTCAAGATATAGTGACATACGCATTAAGTTTGAATAATATACGATAGTTGTAAAAACAACTAGAATTAAAAAAGTTTTTTAAAAATTATCAGAGAAGGTCATGAAGAAATGACGACTAATTGTAGCTCAGTTACCAATAATATTGTGCATTGAGAGCACTAATAATGTTACCCATATAATCACTTGCAGCTCAAGGATAAGTCACGATAATAAACTCAATGACAATATTGTATATACAAATGTCGTCATATTATGTGATTGAAATGACTTTGTTTTATGCAATAACTCGCTTATTTCCTCAATAATACATGGTTGAAATTTTCCAATTAACTCCAGTAATTCTGAAACATAATTATTTTATGTTACCATTTTATTCTGAAAACAGTTTATTTTAAAAATAAGATTAAGAACCTAATTCTTGATCATTTTTATTGAAATTAATGAAAATAAGTAAATAACTTTGGAATTTATGTGGCTTATTGTAGTTAATAGTTGTAGATTATTTCAACAGTTTGTACCACCTCATTCTTAAAGTATTATTTAAACCGGATTTACTAAAGAAAAGAGACATATGACACGCCCATGTTTGTCCTGGCTTTTGAGTTACGCCGAAATTTTTTTCACAGAAAAAGCCGCACAGTTGAACTAACTTATCGTAAAGTACTTGATGTTTTTTCTTTGTCATATGTGCACACACTTGACACACAATACAATAGTGATGAGATAGATATATAATGGCCTATATACATATAGAATTAAATTGAGGAAACACCAGTGAGTATATTCGTGTAAACGAAGCCACGCGGCTGTTTGGCATTTTTAAGCCTTAAATTTAGTAGAATGAGATAAAAATATTGAAAAAAAAGATGAATTTTGTAAACTGTATAAATAACTGATATAATCAGTATAATAATAACTATGAGCTAGCGATGCGTCATAAAAATCTCATAGATTTTTTAGAATAGTAAAAAATAACTACTCTTTATTTTATTTGTTATATATTTGTATCTTAAAATTCAAATAGTAATATATATTAGAAAGCAAATATCGATTTTTCAAATAAATATCATTTTTTTTCCTCTAATAACTAAATTAATTGATGAGAAGAATTAATAAATTCAAATAAATAAAAACTTCTGAATCAAAGGTGGTATTTAATACATATTCGAGAAATTTATAAAGAGAAAAAAGAGTGTGTTTTTGTGTATTCAAATATTCAAATAAATTTCTATTTAATATTGACGATAAATATAAAATACAAACTAATAAAGCTGTCACAGTAGTGAACAAAAAGCTAAAAAAAAGATGAAATTAATGATTTAATTATAAAAAAATTTGTTTTTTCTAATGATTCAGAACTAATGGCTTCCTGTATGTATTTTAGTGAGATGATAATCATACTGCATTTACATATTGGGATCCGTGTGAGATTTTAGAGGTAAGGCCTCGTTTTCTTCGCCCACGGCTTCCTATTTGCCCTATACTACCAGTGGGAGGTTATAGAGTCTATAATATCTATAGATTATAGAGGAAACAGACCTCCGCGTGCGGGTATGCCGTAACGATCGAAATAACGACCACTTTTCAGGTGTTGTCTCCTAGTAGTTTTAATAAAGTAGCCACTATCTTCTCACCTGGTAGTTTTACTTTGAAATTTTCTCTATCGGTTTTCTTCAACACCTATAGTAGTTTATGAACTGCATTCAATATACTGCAAATTTTTTTTCTTACACTTACCTCACGTTTATAATTTATTATCACACTAATTATGTGTAGATACTTGTTTGAGATCACGTATTTCTCTTTTTAATGGGAATTCCGAATGATTAAAATTAAATATTCCCTCATTGATAGACATAGTCTACAATGTAATTCTATTTCAGAGCACTCTGAAAAAATACACACATATTTTATTTACAAAATTAAAATAAATAATTGTAAAAAAATATTCATAAACTTATTTTATAAATTAGATGGAATATTATCTATTGTTGTTTATAAAATGTATTATAAATATATACAATTTTCTAAGACTTGTAAAATAAAATAAACTGCCAATTTATTATACATTGTATATAAAGACTACATGTAAAATGTTTACCTTTTGTAAATATAAATTTGAATATAAATTTCACGTAATTGTGCCATAGTAACTACCCTTTGGTCAAGTTATCTTATTAGTTTTATTTTTTTTCCATGTCATTTAGTCATTTATTAGTGTCTTAACTTACGAAGGGTTATGTTGAGTCGTATGATTTCTTAACAATTACGATATTACTTTCAATAAATCATTTATTTATATTCGATGGTAAATCGTTATTGTTACCGTTGAACACTTATTATTGTTATGGAACTGTAAAGCAATTGGCGTTCACCTACACGTCAAATCGATTAATGTTTCTCGTCGATCATTTCTTCTACTGATCCTCTACATCTTTTCATGCTTCAGCTGATTGTCAACACCAATGAATTTCGTTTTTATGTATCACCTATATTTATCATTTTATCATATTAATCACAACAAAAATACTCAAAATCTGATTTTATTCATTTAAAATGCTAAACTTTCTTTTTATTCAATTAATTAATTTATATATAAAATAAATTGTATTAATACCTTTCATAAGAATATAATTCAGTCCATTTATCATAATAAGATCATTATTTTTTCATTATCCATTGAAAAAATATTCCAATATTCTTTAATTAAATACTAAATTTAATGTGATTGTTCTATTTTATGTTCAAATAAACATTTAGGTGATCCTTTAATTTGTTTATTTAGTAGTACTGGATAATAATTGAAAGTATTAGGAATGTATACTTTCTACAATAATATTATTAGCTTGAAATCACTCATATAATTCTTATTTACCATTTTTTTTATTAAAATTAATTGTAAACAATAGCCCTTATTAGAATGACTGACGGTTATGAACAAGTGCTTTAAAATGATTCAGAAAGATATATGTAGTACCATCTGGTGACGAAAGTTTGCATAAAAATAGTATAATCTTTTATCGATAACTGATAAAACAGGAAATACTTTGTACAATATTCACAATTTTGTCATCTCATTTTACTAATTTCAAAAATATATTTATGTTAATTACTTTTATAATGTAAATAATAATCAATCATAATTAACAAATATACACACATAATGTATAATTAAAATAGTTGCCATGTATATTTCAACTGTATAAAAATGATAATGCAATATAATTTTATAAAATTTAACATCATATATTTGATTTGTATTATCTCAAGTTAATTATTAGGAATGACAGGTGCTGGACCGATTCCATCAGCCAATTGATGTACGGCTAAAGCTACTTCAGCAGCCAATTTGTTCACTGCTACTGCATCATCGCATTCAGCGTAAACTCTCACAATATCTTCTGTTCCGGATGGTCTAGAAGATTTGGTATTGAAAAATTGATTACTTAAAACAACTTGAAATTATTTAGAATGGTTACCTGATGAAAGCCCGTCCTTTGGAATACAATGAAACAAGACTATCAATTTTTTGTTGTAATCCTATGGGTGAAAGACACGTTCTTTCTGCATTTTCAGTTTTAATAATACTTCTATCCTTGACTTTTACTTTCAACTGCTTATTAGGTAAATCTGTATAAATCCGGTCAAACATTTCAACATTCCAATCCTTCTCATATAATATAGTCTCAACTAATAACATATCACTTAATGCATCACCAACAGATTGGTTAATCATGTCTATAATTCTGGAAAACTTTATTGTAGCTTTCCTTTTTTTCTCTGTAATTCTATTAATCATAAAAAAAACATTACATTTTTATAGTTTATGTTTATATCAAAATATATACGATGATTGATAAATACGTTTCGTCTTTAATAGCTGCATGGACCATATTAACGATTTCCTCCTTGAATACAACAGTCCCATGCCCATTAGCTTCAAAGTATACTCCAACGTCAAATTTTTGAGCCTCATGATGAAGATATTTAACGCCAGTACTTGTGAAAGATATAGGAACTTTCTAATAAGCAAGAATTTTTAATACGAATTAATAATAGCAACGTCACTTGAGCACAAATGAGTTCAATTTAAAATAGTAATTTCTATTTCTTTTTTCTTTTAATTTACCAAAATTTCTGAAACGTAATTAGTTGATGCACCGTTGGCATATGCAGTTTGAACCAATCCTAATTGAATCGAAAGTCCAGTCAACGGAAGTAGTTCTTTAAAATAAGTGATTATTAATGCAGCAATCTTATCACCATCCAGCAAATGAACCTTTTGAAATTGGTCGCTATAATAATAAATAATTCTATCAGCGTCTCCATCAATACTTATACATTTGAAATAAGGCTCAGTAGGGCTATTCAGAGGTAAAGTTTGATAAATTTTAACATAATCAGCTCCGCACTAAAAATATCGGTAAAAAAAAATAACAAGGTTCAACTAAGCTTAATTTAATTTTTTGCATACTTACTTTTGAATTTAAAACTCCACTTCCATCATTGAAAATATCAATGTTGATAGAGTTTTCGAGTTTCTCAGTAAATTTCCGAGCTGCAATAGCTCCAACGCCATTAGCAGCATCTAAATACAATTGACTTTGATATTGTTTCTTTTCTTGGGCATTCCGATTTCCAAGAAAAGCATTGCTTAATTTCGATATATATCCTTCGATTGTTGGATCACCATACTGATGATTTGTATTTATACATACTACAAGATAATGCAATTGGGGCGTTGTGATGATACCAAAGTCTCTAACATTTCCTTTCGAATTTTCTATTCCTTTAATAGCAGCTTCTAACAACATACTACCACTTTTTCTAGTATCTCTGCCAACGATAACCGTTGCTTCAGCATCCTCTTTAATATTGTAATGATTTATAGTTTCTCGCAACACATGAATCAATTCATCGTCACTCGCACTGACAAGATTATTGGCAATATTTTCCCATGCAGCTTCTAACATCTCACCAGATGGATCAACAAGTTTTACACCATTGTCAGATTCTTCATTGTGACTTGCTGTAATCATTAATCCAATTGCAGCAGCACAAAATTTTGATCGTATAGTTGCCAAAATACCCATTCGATATAAAACATAATTTAAATGCTCTGCTCTAAAAAAAATAATGACATATAAATATGTATTTTGAAAGATTATTTAAAAACTTATAAAGACGAAAATAATAATTGGGTAGTCTCCGGTATATACTAGAATGGAAACATATGAACTATCAATAATATAAATATTTACATATTAAATACAATCTAACATTTAGAATAATACAATTAAATACCTTGTCCGGAATCCAGCAGTTCCATATTGAATCTTATGTTGACAAGAATTCGAATAATATTTACGAGAAATATTATCAATCAACAAATAATCCATTTTTTTTCTGTTATTTAATGTATAATCATGTAAACTATATAAAACAATATATTATTATTAATTATAACAATAAGAAATATACTTTTATTCGTTTGTGACGAAAATAAACAATCACTAACTGTAATTTCGATTTGACAGGCCCAAAATAAGAGTCTTAGAAGAGAGGATTTCGGCGTATTTTCTGAAAAAGTTCTGTTTTACCAACAGAGCTGCAACCTCGGTTCATTTTAGTTTCTCTGGGTGCTTTTGGGATCAGATGGCGACACTTTTTCCAACAAAATTATTGGGCATGACATTCTCAACATTCTGTCTATGGTCTGTATTCTTTTATGAGAAAGTCGATACTATACGCTATAGCTTCAAAATTTTTGATATCTTCTATATTTTGTGAAAAATTTGCCGAGCTGTACGTATTATCTCGACGCGGAAATTGTGGATATAGATTGGTATGTAAAAAACTGCATAAATTTGTATTAGAGATTTTAATTTCAATTAATTGTTATATTATTAATATCAAGTTATGAACATTTATTAATCAACATTTACAACTTTTTCAAATCTGCAGTTAGTAAAGGAGCATCATAAAATTCATTGACGCTTACTCGAAAAAGTTATGTTCACTAGAAGCAGAGGTGGATCTCAAAGTTATGGAGCAGGTAAATTAATTATTTTATCTTAGAAATTAAAATACAATCGATGTCAAATTCACTGGAATGAAATATACTATAAAATTGACATCTTGTACATTTTTATTCAATCAATTTTATTGATTTATATACTTAATCTATTCTCCTTTTAATACTATTATATATATTGATTATTCTGTCATTTCTTCAGGCCGAGGGTCAAACAACCCGGGATATCCAATGGGCACTAATGCGGTAAGCTTCCTTGTGAATACGTTTTATTCCGTTAATTTCTTCGTAATAGATACAATTTTTCTATTTTTTATCTAAATCATATCCATTAACGATTATTTTCTATGTAAAAATACATTGTTGTTCAAAAAGTTGACTAAACTATGTAAAAGTTACAAGTGGAATTACAGTTAATGAATTTATTTTAGAAGAAAATAGAAAAAGTTTCTAGCAGTAAACTGTTTGGATATACATAAGTAAATTTTGGTTAAAACTTGTGTGTATTATTAGCAATATTTTTTGAATTATTTGATTAGTTTTATCACTTATATTGAAATTATTGTTTATATACATATTTGATAAGATATTTCCAAACTACAATAGTGTATCCTGCTATGCTAATTGAAATAATTCTTTCGATAAAATACCCTAACAAGGTTTTTAAACTAGTATCAATATGCATGTGAAACTAATTAGAAAACTTTGACCTTTCCCTTTCCTGTTGCCTGGAAAGCAGGCTAAAGAAGCTATACAACAATACCGAGGACGTACATTTCGCCAGGGGCAAGTTCGTATTTTACCTACTTAGCATAAATTGTCATGGATAATTCCTCTATAATCCAAATATGTTGGAAAAAGTAATGTTTTTAATTGAAAATCAACTCATTATAAATTTATTAAAAACAAATAAATCTATTGGAGTTGAATTCTACAGTACAATTTAGAGGAATCAAACTTGGCAAGTTTAAGTTATGTAAGGTAAAAAGCACGATTTGCCACAAATTAAATAACGCGATGCTAGGCCCTGGTGGGGTAGTACAGCCGTAGAGGTTCCTTGTGTAGCAGCGACCCACCCTCTATTTTTCAGTATAATCAGCAGGGCAACTACCAATCGAAGCCAAGTGAAATACCAATGAATCAACAACAGAATATGAATCAACAAATGCAACCTGCTCAAAATAAACAACCGATCAATGAGCAAACTGGAGCACAAATACAAAATAAAACAATGTCTTCTGGACCAAATCAAGGACAACAGCAGCAACCACAAACACCGCGTCTTAAACCCATTCTCAAACAAAGTACACCAAATAACAATCAACCTACATCGACTCCACCTCAGTCATCACCTGTAACTGCTCCTACACCTACTGCTCCAGTCACTCCAGTTGCTCCAGTTGCTTCCACTGATAATACTGCTCCAGTTGTAGCTGATTCTAATGTACAAGATTCAAATGAAACAAAAGATGTTGAAATGACTACAATATCTGAAACAGACGGGCAACCTCGTTGGAAACGACTAAAAATACCTGGAGGTAAGCTTTTAATTAATTATTTAATATATATTATCGTTGGTATTATATTTATGATGATATTTCACTGCGCAAATTTGAAGATTCTCAGTTTTCAATAGATTGTTTTGAGTATTGTTGACTTGGCATTTGTTGAAACAACTGATGAGTCAATGTGAACTTATGATCTGATAGTTAAAATTTCTAGTTTTATTAAAACTGAAAAAAAATTTTATCATAAAAATCAATCAATTTCTTTAGTTAAGGTCAACAGAAAATTAAAACGTTTGAGAATGAATCAGCGCTTAAGAAAAACGTTGATGCCAAAAAATGCAATTATGGTCTTGAATGAAATGAAAGCTGGTGTTAGATTCAATTTGATAGAAAATCAATCACTACCAAACTCTATGTTCCTTGTTCACGCTGAGGTAATATATTAAACTCGACTTTATTATTTGTTTTTTTTTTTTTACATTTATGTCATATATTGTTATTTGGTTGTCCGATGATTTTCATTTAGCTGGATGGTAAAACTTACGTTGGACAAGGACTATCAAAACCATTAGCCCGTCAAAATGCTGCTGAAAATGCTTTGAAGGGCCTATTATTAGAGAAAATGAATGCAGCATCAAAGAAAATGATTAAAATGGAAGAAGATAGTGATACGAATAGCCAAAATAACTCAATGAATAATGATGAAGATGGTGAGAGTACCAATATTCCTATTCAAACACCAATGGAAACCAATGCAGAGCCAGATGAAACTGATGAAATTCCTTGGAGTTCATTAGCAAGTTTTGCTTTGTATAAATTATTTCTTGAGTGGCAGAATCAAGGAACTGTAGTACCAATGCCTAGATCTGGTATTCAACAAGCAGCAAAATCAAAAGCGGAAACTCGAGTTGTATCTGAAAAGAAGTTACCACCAAATCCGTGGACAGTACATCCAGTTATGTTACTGAATCAAATGAGGCCTGGTTCAACTTATGTTGAAGTTAGTCGACGAGGAAACCCACCTAATACAGTTTTTACTTTATCAGTTGAAATTGATGGGCAGGCTTATTGTGGTGAAGGTAATAAAAAAGTCTATTTTATTTGTATAATATAAAAATTATTATTTCACAATTTATCTCTAAACAAAGTAATTTTGATTAAAATTATTATTTACTTTCAGCTAAAAATAAAAAAGATGCCAAAAAAATGGCAGCAAAGAATGCCCTCAAAGCTGTTTTTAATGTTGATTATCCTGAAGATAATCAAACAGAAATGAATACTTCACAAATACAGACATAAGTTTATATACGATTTCAATTATGACACTCTTATAACATATAAATTATTGATTATACGTATTATAGAAAGAATCTGATAACAATTTTACATTATTAGAAGCTTATGGTTGAACTTAACCATTATTTTTAAAAGGTTTTTTCTTTTGTTATTACATCACTTTTATTTAATTATTGACATAGAATATAGAATATAAAAAATAGCATTTATTGTATTTCTCACTTGTAATTATTGAATATTTTGATGAATGATTATACAAAAATATTTTTATGTTTGAAAGATAAAACTTCATTTAATTATTTCATAATTTGTATTAATTTTATATGTCTGTAATTACTGTATTTTATTGTATTATTCAACTTGTAGAATCTATTTTGGATTACAATTAAATATGAATAATAAATTCATACAATTGACAAAAATGAATTTTCAATGAAACTCATTAAATCATTTCTAACTGTTTAAATTAAATTACCGTGATCTTTACCCGTTGTACCGATGGGAATTGATATGTTTCCAGTTATTAAATGATAGAAATTTAATTAATTTTTCTTTTAAAATACACAACAAATCAATTTGTTGACAATAAAAAGTATTTTGTAGATAAATCAATAATTACAAATCCGATCACGATGCAACAATGAATCAACAAAATATTCATTTTTATTTTGTAAATAAGTAATAAAATTTATAAGCTCAACATTAATATGGATTCAATTTTATTAAACAAAAATTAGTTAGTTGAATGTTCAGATAGAAATTTTTTTAATAAATCCCAAGCCTTTTGCACTTGTTTGAGTGTTATTTCGTGACTCCAAAGTGTAGATAACACGACAGTGGCTTCATTTACTTGTTCAATATTGCTTGGTTGAGCTTTTATTCTTAGTTCTGCTTCTTCAACACTTAAATTATTCCTTTCTACTAATCTTTTTATAGCCTAAAAATGAATTAATTATTTTCCGTATTAACTCAATGAAATTGAAATTCTTTTTGAAAAGAGTTATAAATAATTGTATTTACTTCATTATGTGGAATAATACAAGTCCAAATTTCATGACAAATATGTTGCCATTTAGCTTGAATAAGAACAGCTGCCTCCATTATAATAATTTCTTTATTTTGAGCTTGCAGCTGTTGAACTTGATTCAAAGCAGTATCAAGAATTGCTGGCCAAACAGCTTGATTTAATTGGTCAAGTTTTTTCTGCAATAGAAATATGTAAGTATTGATATTGTATATTTTTTTGAATTGATGTTGACTAAGAATTATCATCTTAATTACTTTATCTTTAAAAACAATATCTCCTAAAGCTTTTCGATTTATTCGGCCGTCTTCAGTTAATATTTCATTACCAAAACATTGTACAACAAGATTGAAACATTTTTTACCAGGTTCGTACAATTCATGTGCTATTTTGTCACAGTATACTACTCCAGCACCAAGAGATTCTAGTTTTGCTGCTACAGAAGACTTTCCACTAGCTATACCACCTGTCAATCCAATAATATAAGGCCTCAACGGTTTTTTAGAGATATCCTGGTGTAAGAAAGAAACTATAAATATCTATAGTTGGAATATTTTAATTTGTAAATTACTTACTGGTGTTTTCAGTCTAGTACCAAGTAATCGTATTCTAGAATTGGATGAACTAATTTTTAATTCCTCATTTTCGTTACGATTAAAATTTTCAATTTCTTCGTGTACAAGTTTAACAACTTCAATATCTAAAATATTTAAGCCTTTTTGTGATCGTAATTCATTAATTTTTTGACCACCTCTCTGAGTTTCTTCACTGACTACAATCATTTCAAATGTAGGATCATACTGAGTAGGTCCATAAATGTCATTTATTGGTACAACATCATAACTCAAAGATGAATCTATGTCTTGAAGAAAGTTTTTTACTGCATCAATTCTTCGTTCACAAGGTTCTATCAATTCCCAAAGAATTTTATTAACAATTAACACACTGTCAGTTACACCAACGGTTACTTTTTCTGTAGCATGAAATACGGCTTTGGTTAATAAAATTTTATGACCATTATGAAGTCTATCAAATGTTCCACCTAAGACAACACTTTTGTAAGTTTTTAAGGCAGTTTGATTTTGTTCTTCTTGATATTGATCATCACTTGAATTGTCTATTTCATTATTAGTTGCAATTGATACAAAATTAGGAGATGGTTGTGAAGAATTTGTCACATGGTCTAGGATGAAAATTTTAGCATCATCATTGGTATATGCTTTGTCGAAAATGACTAGTTCAATAGGCTTTTTAGTCTCAATTATTGAATGATTCTTTTTAGAATTACAAATTAGTACTCTAACATCAACTTTAGGCAAAAATTTTGTTGCTAAAGCATATGTATTAGCTACTATTTGAAAATGCAAACTAGTACGGTTTTTATGTGGCAAATGAGAAGATATTAAATATTTATTCTTAGTAGCATCATTTTTTAACTCAGGAAGATATTTAATATATAAAATTTTTAAAACATGTTGTTTTTTAATTACCGGTAAAATTTTTCCAATTTTTAAAGGATTTGTCAAGACCAGTAAAGCAGTATTAGCCATTTTGTCATCATACACACACAATAACTGATTTGTGTATTAGAAGTCAACTGATTATCTTAATTATCCTACATGATACATGAATAATAAATAATCTGTTACACTTCATCAACTGACAGATTACACAATCACATGTATGACGACATATTGTTTTTTTCTGTTTTGTTTGCATTTGAAAAATATAGATGCGAAATAGCGGGAAATCGTTTTTATCGATTGACGATAGAAGTTTTTCAAACAGTCCTATTCAATTCAAAAACAGAGACTAGTGGTAGAAAAATTTTGCTGTGTAAAGAATAGTATAAATTTATAATTTTTATTATAGTGTTGAGCATAATAGGAAAGGCAATAATTTGTATCTAAAAAAATATATTATCATTCACAAGTTTTTATTTTCAAGTATAAATAATTGCAATCAAGAATAATCACGTTGAACGAGTATATCTGATAATATTAATTTTACATACATGTCTGATAAACAATTATTTCTTTTAATTCACGTAACTTAATTCTCATTAGATGATTAGATGTACGATTATCAATTCAATTATTACAAGATCTCTTATTAGTGGTTGATACAATTTTCGATTTTTTCATTAGTAGAATTAAAATCAACTGTTTACATACATCATATTATTTACAATTCACTCCAATGCCATTTTACCTGTTTTAAAATACTTATTTATTGGATTAATTACTGCAATTTTCCCAATCATCAATTTTTTTCTCAATTAAAATCAGTAAAAATGTTCTAATTTATCGATTTATGTGGTATACCTGTATGTATCTTTGATTGTTTTGAATCGGCAGCTTCAAAAAGAATATGGCAGTATACGATTTTGTTTAAAATTTGAGACAGTAGAGGTTTGGAATTTAATTGATTAAAAAACTATAACAGAACATTGTTCAGTAAGTAATAAAGTCATAAAAATGACTTGAATCATAGTTTTTTGTTCGCAGTATTAATTGAGAACTCTTTCTATATGCTGCTATTTAGTTACATAGATGTTCATTTACATTTTACTAGAGTTACAAATGTTCTTGAAAAATAAATGGCAGCCAGAAATAATTTTTTAAAATTTACTTCGTTGTGCATTCAGGCCTCTACTTATTAATGTAAAAACATTTATTTTTTATTTACTAGTATAGAAAATGAAGCAAGAATGCTTTCAAAAAATGATTGCCTCATTTATTAGTAAATATGATTAACAAATAAGCAATCTAAAAAAATGAGAAGTAGTAAAAAAGTAAACAAGTAAAGAGTATAAAAGAATGTATATAAGATACAATTTTTTAACAGCCAGACGTATCAAGTTAAAATCTATAAAAAAAAATGATTTCTAAAAAATTTGGATGACTTCTAATCTTAATTTAAAACAAAATCGAGATCTCAGATAGATTTTTTGAGAACTGTAAAAGATTATCAGAGCATCCTATTGGATTACATTCGTTAAGTAAATGTAGAAAATAATTCTGCACTACTCAATTCGTTTCTAGTTCTTTCAAAAGCTCATGATCAAGCTCATCTTTTACTCATTATTCGAGAAAAAAAATAAATAAATAAAATATAACTTTTTTTAGGATGGATGTCGATGTCGTCGAGTATTTCTATCGTTTCTATCCATGTGTCTCCAATTACTCTGCCAACTTCTACCCCGTCGATTCCACATGCTTGATAAAATAAACCAAAATATTAATTAATTACTGAATTCATTATTTATCCATAATATTTGTATAATCATAATAATAAATTATGACTTACTTTGATATTTTTTTACGTCTTTTATGGGGACTTCCAAGCTGTTCTTCACGAATTATCTGCAATGCTGATGGCATAAATATGTCATCTGTAAAAAAAACATTCCTGAATATCCAATTGACAAAAGCCTTCAAATAAATTGTTTCTTATGACCCATAAATATCATAATGCTTTAGAAAAAAATTCTATTATTAAATCAATATTATTAAAACAAGTTATTGTGGACTATTATCCAAAAATAAAGTCACAATAGATATATATTTTATATTGTAACGTTAAAATACACTTTTCAATGAGTATTTTCTCGTTTGTAAGAAAAAAAATGAAGTCATCTCAATAAATAGAATAGTTACCATAAGGAGCACCATTCTTTCTTTTTGTTAGAAATCGTTGATGTTGTTGAGTTTGAGGGGAAGTAATAGCTTCTCTTGCACTCCCCACTGTACAATCCCTAGCTCCTTTACATCCCTTCAAATGTTTCCAATTGATCATGAAGATAAGATCTTTCAGCAGGGGTCAGTGACGACAATTTATTCCGTTGTTCGAACGGATCAAGTCTCACGTTATAGAACGTAGCAATTCCCGTGGTGAATTCACAATATAGGAAATCATGAGTGACATTTATAGTTCGTACACAAGAATATGTATTATTATTAGCATTCATACAAAAGCAGAACGGTCCAGCGCTCCACATAGGTGCAGTTCTCCAATGATCATTATCATGCTCAAAGCAATTCATTTTTTCAGTAAGACATTCTTTTTCTAACTTGGCTTTTTTCTTCAACTTACGTTCCTTTTTTTTCAATCGTTCTTCCTTCAGTCTTTTTCTCTCTTCTTTGGCAATCTCCTTCTCATCCTTCTTTGGCTGATTGTCCGGTTCGCAGTAGCACTTGTGACGTGCTTCTAAAGGACTATTCGACAAAGGGGGAAGTCGTCCATTGTTACTTGTTGTTGCTATACTTCCTTGTTTATGCTTACGATCAGGTGGCTCTAAAATTGTTACATCAATCCGGGCAGGACCCAATCCAGTTCTATTTCTCGGTATTCGTAATGGTTTTTTTAATATTGTAGAAATAGGAGTTGTAGGTTTATTTGTTGAAATAGAACTTGATGATGGGGGCGTGTTTGATGTGATTGTCGTAGAAATGCTCGTAGAAGATTTTGGAGTTATTGTAGAAGTGACAGATTGAGTTGTTTTTATTATTTCTAATGTTGACTCCTTGTCAATAGCATCAGTAGATTGATTCAATGGATTCGATGAATTAGTTAAATTTATGTTTGAAACATTATCATTAATATTATTTGTCAAAACTGTATTATTTTTTACTCTGAGATGATGAATCTTCCGTCTCTTTGGCTTTTCTTCATCTTCTTCATGATTTTCTACGTTTTCTCTATTAATTTTCTGTCTTCGAGAACTTTTACGTTGTTTTAAAATTGTTGGGGCTGTCGTTCTCAGCCACTCAGTTGTCGAAATTTTTCCAAGAGTTGCTGATTCATACGTGGATTTATCAAATCCTTCAACTACAGAGTTCTCTGTGGTTAGTTCAGTAGTGCTAAAAGGGCTTGAAAACTTTACTTGAGTTGAAGAAGTTGTAGTAGTTGTAGCAGTTCCTGCAGTTTTCTCATGTTTTTTGTGGTGACGACCAGTATGATTTTTGAAGTAGTGATGAAGATGGTGATGGTGAGATTGTTCATGTCGGTGTGCAGCATCTGATTCTCCAAAATTTTCAGAAATGAAATGCGGTTTTTCATCCATTAAATGTTTACGAATTTCTTTCAAACTTTTCAATTGCATTCTCATCTCTCTAATTTGCTTTTCAATAGCTTTTCTAGAAAGTTTCCATTCATTAGGATCCAAATAAACAGATGTCGTACAATTAACTCCACCTTTAGGTAAAACCAAACATTTTGGAGCAGCTATCTCTGATCCATTTGAATGTTTTACTTGAGTTTCTTTCAAATCATCTAGTTCTTCTTCAATGCTTTCCATAATTTTTGTTACATGTTCTATGGTATCCTTTTTTGTCACATTCCGTCTCACTCTTCGATGTTCTTTCATTAAATTATCTACGTCAAAAGATCTTTTAACGATTTTATGAATCGTCAAATTTTTTCCAAGATCATTATAACGTTTTGTAGCACCTAAATCATCAATTTTATCTCGTAATATATCCAAAATAAGTTTTTCAAAAAATCGATTATTCTTTGGAGATATTGAATCTATGTCTAGCTCATTTGTATAAAAATTATTATATTGATTTATATGTTGATTAAACTGATTTTCATGTAATATTTCATCATTGAGATTCATTAATTCTTCAATAAAATCTTCATCGTCTTCTTCATCGATCTCTCTTCTATCTCGATTATCTTCCAGATCGACATCAAATTCATGTTCTCTATCAAAGTCTTTTCGAATATTTTCCTTTATTCTCTCTTCATCAACAGCACTTCTTTTTCCCCTTTTGTTGAAAAATCTATTTGAATTATCATAAAATCTGTGGTTTTCTCGAGGGAAATCGTTCGATTCGAGTCTTGTGTATACAACACCGTTCGGAGTAAAGCAAGCACATTTTCTGGATGATTTATGCACAGAAACAGGGGGCATCGATGTGTATTTGCACTTATATCGTCTCCAGCGGTGTCCTTCCTTTTCACACCGCCACTTTTGACCTGGTAAACAATTGGTCTGAGCCTCGGGCCTTGAGCACTCGTAAGCCAAACGTTCGTGTTTGGAATTCAAACTTAAAAAAGGATTCACGCCGTTGTCAAGGTGAATGTCAGAATCTGAAAAATACATTTAACTTTATTGAAGAATAAATTTACGAATTTATCTCTTAGTTTCTTTTCTATAGAAAACACTTTATTGTTGACTATTTCAACAAAACTCGATTGACAAATCAATTGTATACAACGAAACCACTGGAAATAATCAATGTATTGTATTGATCGTGTTATAGATTTAACGCTTGTTAAAATAACTCAAAATAAAGAAAAATATCTTTCAAATATCAGAAAAACTTTTATTATCTTAGACTAGTAAAAATATTTTCGTGAATTTATGGCATTTCAAAAAAAAAAAAAATTTATAGAAAAGAAATATAAGATGAGAAAAGATGAAGAATTTCAAGTCATTTACAAATGACTATCTTCTTCACTACTGAGAACAATACAAGTTTATTGAACCAGGTAGATTTTTAAAATCTTAAAACGTTTTGTTTCAAAATCATTAATTATGATTTTTTCATTATTTATTTTTGTAATGTGAATAATAAAAAGAGAACATAACAATCGATCAATATTTTATTATCTGTAAAAGCTTTGGTGGAATAATCGATCAAGCGTAGTCGACAGTGCTTTTAACGAGTAATTTGATTTTTAATAAAATATAGAAAAAAAAAAATACAGAATATAAACAAGCTTACGAAATTCTTTTTACGAAACAATTTACTGAAAGAAGAATATTTCTTACGAAAGAATAGATATTTAAATGTGACTTAGTTTTTGTGAGTAGATATAACAGAAATAAAAAAAATGTTTTGAAAAATTGTGCCACTCTAAATTTAAAGCAAAATAAAGGCGTTTAGTCTCTTTTGCGGATGTTGTATTTTATGATTGACTGTAAACTCGATGCAGACGTGATGTATGTATATATAATGTATTTTCGCTGTTCGCGGGATGAGTAACATCTGGCATGACAGGTCGAGTCATCATGCAATGTGCCAATTCAACGAACGGCATCTGTTACTGCTCGATTAATCGAAGTCAACCTAACTACCGGTACAACTATTCCGCAAACATTTAATCAACTAAAATAACATACTAGTTTCATCTCCAATCGAATCTTCAAAGTCCTCGTCCTCGGAAATGTCTTGGTCGCTTCCTGTATCATTTTCCAATATCCTATCGGTCTCAAATTCAGTATCACCGTCCATTGCTCCATTATCTGTTGTTGCATCAAGTAATTGCTTTGCTAGAGTTGCATTCTGACGCCTTGCTTCTCGAGCTTTAGCTTCGGCTATTGACTCCGGAGTCTCTCGACGACCAGATGACTCAATTAAAAACGTATCGGGCCACTTAAACTTGGTTCGACGTCCTTGCTTATTTCTAATGTATGAAAAAAGAATTAATATTAATCAAAATGGTTTATTAAAAATGAAATCAATTATTTTAAATGAAATTTTGGCAAATAAATCGTAGATGAAAAATAATACTTACGTTAAGAAAAGTTTTTTAAAAGATCTTCCATCCATTTGTGGTGGTGGTTCTATGCCCGCAATATCCAGAAATGTTGGCGCTAAATCAATGTTCAAAACAATTTCATCCACTCTGAAACATTATTTGAATATATTAATATTATTATAAAACATCTCAATAAATTTAAATTAACTCAAAATAAATTTTTTTACAAATAAAACTTGGAACAAGCTAATCTCGCTAATTTTTCACTTAAAAAACAATTATCACACTTGCCACGTATGTTTTAGGATAATATTAATTATTATGTGTGAATGATAAAAATACTGATTTCAATCTTCCAGCAAAATAAAAAAGTATATCTAGTTATATTTGACAGATACTCCAAAAATTTATTTCAATTTCGTTTCTTGAAGAGTGGATTACGTTTGAAAGTTAATGGGCAGATGATTTCGCTTCAGTAAATCTGTTCGTTATATTTTTTATTCATCTTTCTAGATAACGTTGAAGGCTTTATGTCGGCACTTTGCCAGAGAGAAAAGATAAATGGAATAGTGGTAGTAATAGTTAGAAGAAGGATATTCTGAAAGCCGGTTCAGAAGCGCAGCATGAAATTCGTCTGCCAAATTTTTTTTTTGTGTTTTTTATCCGATTCAGGAAGCAATGCTGTAGATTAAATTTTGTGTAACGATTTACCCGGAATAGAAGAAACTTTAAACTATTTCAGAAGTTTTTCAACATTCTCTATCCTTTCTTAAATTTTTCTTATGTACAAGTAAATCATCAGACCACAAATAGAATAATAGAACAAACGAAAATGTTTTAAAACAATAATCAATTAAAACAATAACACCATGAAGAATAAATGAACATAAAACATAGCTAAGTAAAGTAAAAAAAATAAAGAAAAAAAAAATACTATAGAAGTTAAAGGCAGCTTATTTGTAGAAGAAAGAGAAGTTCAAGTTAAACTTTAGCAGAATGAGAGAAGTAGAGATTTTAGAAATGAAGAACAGGTTAAACAGTGAGAGAATTAAGTAGATTTGAATAAGTGAAAGAGACAGAGAAGAAAAAGCACCCAAGAGGAAAAGCCTCGTTGATTTTCGACGAGTAGCGGGTGTGCTCGTTCCGCTCCTGTTCTTAGGGCAGCTGGCAAATTAATTTGGCTAAATTTAACTGCCAAAGCCCACCGACGAAACGACGCATAGCAAAGCCAAAACATTTTCAAAAAATAGCAAAGGTATTTGACAAATTTATGACATATCACTCTAAAGATCTGGTTAGTATCTCGTATAATTGCTGGTTTATGGTATAAATTAATTTTTTATTCATTATATTTATCTACTCTATTTAACCATAATAATTATTACCCTAATCTTTAAGTAATTACCTTAATAGTAATAGCTTTTTTTAAAGATCGTTTACAACTGGTAATTACATAATTTTTTGTCGTTTAAATTCTTCAGCTCATCACAAATTAATTACTTACACAGATCCAGGAGTAATTCCTGGTCCACGAATGAGACACGGCACTCTTACATCAAATTCAAATGGAAAACTTTTGCCTTTAATCAAACCAAATTGACCTAAATGATAGCCATGATCTGATGTATAAATAATGTAAGTGTTGTCAAGTTCTCCAAGATCCTTCAGCTCTTGATAGATCTGCAAGTTATACCGTTATCAAGAGTTATTAAGAGTGCGTCAATTAAAAACTCTTTAATCATTATTCATTTAATATGATGATGATAGGATTTTATGGATTCGAGAGAAAGTCATATAAAAGAAAAAATATTGTAAAAACTAACCCTTTCCACAGCAGCATCAACACTCTGAAGAGTCTGTAGTCTCTTTGTCATTAAGAGGTCAGTAAATTGTTTATGTATCGGTAACATCTTTTGGGTAACTTGAAGAATCCATTGTTTATCTGGATTTGGAGCGTAATCATAAGCAGGAGTGCTAAAAACGAAATATCGACTTATTGATTGCTACAACAATTATTTCGTTGGTTGAGTTTTAATTAGATTGATTCAGTTAATAAATATTTGACTATACTAAATTGCAAATAAGACATGAAATAAAAATAACTGAATTAATTTCTACGAAAAAATTGATTAATACACGAACGAGATTTATGAATACAGCGAAAATAAAATTTAAATTGGTGCAAAAACTGTGAGCAAAAAATTACTTGATAATTGAACTTTTTTTTTTTTTTAATAGCTGGCATTTCAACATGCAAAAGAAATAGTTAATTAAAATGATGCATCACTGAAGTATATATATGCATTTATGTCTTTTATTTAATCGATTACTTTTTCATTGCCGAATGAAATGACGGGTTGGTTAGAAAAAAAATTATGATGAAGACTCTATAGAGTCTAGACTCTAGAGTCCAGTTAGACGCTATCCGTAGACCGTAGACATGAGAATTGAAGTGAATATTTTTTTTCAAGGATTTTTTTTCCACAAGAGTCCTCTATCCAGACATTGGACAGCCTGTCTAGTCTAGCTATAATATAAGGTTCTTTGTCTACCCGCTTCAGTGATTTTCTCTTTCTCTCTTCCCGGAGACACGAGTCATTGTTGAAGGGAATTCACATAACATTTCACACTCACTGGTGGGTAGTGACGTTGAAGAAGAGGTGAGAAAATTGTGGCGCTGAATCCTCAGGTCCATGGGGTGCTGGAAAGCTTGCCACAAGCATCACCGGTTTCCTGGCAAAATTGTGCTTGCTCTGACGTAAAAACGCTACGCTGTCATTCGCTATCAGGTCTGGATAATAGTCTTTACTGTACTCGAAACCGTGCTTTATCTTCTTTCCGTTCATGTTGACGCTGTAGTTGTAATACCGTGAGTTCATTATAAGACCACCCCATTCACGCCATCCAGGGGGAATGTAGGAGCCATTATATTTGTTCAGATATTTACCAAAGTATCCTGGAATATAATGATAAACATGTTGAAAAATTCGACAAGTCTTTCTAGACTTACATTATACTATTGAAAATCATTCTCTGGAAATCTTTTATCAACGTTATTCTTTTCCTAGCACTTTACGATACATTGAATACAGTCAGCAACGTTCAATAAATCAATTACAACTTCCATAATAATAGATTGTATTTTTTCTTGAATAAAATTAAATTTTTTTATTAAAGTTAATTGTATTACTTTGAACCATCAATTAACATCTATAGATATTTAAATATTGACTGTTCATTCATTATGAAGTAAAAATGAAATAAACTCATATTGTTATGAATATTTGTCAAGCTGTAAATTCATTTCGCGTTATATTTCATGAGTTTTTAATGGGAGAAAGACCAACAATAAAGGCCGCACGTAACGAGACTGGTTGCTGCGTGTAATGAGTTACAAACTCGAGTGCTCTCTCTTCTTTAAGTGGATTTTTATCGCGCCTTCTCTTCCTTTTTCCTTGTCACCCTGAGGCCAATTTGGTCTCGTTCTTTGTAAATTTGTCTCGCTTTAACTACTCCAGACGAGACTTTTGACACTTCACTCGGCGCCAGTTTTGCACAAAAAATCATGATGAAATCAATGTCATATCACCTACATTTTCGGTTGAATATTCAAAAAAAAAAAAAAAAATAATAATAATAAATATATAAAAACCTGTTCGATAGCCAGCATTGCTTAAATAAGTAGCAAATGTATGTGGTTCATGATCTCGTTGCCATTGAGGACTGCTACAATTGTCATTGTTAGTAAAAACATGATGATTATGAACATAACGGCCAGTCAATAGTGAGCTTCTACTAGGACAACACATTGGAGTTGTAACATAAGCATGTCGTAACTCTGCTCCTTCATCTCGCAGCCGTCGTAAAGTTCTTGGCATAAAATTGAGTGAACCTATTAAACAATTAAGTTAAATATCCAATAAACAACCATAAAAATATAATTAATAAATATAATAAAATAGGTATCTATACTCATTAACTTCAAAATTACCAGAAGGAAATAATAATATAATTGTTTTTCATTATTATTTCAGTTTAGCGTGTACGAAAAAGCTGTAATTTTCTCGTTTTTACATTATTATAGGTTGTGCATGCGTGTACATTATACGAGTAGAACGAAATGAGAGGAAACACTTTACTTGTTACAATTAAGTTTGAAATTTTGCATGACTCAACAAAATAACTATTATCTTCTGTGTATATAAGTTCGAATGTATCAAACTATTTTTACGAAAAATTTCTTTCAACTCTTAACATTTTTCAACTTTTACACAGCATCTTGGAGATACCAAAACAAAATATTAAAAAAAAATTTTAATTCTATATAACTTTATTTATGCTAATATATTAATCATGCATAAAATTATAAAAAATGTACCAAGTTCTACATCTTGATCATCAGTGAGTATCAAGACAATGTTGGGTTTCCTTTCTCGGGTTTGCTGATAAGGCGACAAGAAAGGAGAGTTGATTTGTTCTTGTGAATTGTAGTTGGAATTATATTTCCCACGGTTTCGTTGTCCACCGAAGACGTCCTCGCCAGAGACATCATCACGTCTTGCACTAGATCCGAAGATCAGTGCTAGCAGCAACAGCTCAATTGCTGAGAGCAATATCCGCATCCTGCACGCACGAATGCTAATAAATTTCCTCACATCATCTCCCTAAGATTCTGTAATAGAAAAAAATCAATTACAGGATCAACTTGAAGGTCTAAGAAAAAGATTGGGGGGAATTGGATGGCTGAAAATGGCATTGGGACCCATAGAAGGGACGATTGTTGCAGTCCGTTGCAGGGTTCTTCAACGAGAAACGTCAGGTAAGGTACTTACGGGGACGAGAGGTGTCCGAACCGGTCGGCTGGCCAAGACAGACTGAGAAGAAGAGAAAAAAACGAGAGTGAAAGAAGGCATGACTGAAGAAAAGAGAGAGGAAAGAAGAGAAAGATAGGATTTTACAAGCATCTCAGCTGCATTCCACGTGCCTTATTCTCAGTACTTGTTTTTAGTAAATAAAATATAACTATTTGATCATGTTCCAAACTCTTTTCGTGGCCTTCACAAGTTATTGAACCAATTGTCCTTTAGAAATCAACTATTAATGGAATTTTGTTCATTGCTTCTTTTGGTAATACCACGAAGGCTATCAAAATTTCGATTACTTTTCTTCAATAAAATGTTATTGGTAATATTATAAACAGTTAGAAATTGAGCTGATTGCTCTATACATGAATAGGAAAAAAATTTCCTTTCTATTTTATTTTTCATTGGCAAGATCCGAGCTCGTTATTTTTAACCCATTTCTACTAAAAGTGTTTTCAATTTTTTTTCAAACTCATTAATCAGTTTATCAACAGCTAGCATTTATTTTTGGCAATTAATCGAATGGGAAAAATCGACATTTCGTTTTTAAAGTATGTACTAGTATTGATATATTTCCAATTGAATGTCTCAATTAAAGTAATAGATGGAAAGGTTGCTGAATTTCTTGCTGTTTTACTATCATTTAATTCAAGTTATATAATGTCACTACGAACACTTGATTAATTGTCAGTTGAATAAAACGTTGAAAAATTAGAAATTATTTTTAAAAAATCAATACCATCCCATATATAGGAGAATCTCGATATTTCCCCTCGGTTCGGAGATGTGTCGTAAAAACATAATGTACAATAAAGCAGTATTGCTCATATGAGACTTTAGAAAGGTTGGATATTCAATATCTTTGTACCACGTATTCATCCATTCTTCAATAAAATTTTAAATTCACTACGTTTATATATTTACATTATTATTTTATTGAAGACAGTTGAAGAAAATCAATCTTCTTTGATGGATAATCTTTGACATTATTGCAACTGTGAACGTTAATTTCTAGTTAATTCACTTTTAGAAAGGTTCATGTAAAGTTTGCTGCAAAAAAATCTCTCATAGTTATTTCAATAATCTTTCTTTTGAATTTATGATTCATGATTATATGAGAAGGCGAGAAAATTATTTTTCCATAAAGGCACTTCAGCTTTTCAGAAATTACATGAGTTTGCATTGATTATTGTTCTCTTGCTACATCGTCAATCTGTTTAATACAATAATAGCATAATTCAACAGTTATTACCTACTTATTTCGAATATGCAAGGTAACAGATTTTAAAATAAAAATAATCTGCAATGTAGAAAAAATGAGAATACTAATTGAGTATTACTACTTACTTTTTATATTATAAACCAATACTTGAGTTCATTGAATGTCTTCGTTAACGTTTTATATGATTTATCAGCAATTTCAACAATAAATGAAAAAATACTCCTTTACTGACAATTAAACGAAAAATTAACAGTTAATTGTAACAATTAGATATGAATGGCTATTTTATTTTTTTCCAACAATTAAAAGTCATTATAGCCATGAATTTAAGGTTAAACGTGTCTTACAATTATCCATTTTATTAAGATTGTTATTTATTTTATGTCATTAAAGCTCGTTATAAAATCTATGTTATTTTTATGTTTTATTACACCTTTTCAAACTATAATAAAATAAATGGTTTCCTAATGAATCATAATTCATTTTATTCGATTTACAACAGCTGTATAAAACATTTACTTGTACTTATAACCTTGACAGAAGTTGATTTATAAAAATTCTTGCAGTGTACATTCAAGCAAATGTAAAATAAAATAAAAATTATGTAATCTTCAATTGAATACCGGTGGGACTAAAACAAACAATAAACAATCGACAATAAGAGGGATCTACAATCGATACTCCAACGTGTTGTCGACTACTATAAGCGCCAAACATCAACGTTATAACGTTTGCTATTGTTTTAATCATTCAGGTCATGTTTCACTAGACATTCCTGAAGATAATACGTCATTTATCACTACATAAAAAACATAACGGTGTTGATATATTAAACATAAGGTTGATAAAAAAGATAATCATGGAAAAATAATTATATTGGATATCAATTGTTAATAAAAAGTCATTGACCGAGTCTGGCGCATTGCAGTCTTGAAGAATAGTTGATTCTACATAAACTGCCTAAAAAGACTTGATTTCATACACTTGGAAAGGAAAACGTTTAACTTATGAACTCGTTTTGGAGCAAAGAAACACATAAAAATCGATGCTACGTGTCCTGGAGAAGTATGCTACTTCAACTCTATATCTTTCTTGCTCTCTCGTGACTTGAAAACGGTGGACGCACGGATTCATAGGTTGTTCAACTACTCTTTCCGTTGCTCTCAAATACAAGTACGGATTATATATCGAAATTATCGATTATACCAACATTTTACGCATCAGCTGAAGAGTATCCTGAGAGTTGAACAAGTGTTCTTATTACCGTATGAGGAGATAGTAACCAGCAGGAAGATTACCATGAATATACATGAATATGTAAACAATGTGGAATGCATTGGTGCTTAAAACATATAGGTATTACTATATTTCCATTTCATGGCCAATTGACTTGCATGCAATGTTGGTTTGAATGACCTAATTTTACTTATCACGAGATCAACTGTTTCCTAAATAATATTTTGTAACAATATTGTTTGCAAGTACCTCACTATTTTTTATTTTCATTCGTCTAGTGAACTTACAGTAAAATACTTTTTCATCATCTAATCTCTCAAATATTCTATGTTGAAAAACATGAGATATACTCACCCGCCAATGTACACTCAGGGACAAGTTTTTTTAGTTGTTTTTACCTCTTAGGATTGATGTGGAGACACGAGAATTGACACTTAACACTTGATTATTTTTTTTTTATTTTTGTTAATTTCGTTTACTTTTGTTTCACAGTTATAACGTGCCATTAATTTTTTTATTTACTCAAGTTTATGGTAAATTATATTTACATTTACCATGAAAAATATCTTTTCAACCGGCAAACAAATACTTATGTACTATAAAAAAAAAACAAAATGATTGTGGGATAAAGTTTTTTTTAAATAATAAAATACGTCCAAAACAAATAACTGAATAACAATATAATTATTTATGTTATTAGATGAATTAAATAGATGTTTCAAAGTACGAAAGCTAGAACAGCACGTGGAGTTGAAGTGATGCTAGCTCGGCGAAATTACAGCCAAGCAAAACAACGATACGACCTCGTCGACGGCCGCGACGAAACTAAAGTTGTCTCAAAGTTCCAGAGAGTAGACTCAGCAGGCAGAAGAGGATTGGATGGAAACAGCTGCTCAACGCGTTGCATAGCAGCAGCGTAACGGTGGCAAATAAATCTGTGCAAAGGAAAGCGTGCGCGTTTACAAGCCTGGATGAGTTGGGGATAAAAGACTTTTTGCACTTCGCCACCTGCGAAGGTTCTTAGCGGAAGAGCCACAACTGTACTATTCGAGAGGGATAATCGAGGACGGTTAAGTTAAATTGTAAAATATGATCTTAAGTCTTAAGATATTTGGAAGGGTCGGTATAAGGTAAGCAACACCTGGAAAAAAGTACCTTGATTATTATTCTCTTCGCCTTTGGGTTATGCTTTAACAAGATCATTTATTCTAGAAGATTTCAACGAAAGTTCAAGCATTCTTATGTACTAGATAACTTGTCGAGAACAAGAGGGAGGCCTAATGTCATCAGGAAGATAAGGATTCAACGCAACTTGAGTGAGGAAATTACTCGGGAGAGAAAACGAATTCAGAATTGTAAAAGAGGGGACCTTTTATCACAATGAGAATCTGGTAGATTCAGCAAATTTATTGTACGACTTGATCTCTATTTGAAGGTGGCTCTGTTGAAATACAAAGATGTATTGAGAATACATTCGTCACCAAAATTGTTAAATCATTTTAGTGTTTATTGAATATTATTCATCTGTAAATTTCTTGCAAGCAAAGTGTATTAAACTGGAAACGATAATGCATGAGTGTCTGCTCTGAGAAGTGTTAGTACTACTGTTTCTATTCAAATTACTTTATTTGCATAAGTATACAGAATATTACTCTGAAATAAAATACGAAAATTTCTTTTTATTTCAATGGAACGTCAAGTTTCAAAAGAATTCATTTATGTTGAGTAATAAAAATCAAATTAGAATAAAGAGCATCTAAAAGAAGTTAATTATAGTAATCTTTATAAATGGACAATAGAATGCTATAACATTAAATCATGTAATAATTTGTTAACAATGATATAAATGGAGATTACAAGAATGATTATTATATTAATTAAAAAGCACTAAAATCATTCATGTCTTGGCTTAGAGTCAATTGATCTCCAGTTGATAGTATCAATTATACAGATACAGCTTCCGCATTCATCAAGATTTCAAAGCACTTTTGTTCAACATCAAAACGAAGAAGAAGAATAATAAGATAGAGGTGCAAGCGTGTTCCCGCATCCGCGTACGAGCAACTATGTCAAGCTGTTTGGCCTCTTCCTTTTCTTATTCTCTCTTCGCCTCGATCCCCGTTGACGCGACCACCAAGACGATCAAGAGGCTCCTGAACTCTGTTCGCGTCATGCATAATGCAGACATACGCGTTGGATACTCTTGTGAAAGTCACCAGCATCCCAGGTTTGTTCTCTCGCTTTCCGTGGGAACGATGTCTTAAGTCAATCACGATTGATGTTTCTTATTTATTTCTTTTTTCACATCTTTGAGAACTTACTGTACCGATGATTCTGTAGAAAGGATGATTCATCGCTTCTTAGAGGGTATTTCTGAGGAGAGTGATGAGCCGAGCCAAGTTAAGATGTGATAATTAATTTGTATCTATTACAGTCATGGCTAGAAAACCACCTCAGCAAGTTTAAATACTTTCGTATAATAAATGAACAACTTATGCTAGAACTTTTTGTAAAGACATCAATAAAATGTCCAGTATATGTCCTTGAATACAATGTAAACGTCTTGATAAATTTTTAATCATTTTTTTCCATACGAATTAAGCTTTCTCAATGGCAGCGTGTCTGGTACTTAAAAACAATTTTGATATTTCTAAGAGAGTTAAGTGATCCCAATTGAGTAATCATTATACTCCAATTAGAAAATTGATTTATTAAAAAGCATCATAAAACTCATCAGCACGTTATAAAATAAACCAAACAGAAATATAGCATTTCAATTTTAATTCGAGAAGAAAATCAAATAGTATGATTAGTCTAGTTCTTCGTATAAACGGGTTCGAAGAAATATATCAGTCAACAACTGGTGGTGTAAAACAATAGCTTTAAATTACCCACATTTAAGAAAAGCTTCAGTGGAAATAGTATATAAGAGTTAGGTGACTTCAAGAAGCTAATTCGGTCTTAAAATAAACTTCAATATTACAGGACTTACAGCTGAACGGACAGGAAGAAGCAAACGCAAATTCGAATACTCGTTTTCATCTTATATTTCAAGGATCACGTTACCTGACTCCTTTGTGTTGGTACAAGAATGCCGTCTAACTTGTGTCATGTCATGGGATGTTGTATTGAGCTAAGAGGATTTTGGCTGACAGTATATCTTATTTCCTCATCAAATTATCACCATAGACGACATATAATTCTCTAGACGAAGATACAATATATCCCGGATGGAACGATTACCCTTTCTTTAACGACCACGCGCGCCCTATCAAAGCCCACGCGTCACCCATTAGTACTAATCGACTCTTTAGACACTCCTTCAACAATCTGGACAATTCTTCAATCGCTGTCTTCATGTCGGCGCAATCACCAACGTTAAATTATCATTTCTATGCTGTTTGATAGTAAAGGCACAAAAAATGTAATTTAAAACTGGAAAACAAGTTAGTCGTAATTAAGAGTCAAATATTTTCTGTATATTATTGAAAACTTAATTTATCAATGTCTCTTTAAATGGATATAGAGCGTGATACATAAATTTAAGATTAAGACTTAATTCATTCAAAATTAGAAAACTCCGTACTAAATATAAAAATGGAAAAATATTTTTAGAATATCAAAATTGATCATTTATTGTGACATAATATAATTTCAGTAAATTTTGATGGTAGTTGATCTATATTTTTCCACCTCTGATTTTTTTACTTTATCACACAGCTATTAGTGATTACGTGTACCATAATCCTTATAATGTGTAAATGATTGATCGTCAGTCATGCAAGATAGTAATTTAGATACTCTTTTACGACAAAAAAAAAATAAACGTCATTAGTTCATATCACAAAAACTATAGTATATTCTGTTTCCAACTTATTCAAGTTAACACCTGCATCTCGTTCAAATAAATGATGTTTTACATTCTTTAATTATTATCTAAATAATAATAAATATATTTACAACATGCATCCAAACATACAAGATATTAAATTTTTTATGATGGTAGATTAAAGTTGGTTCACAAATATTTTCGATGTATAAAATATTACTGTTTTCTATCTACAAAACCCAAAAAATAAAAATAATATAAAATAAAGCTTTATCAATATCTGATGATTACGTCTTAACAATGTACGCTAATATCATGTTTTTTCATATATAAATTACAACTGATCTACGATATCATGATCATTAACAAATGGTATTCTTGCCATATCTTTTTGCAAGTGTTTTGTCCGTTGTAATTCTTTAACGAAATAAGAAATGGTTTTTTTCAAACCTTCAGTCAAAGTAATTTTAGGTTCCCAGTTGAGGTATTTTTTGGCGCGACTGATGTCTGGTTTTCGTCGTTGTGGATCATCTTCAACAGCAGCTAATCGGATTATTTTACTAGTACCTCCTATTAAGTCCTTGATAATCATTGCGAACTCTGGAATATTTATTATAAGTATTATTGCAAAAAATATACAATCATCTATGAAACAATTCAATGGTTAATGTGGTTATCATAAACTGATTGATAAAATAAATGAAATTAAATCTATACCTTCAATTGTATGTTCCACAGGATTTCCAATATTAATTGGCTGAGTATAATTAGATGCCATAAGAGCAACAAGCCCATCGACTAAATCCGAAACATATTGAAACGACCTGGTTTGTTCTCCATTACCATAAATTGTTATTGAGTCGTTTTGTAATGCTTGAAGAATGAAATTTGACACGACTCGGCCGTCATTCATATGCATTCGTGGTCCAAAGGTATTAAAAATCCGTGCGACACGTACTTTAATGTTCTCTTGACGCATGTAAGCATAACTGAGTGTTTCAGCTACACGCTTTCCTTCATCGTAGCAAGCTCTTGGACCTAAAATCATATTCTATTGTCAACATTATTTGTTATTCATATGAATATCATAAGAATATATTAAAACAGCAAAATATTTACATCAGATAAATTAAAAAAAAACTCTAAAAAACATGGAAATAAAAAAAAATCGATAGCTACTAAAAAATTGATAAAATAATCATATTTGGCATCATTTATATCAGCTCTGTTACAGTAATCAACCGGCTGAGTAAACATACCTATTGGATTTACGTGACCCCAATAAGTCTCTGATTGAGGATGTTCCATTGGATCTCCATACACTTCTGAAGTGCTTGCAATTAATACCTTGGCACCAACTCGTTTAGCAAGACCTAAAAGAACATTTATTATTGCATAATATTTAATGATTAAGATTGACCCAAACTAATTAGTTATGATTTATGGAATCAAAATAATATGGTTAATAAAAGATGTAAAAAATGTGGTAAAATGTATTGTATTTAAAACAGCAGTATGCTTTATATTGACTACAAGACTATTTATTCTGTTCAGTAAACACGCAAATTTTATTTCATTCACTATTGTTCTATAGAATTTTCTGAATGAAATTTTTTTTGATGTATTGTTATTAAAATATATTACCACTTTACCTAACATATTAATAGTCCCAATAGTATTTGTTTTGAGTGTTTTAACAGGATTATGCATATAATGAGGTGGACTAGCTGGACTGGCTAGATGATAAATCTCATCTACTTCTAAATAAACTGGTCTGACGATGTCATGATGAACCAGTTCAAAATTCTCATGTCCCACCCAATGTTCCACATTTCTTTTTCTTCCAGTAAAAAAATTATCAACCACAATGACCTCATGTCCTTCAAGCATCAGACGATCTACCAAATGAGATCCTACGAAACCTGCTCCTCCCGTGACCAAAATCCTTCTTCGGTTTTTGTAATTCAAAAATTTCACACTGGGAAATTGTTTGGGCACACGATTATCTATCTTCGATTCCATTTGGTGAACTTTTTCCTCTAGTTCTTTAAGACGAGCTTTAGTATTCTGAAGGTCAAGGAATTCATTCGCTTCATTCACTTCATTGTTAAGGTTGATATTTTTTTCTTGAGCTTCTATTAATATACGTTTGCGAGTCATTGCAATCGTTGGAACATGTTCCGTCGTAACTAAAGTCTGGTAGACTCCTAAGACTGAAAAATATTAAATTTTAGATAAGCTTGATAGAATTCAATAAAAGTAAAGCTGTAGTGACTTGCAAAAAATTAATTTATCGTTTTTAATTGATTAAATAAATCGTATCAATTAATAAATGATTAATAGATGATATATAAATGTCTGTAAGATGTTTTTTTCTAATATAAAATATCATTCAATAAATATTATGTTTTTTAAATAATTTCTTATTCGTTAATTATTTGCGATATCATGTAAATATTTTTTTACATTATAATGATGACCTACAAAGATATCAAATAAAATTTTAATAAAAACAATAAAAATAAAGGAAAACTACTTTTATCAATCGGTATTATTTCAATTAAAAATCAAGTCAGCAACAGATACAACTGGTTTTATTTTGATTGAACGACTTTCATGCAGTATTTATGTCGCAGAATAATTTAATGTCTATTTGTTGTCTCGATTGATATTGTGAGTAGACGGAAGCAAAAAAAAAAAAATAAACTCTTGACAAAAAATAAGCATTTAATGAAAGTACGTAGTGCAAATATTAACAGAGCTTTTGATTGCTTTTCTCACATGAATTTTTTCTGGGCCATTAAAATTGTCTTCTCAAAATTCCACTTAAAAAATGAAAACAATGTATGAATATTACTCACCGATTATTATACATACAATTAGAAATCCGATTTGTTTTATTCGCCGTTGATTGACAAACATACTTATAAACTTTAAATAATTAAATAAAATCTACTTATTCTCCCACACATGACACTTGTTCGTTATTTTTGTTCAAGTATTTTCTTTTTTCAATTTTGCGAGACTTCATTAAGAAGTTCGCTTTAGTGTAATCAAAAATAATAAATACTACATAATTATAACCAAAAAAATTCTTGAACGAGGTTACTTTGATTAGTTTACAATTCAAATATCAGAGAGCGCCACTTTCGCCTAAAAACGCGACATCTAGTTAATGAAATAAAAAACAAAATAAAAAGGGTTTGATAACATTAATCACACAGGTAAAGAGATTTAAAAAAAAAATAGGAAAATAAACATGACAGATTAGAATGGTTCGAGCGCCTCTAGAGTCCGCGAATTAAACTCCTTTATCAAGAATCATCGTGGCGTTCGTTTACAAGCCGTCCCGTTTCACCCCCGTATGAATATACGGTATATATAAAGGCTGAAGTAGTGCCAAAGAAACGTTTATAACGATTTTTCTACCTTTAGTACCTTCATTGTGGCAGAGGCACTCAAAGTATGGGAGAGGTGATCGATTGTAATTTTCCTGTGTGGGGCCTCTTGCCGAAAAAAGAAACCGGTGTCAATCAGTTTCTCATAAAATATCCTGAATATGATGGAAGAGGTACCGTTATTGCTATTTTTGATTCTGGAATTGATCCTGGAGCTCCAGGTTTGCAGGTAATAATTTGTATCTGGACATTACATCCTTATATCTTGAACTTCACTAATAAATAAATAACAAATTTTAAAATGTTCAATATTTTTTTTATATATCAATTTGAAAAATTACTCATAAATTTGGTACTTCAATTTATATTAAATTAAATTGTTTTTATAGGTGACAAGCGATGGGAAACCAAAAATCCTAGCACGTTTTGATTGTAGTGGTGACGGTGATGTTGATACAAGTACTGTTGTTCAATCAGATGAAGGATATATTACAGGTCTAACTGGTCGTAAATTGAAGGTGATTATTTCAAAGCTTATTTATTAGATTTCAAAGCATCACTATTTATTTCTATTTTTGTTTTATTATTATTATCATTATCAAACTGATTGTTCCATTATAACTAATTGATTTTATTGGTGAAATAAGCGATAAGTTTTATTGTACTTCGTTTTGATGACCATTGAAACATGTTTTCATTGCAAACAATAATATATCGATTTAGATTCCATTTGACTGGACAAATCCAACAGGAAATTATCATATTGGAGTTAAAGAAGCTTATCGTCTATATCCAACAAAACTTCGAGAAAAAATTTCAGCGGAAAGAAAGAAGAAATTCTGGGATGATGGTCACAAAGCTGCCCTTGCCGAAGCTACTCGAAAACTTCAGGTAATTGATTATTTTCTATTATGACGTATTTAAAATTTTTTTCAATAAATTTGTAGTCATCAATTATCATTTGGAACATTAAAAAATAAGTAGTAAAGAAAAGTAGAATTCGAAACCAAGTCATCCAAAGATAGTGTTGTTGTGAGGACGTTCAACCACTCGTAATTTAATTAGAGCAAGTGTATTTTTATCATCTTGGTCCCATCCTCCAGGCTATATTTGTAATTGGCGGGTTGATAAAAAAAGTCTCGTCAGATTGCGATTGTGTAATATACTGCGTAAACGATAAAAGAAATTTCACGCATTCAAGTTGATTGAGAACGCTAGTAAATATTCAAAAATTTTCGTTTTTCAGGAATTCGAGGCAAAAACTCCAAATCCAACCAGTATACAGGATAAATTAACAAAAGAGGAATTAGAAGCAAGAGTAGAGGTCTTGCAAAATGGAGAAAAAAAATATAATGACGTTGGACCCACATACGACTGTGTTGTCTATCACGATGGCGAAAATTGGAGGTAAAAAATTATACAGTACTAAGCATTACATAAATGTCACGATACATAAGAAAGCAAAAATTTCATATTTTAAAGGGCATGCATTGATACATCGGAAGAAGGTAACTTGGAGGAAGGGATTCATCTTGGAGAATACTCGATCACTCATGAATATGCTCCATTAACTCAACAAGATCAATTGAATATATCCATTAATATTCACGATGAAGGAAATATTTTAGAAATCGTTGGAGTATGTGGTAAGAATAAGTAAATCTTGAAAAGTTTCAAAAGAAATTTAAATTATTTATCAATGAGTTTTAAAAATTACATAACAATGTATTTTTCAGCAAGCCATGGTACGCATGTAGCATCAATTGCTGCAGCTAATTTTCCAGACAACAAAGAATTAAATGGAGTAGCTCCAGGTGCACAAATTATTTCATTGACAATTGGTGATAATCGTATTGATCCAATGGAAACAGGAACAGCTTTAGTCCGAGCAATGATTTGGATCATGCAAAAAAATTACAAAGTCCACGTTATTAATATGAGTTATGGAGAACAAGTACATTGGAGCAACTCTGGACGTATTTTTGATTTGATGAATGAGGTTATTGATAAGTATGGAGTGACCTGGATTGCAGCAGCAGGCAATTTTGGACCGGCTTTATGTACGATTGGAGCACCACCGGATATTAATTCGACAAACATTATCAGTGTTGGCGCTTATGTATCACCCGATATGATGGTAGCAGAATATTCATTACGAGAAAAAATGCCAGGGATGCCCTATACATGGTCGTCACGTGGTCCGATGATAGATGGAGGTGCTGGTATCACTGTTTGTGCACCAGGAGGTGCTATCACAAGTGTACCTAATTTTACATTGAGAAAAAGTCAATTGATGAATGGTACCAGTATGGCTAGCCCACATGTAGCTGGAGCAGTCGCTCTTCTTATTTCTGGTCTAGAGAAAAAAGGCTGCCCTTATTCACCTTACAGCATTAAAAGAGCATTGGAGAATAGTGCATTATATATAGAAAATCTAGATTTATTTGCTCAAGGAGCGGGTCTTCTTCAAGTTGAAAAAGCTTTCGAGAATCTCGTTGCTAATTGCCAAGCTGTCGAAAGAGATGTCAGATTTGCAATCAATTGTGGTGTAAACAACTCCAAGGGCATTCACTTGAGGTCTGGCGTAATTGATAGACCGAAAGATTGTGCTGTCACTATTGAGCCGATTTTTCTTGATACTGATAATGTTGATCCATCTCGTAAAATTAATTTTAATTTGCGATTATCGCTAGTTTGTGAAGCTCCATGGGTACAATATCCATCTCACTTTGAACTGATGCATATGTCACGTGCCTTTACAGTGCGAGTAGATGCAGTTAAACTATCGGAAGGAGTTCATTGTACTAACATTCGAGCTTATGATGTGGAGAATATTGAGAAAGGTCCTGTATTTACTATACCTATTACGGTCGTTCAACCTCAAGTTATTCCAAAATCGATGAACTTGCCAGATTTTCATTACTCACATGTACTCTTCAAGCCTAATACAATTGTTAGACATTTTATTTTGGTTCCTGATGATGCTACGTGGGCGGTATTAAAAATCAAAAGCACTGAAAAAGAAAAGACTGGAAGATTTGCTATTCAAACAGTTCAGTTAAAGCCTCGCTTGGCCTGTCGTACTCTTCACACTAATAAAATGGTCAATATTACATCGCAATCAGAAACCGTCCAAGGATTTGCAGTTCAAGGTGGTCTTATTATTGAAATTGTAGTTGCAAAATACTGGGCTAATCTTGGTGAAATTTATGTTGATTACGATATTGAATTTCACGGTATTCATGTAATTGATGGTAGTCTCATAATGCAATCTGGAGATGGTATTCATCGAATGGAATTACGAAGTTCATTAAGGAACGAAGAAATTGTTCCAAGTATTACACTGAAAAATATAGTTCAAATTTTGAGACCAACAGATTCTAAAATATCGCCACTCGGTGCCCGAGATGTTATTCCTCCTGCTCGACAAATTTATGAGTTGCAATTGACGTACACATTCCACATCGCAAAGGCAACAGAGGTAACTCCTAATGCTGCTTTTCTTAGTGATTTACTTTACGAAAGTGAATATGAAAGTCAACTGTGGATGCTCTACGATTGCAATAAACATCTTATATTCTGCGGTGATGCTTTTCCATGGAAGGTTAGTAATTAAAGACATCATTTAAATTAATTTCAAAGCATATTATTAAGAAAATGTTTAAATGATTAATTTTATATCTTTAAATTATTTCTTTTTCTAGTACACAGTTAAAAAGTTAGAAAAGGGAGATTACACTTTGAAAATGCATGTGCGTCATGAAAAGAAAGATTTATTAGAACGATTAACAGATATGGCAGTGTTGCTAAGCCAAAAACTTAGTTCAACAATAAATCTAGACGTTTATGCTAATCATTCTCAAGCAATCATTGGCGGGAAAAAAATGGTAGCAGCTACAGTCCCACCTGGGCATACTCTTCCTGTTTATATTGCACCAATGAACAATGAAACTAAGTAAGAACACAGATAGTTTTTGTTTATTTATCAAATAATTCATTTTTTAAATTCGTAGTTAATTATTCAGTATATAAAATATATATCATTTTCATTTTTTTCTCGTTTTTAAAATGCAGCACAGAGAACAAGTGAGTCGATAGAATCATTTGATTTTCAAGCAGCTTTTTGCAATAACTTTTTAAAGTCAAGCTGAAAATACAAGCCGTTTGGAAGTGACAGCTTTCATATAATATTGTGTCATATACATCACTTACATTCTTGCTATTTTAACATACTTTTCTAATGAAAAATCAAATTTTTTGCAAAACTAGTTCTAGTTTTATCCAATCAGTTTCAAGCTGTTTTCGTTGACATTATTAATTTGAATTTTTTAGTTTTAGCAATGCATGGCTTCAATGAATCATTTGAATGATCCATGATTTATTATTATTTGATTAAGACATTGCTTTAAATAATTTTTTTGTTATTTATAATAAATAGAAAATAAATAAGTTATTTCTTATGTTTTATATGAAGAATATCGAAAGGTGCAACTTTAGGAACTTATCTCCAAGGATCAGTAACTTTCTGCAAAGATGAAGCGAGAAAGAAAGTTGATTGTTATACTTTCAAATACGTGTTGACCGAGCCCGTTAAGAAAAGTCCTCCTGCAAAGCCTGATGATGAAAAAGTGACAAAGTGGGATGAATATCAGGACACACTTCGAGATATAAAATGCACGTGGCTATCTAAACTTGGTAAGTACTCAAGAAGATATCAAATTTTTATACAATTATTTTTTGTTTTAAAATTTACATAAATTATATTTTTTAATTTTTTTCTTTTTGTTTCTTATTTAGCGCCTTCAATAAGTAAGTTAAGAATTCAAAATGTTAAAATGAACCCTATTTTATTGTGAAAGCATGATATAATTATCTATCTGGTTTTGATTTCCCCCAAAAAACAGTAATCAGAAATTGAACAATCAAAAAATATTCAAATTTCAATTAAATTTAAACTCCTCCACTGATTAATTTTATGATTCAAAGTAATTAAACTTTTTTGATTTTAATGGAAAAATTGTTATTAAACTGATTGCGATTATTATGTTTTTGAAATATATGACTGATTCTATTTGTTTGTTGTATTGTTTTGATTGGAATTTTGTTTTTTTCACGCAAAACAGAAGCAACAGAGCACGCGACTGCTCTCTACAATGAGCTGAGAACATCTTATCCAGATCATTTACCAGTTCACACAGCCATGTTAATATCTCTCGACTCAACAGAAGCACGACGCATTCTTCCCCATGACGATCTCACTGAAACTGCCATTAACTTTGCGGATCAAATGGTTGATGTAGCTGATAAAGTAATATCTGCAATTGATCAAGAAAAAATATTAGCCTTCTATGGCATGAAGCATGATCAAAGACCTGATGCCTTGAAAATCAAAAATACAATAGATAAACAGAAAAATTATTTAATTGAAGCATTAGTAAAAAAAGGCTGTGCATATGCAAGATTATACATACATGCAAGAAAACGAGGAGAGACAGAAGCTTCAATGCATTTGTCTACTGTGACACAAATTTGGAACGACGTTCAAAAGTTCACAGAAGCAACGGATAGTAAAGTTAGTATTTAAAAACATTTTTTTAACTTTGGAATAGTTTACTTAAAAATAATAATATTTTTTACAGGTTTTAATTCTTTCACTTTGGCATGCACATATTAATAAACATTATGGACGTTATTTAAAATTATTGACTCGCTACTATGAAGATAAACCAATAAAAGACATTGACGAGAGGTTTGTAGAAATTGCAAGGACGTTAGGCTGGAATCATTGGGCTCGTCATATATCATCCAGTTTACCAACTCGTTATCCTAAATCATACAAACCATTTTAAAATGTGATTTAATGTTGGAAATTTAAACTTTTAAAAAATTTTTGTCGGTGAGTGTAGTGACAAAGTTACAGCGTTTTTACACTCATGATTTTTATGAAATTATTCCCGACAATGTGCTAATTGTGTAAGCTCAGATATAACTCAAATTTTATAAGAATTTTACAATTATCAATTGTGTCTCTCGTGATATTGATAGAAGTATATGGCAATCACTTTTTACTGCCTTTTTAAAAATGAAAAAAAGCGAAAAACTAAGAATTAAAATTGTACATATACTTGTAAATACCTGTACGGTCTTTTGCAATGTACTTAATTTTAAAAATTGTATGGTTCTTTTTTAAATTTTATCTTTTATTATTTTATCTGAAAGAGTTGTTTTCAAAAGAACCGCAGGTAAATATGCAATTTGACGAGATGAAATGCAATCTAAATGTTAATGAAATAATTTCTTTTTTGAAATATAGATAAATAAGTAGAAATTTAACAAAAAATTGACTTAAAATAATATCGTCATAAGATTATATTGTTTTTATGAGCTGACTGAAGAAAAAAAATGATGATACAATTATGAAATAAAAATAAAAAGTTTTCTTGCAAATAATCGTTCTATTTTTTCTTATCATCTACGTTCGAAAATAAGCCTTAATAAGTAAACTATACAAAATAAAATAAATGAGTCGTTGTTGAAAAATAATATTCGTTTGAATTATTTCTTTGCATATTTAAATTATAAATTATTTTAGAAACTTATAGTTATGGTAGAAGGGTAGTTTACAATTTTCTATAATGTTAGTTATTATATAATTCAACTACGATTTTTTTAAAAGAATATGGAACATCTTAAAATCATCAATGATGACAAGGTCTATTCTTTTATAATACACCTTCTTTATTAGCTTTCTCGGCGATTCCAGATTTTATTGTTTACAAATTAATTATCAACCGAATATTTTTAACTTGTGGTAAAGAATAATTTTTTTTAAGTAGAATATATGTAACAATGAAAAATTGTTAATAATAATTTTTCTCAATTCATTATACGACAGTATAATAAGGCCATTCACATGTGCTTCACAGTAGCAGTCATAATAAAATGCTCTACGTTTTTAATAATTACTACAATTTTGTACTAGTTAAGGAATTAGTATTTTTTATCATTTTTTTTAATCATTGCTTTCTCTTCATTAAACAAATCGACAATTACTCAGCCATAATCTTTTTTCTGTTTTCAACAATCATATCCTAAAAATATAATTTAAAAGTCTTTGATACAGATAGCATTTACACAATTATCAAACAAATTACAGTTTTATTACTTTTGTTGTATTTACAATGACATTCTTGTCTTTTTTTGGTAAACATTTGTTCGAATTCCCTGTGTTACTCAATTAAACGTGAAATAAAAGAGCAAACCACTAATATGTGGATATGTATTTATAATGTTTTTAATTCTAATGGATCTCGTAACTTTTTAATGTTATGTATAAAAATTAATTATAATTTCCATTAAACTATTACTATTTTTTAAATGTTTTATTATAAAAAACTGCAGATGTAATCACTGTGGCCACGGACAACGTTTATTTACTATCATTACCATGTTAGAATGGGATAATAAATAATTAAAAAGAATTCTACAAGAACAGAAGACATTTTTAAATGCATTCATTATTTCTGTTTAGTTTAATGGTTCATAAACTAACTGGTTTAAAAAAAACCAATGGGTTGTAGAAAGAGATTTTAGAGCAGGTAAGCTTTTAAAAATATATTTTTCAAAGTATAATACTTATTACCTTTAAAATAAACTGTATGATATGATACAGCAGTTAATACTATTAAAATATTGTGATTTTTTCTGAAAACCATTAGATTCATTATTGTATTTATGTCGCGTAAATCAGTGTGAGAATTATAGCCAACAGTGATTTACTTGAATTATTATTGGAGTTAGACATGTTGAATGTTACTACTTTGAAGATAAAGTTAGTACGTGAAAACGGGGATGATTACAATTGACTTTAATGTACAAAAAATTGTTTAATAATAAATCTACCTATAAAACTATATAACTGTACGATCACTGTTTCTAAAAATTACACTTTTTACAAATACAAACTTTGCAACGATATTTGTTCAATTAACTCACCATTAATTGTGAGATATTTTTCCATTTTATACACTATTTTTTTTCATTTGTTATTATTAACTATGTTTATTTCATTGTTAAATTATTCAATTATCTTGTGATAATTTTTATATTTGTCATTTAAAATGAATTTTAGTTATTTTGCACATGACGCTTTTTATACTTAAGCGTCTTTAATCACGTCGTCAAACATCAATCTGAATATCACTATCTTCAGCTTCGCTTTCCGTACTAACCATTGCATCTTCACCAACAAGTAATGCAGCAGGAAGATTCTGCGGTACATTATCAATATCTAACCGTGGTGTAGAGTAAACATTTAGAACTTGAATAGTTGTTGGTGATGTTGATAAACACTGTTGCACTGAACTTAATGTATCGGAATTCAAACTATCGCAATCTAGAGGACTCGAAAGTTGTATTTGCAAATTGTGGAGTTCTGGAATATGTGGTCGAATCTGGAGTAAAATCAGAAATGTTATCGTTAATTATTAACTGTGATAATTTGTATGATAACAATGAGATATTTTCATTTTAAAAATTATCTCATTTAAATTACCTTCAGTCCATCAGCAGTATGTGGATTCCTACATCCTCTACATCTGCATTCAATACAAGGTTTACTCTCAACGTAACAAGGGCATCTCTGACCACAACATGTTAATTTCCCGGGTATTGCAGTCGCATTACCACATCTACATCCTTTTCTTTTACTCCTCGTGGAACTAGATCTGGGTTTTTTGAAACTTGTTGATGACTGTAGAACAAACATTTAATTAATTGAACTATGTACTTGTAATAAATTTACTGAAATGAATGAAGTTAGTTATGTTCATTTTGCGGTTAGTTAAAATGGATAAGTTTGGTTTTTATACGTACATTTTAATAATTAATTTAATATTAATATAATACGGTGTTAATTTCAAAATCGACAGTAATTTAGTGAGTGTTAGATTGTTAATTTCGGGCAGTTAGATAAATTTATAACACAATAATACAAAATAGAAATTCAAGAAATTGCAATTTGTAAAAATTACTTTGCTGCCCTTTGACGACTTTTTCTGAGAAGTTGTCCCGTATGAAAGTTGGGAAGATGGAATGCATTTTACCCCGCCTACAGTGTTTCTCGTTGTAACATCAGCTTCCCGTTGGTTAATATCTGTATCCTCCACTGCAGCAGCTTTTCGTTTTATTGTTATCTTATTACCAGAGCCTGCATACATCACAGAATATATCGAAGATCCATTGGATACTGTCCTAATCGCAGGAGATTCTATGAAAAATTGTGATTATTTAGTAAAAAATGAATTAAAAATATAAAATAATAAAACCTGTAACTGTCAATAATTGTATTTTAGTTGTTTACCAGGTATATTTGAAGGTATTGGGTCGGATGAAGGTTGAACAGCATTGGCCTGGGTTTGAGTTGACGTCGTGCTAGTATAGACACAAGGAAGAATACTGTAAGCGGACTTAGACAATCCGGCATTGCTTTTAAATTCATCTTTGAAGCCTGTTCCTTCTTGGATTAATTCCATCAAACTCGTTGCTCCAACAGCAGCGGCACCGTTGCTTGTAGCATTGGAAGACACAGATATAATGAGGTTACGATAAATGTTCGTACTAGTAAGATACTCGCACAATTTTTTGTAACATTGTAAGAGTATTCGGAGTTGAACATTTTCAACATATTTGTCATAATCTTTACACCATCCACATGATGGTTTAAGTTTTTTACGACCTCCTCGACAACCACGGCACACATGATGTTGACAATTGGTCTCAGTTGGTGTATGTGGTTCAATTAAAAGGTTCGAGCAAACTGTACAGCTGAGACTTTGGCGTAAGTATGGAACTAGCCTGTAAAGATCAGTCCAAGAGTTTGGATCTTCTGCATCTGCTTGAAGAACAAGTCGACACGTTGAAACATATAAGCTAGTTGCGTTCATTTTGTATTAAACACCCAACAACACTGAACCCCACTGTTTTTTTTCTACTATAAAATATTTTTCTAAACATTACCGTACAATATAACCATCTTTTTACACAAACAAAACAGTCGCCATTTTTAATATTTTTAAAAATCACTAAAACAGGTTAGCCAACAAAAAGTTAGGAAGTTTTGAATTTTTTTTTTTTTTGGTTTCATGTTGGCTGACATGATCAGTTAACGTCAGGACAAATTGAAGTTGTAGCAAAATAATAGGTGTCTTATTCAGATAATTTTTAATCAATTATTGTAGTGAATTTATAGCGTTTCAAAAAAATTTATTCAATTTCTTCTTCTTTTGTTCTGAAAATTGATTACCATTAGTGAAAAAATACTCTTTTAGCTTACTACATTTGCCAATTCAACATTTTACAATGATGCTTACATTGTAGGTTATCTTTTTCCATAGTAAAAACGATGGCGGAAAAAGCAATGATGAAGGTATGAAAATTGTTTAGTATTTTATTTAATAAAATTATCTTTATGTGTGTTTTGCTTTCAATTATAAAAATTGTTTATTTAATCATTTATAGCAAATTGCGGAGCAAAAGCTAAAAGCTTTCTCCATTGGAACAATGGGGAAACGTCCGTTAAGCAAAAAAGAATTGGAAGAGCAACGAAAGAAAGAACAAGAACAAGCTGCAGCTCAGGTAATTATTTATTTAATTAATTACTATTTAATGAAATATTTTGAACGATTTATATTATAGTAAAAAATGAATGAGGTAAATAGATTTTTTATCACATTAATCTTAAATTATACAGGTTTTATATATTGTAAATTATCTGTTTGAATAACATACTCAGACTTTTTCCGATTTTTTATCCATTTATGAAAGATTTTTATATAAGTTATTTATTGTTAGGCTTTTGAAGAATTTGTTGCAACATTTCAAGAAGCTCCCAATAAAACTACAAGTAAAGTGTGGGTGAAAGCCGGTACATATGATGCTGGTAAAAGACAAGAAGACACAAGAGAAAAGGGTAAACTTTATAAACCTCAGTCAAAAATATCAGAATTAGTGGATAGTCGAACTTCTGCGGAACAAGCTCAGGAATATGCCAAATTACTCGGCGCTAATGAGAGGAAAATGGACAGATTAGGAAAGAAAAAAAAAGAGGGTGAAAAGAAGAAAAGTAATTTAGAATTATTCAAAGAAGAATTGAAAATGATTCAGGAAGAAAGAGAAGAGAGGCATAAGTATAAAGGAGTAGTAAAAAATGTAATTTCTACTCAATCGGAAGATCCAATGATAGCTGCTTTAAAGTCAGTCGAAGGTACAATTTTATTCATAATTCATCTACTTTAGCTAAAATATTATCTTTCAAACATTTTTTGGTTTAGTCAAAAAGTCTCCCAACCCATCAGACCCACGAAAAGCTTGTTTGAGTAATTTTATTGATGATCCTCACCTTTTATCCCTAATGTATGAGGGTAATACTCAATGTTTCCATTTCCATCTTATTGTGTTATCATAATTTTTTGTTTGTATGTTTAACAATATTTTCTTTTTTACAAATATTTTTACACTGAAAATGTTTTAGATGGATCTTTTGACAATGGAGATCCAAATACTACAAATTTGTATTTGGGTAACTTGAATCCAAAAGTAAGTATTAGTTATTTGTTATTAAAGATGGAATAATTATTAAAAAATGTGCAATTCCTTTTCTAAATCACTTTGTTTTATAGATTACTGAACAACAATTAATGGAAATTTTTGGAAAGTTTGGTCCTCTTGCCAGTATAAAAATAATGTGGCCTCGTAGTGATGAAGAGAAAGCTCGGCAAAGAAACTGCGGATTTGTTGCATTCATGAGTCGAAAAGATGGTGAAAGAGCCCTTAAAAATTTGAATGGTAACTTTTTGTCAATTAAATTAGTTCATAACATATTTAAACATAAATTTATGAAATTTATTATCGCGAATAGGTCGAGATATAATGCAGTATGAAATGAAGTTGGGTTGGGGAAAAAGTGTGCCAATACCGCCGTATCCAATTTACATTCCTCCAGCTCTGATGGAAATAACACAGCCACCACCTCCTTCAGGTCTACCTTTCAACGCACAACCACATCGTCGTGATAGACACAAGGTACCCCAGTCAAACCACTCCAAACGCGTAATTAATAAAAATTCAATCCACGTCTTTAAAACATTTCGTTTTATTACTATTCAATATATTACCCTTGTTAATAATATCTACTTTGCATTAAAAAAAATTAATAATTGCATCACCGGTCCCCTTAAAATTTTTTTTGATAAGAAATATTTTTTATTTTAAATATTCTTAAATTAGCAATGTCCTTTTACTTACTCATTAAAAAATGCTGCAATGCCTAAAAAAATGTTTGTGATGGCAGTGGCTGAAAGTATACTTTTTTGGTAGATTTTCTATCGAAGAATAATTTCTGTTTGACTTAGTGAATAGAGAATAATTGTAAAATTATTCAAAGATTGTCAGACGAGATAGTGATAACATATTTATCATGAATTCAACTGACATTTTAATATCATCAACATAATATATTGTTTTTCTCATTGTTGAACCGTATAACCATGTTTTTGAAACATAATCTCAGATACCACGTATCCGCAACCTCCAGAGCGCGGACCCCCAGGAAAAGGAAAACTTTGAAAAGGTAAAATTATTCACTCTTGTTAGAAAAACAATCTAATTATCTATGGTGGATAATTAGTTGAATTTTTGCTTGCCTTTCTTCTTCACTGCAATTATTTTTTGGATAATGTGATTGAATTGAAAGATATTTAAAATATAAACAAACTTTATAAAAAAACTTAAAAAAAAAAAAATTGAAAATAATAAAACCCACGTGGTAAGTGTGGAATGGGGTATAAGAAAGGGCTTAAGGGATAAAAACTATTATTCGATATTGCTACAATAAGTAGCAATGAAGATGTAAATCCTCGACTATTGATGATCAAATGAAAATTCTAATGGACATTTACAAATTGTGTTGTAATGACTTGTTGGCGTACGTTGTCTTGGGGGCGCATTTTGGCATTTGGGCTGACTCTCTACCAACCCCCTGAACTCTGTGTCTCGACAATCTGTCACTCTGTTGCACTGTGATCTGGACCTTGACAGATTTTGCAGAATGCAGTTGTCAAAGTGGTCATTCCAACAGAAAGGTATTTGTTTATTTTAGTTATGTACTGACGATACTGTAAGTATGACTAAAATTTTATAATAATCCTTTTATTTATGAACACGAGTCCAACGATGAAGACTTCTGTGTGAAGGAATTCTAATAAAATTGTTCTTATTAAACATACGAAAGTTCTCTTTTTTCAATTTTCATTGTGCGTTATAGGAACTTAGTCATGTTGATACATAGAATGGTGGAATTTGTAATCCGAGAAGGTCCTATGTTCGAAGCCATGATCATGAACCGAGAAATAAACAATCCAATGTTTAGGTAATTTATTTTTTATTGTTATAACTCTAATTTTTTAATTATTAGTTGATTAATTCATTAAATGCCATTTTTATAGATTTCTTTTCGAAAATTACTCTCCGGCACACACATACTATCGATGGAAGTTATTTTCAGTTTTACAAGGAGATGGACAAAAAGAATGGCGTACGAATGATTTTAGAATGTTTAAAGGAGGAAGTGTTTGGAGACCACCTCCAATTAACCCTTGGACTCAAGGCATGCCGGATGAATTAGTTGAAATGGAAGAAAGGCAGGAACCAAGAAGAGGCAGTTTATCTAATAGGTAATATTTTAAAATATCAAGTTATTTTTTTGTATGACGTTACAAATTCTCTTAGATAACATTTAATTTTTATTATTTTAGCCAACGAGATAGATTAGAAGATTTACTTAGGAATATTTCTCCAGAACGTTTAAAAGTTGCTGAAGTAATGGTATTTTGTATTGAGCATGCTGAAGCAGCCGAAGAAATATGTGATTGCATTTCTGAATCTTTGTCAATTTTACAAACACCAGCAAACAAAAAAATAGCTAGACTTTATCTTATATCTGATATTTTACATAATTGTGGAGTAAAAGTAACCAATGCAACTATTTATAGAAAAGCGTAAATATTTTTTATAATTATTTTAACAGAAATTATGTACATATATTTATGAAAATATTAATTGTACAAAATTTTAGGTTTGAAGCACGTTTATTAGATATATTTACCGAAGTTCATCAAGCTTATAAACACTTTGATAGTCGATTAAAAGCTGAAGGGTTTAAAATGCGTGTAATGCGTATGTTTAGAGCATGGGAAGACTGGGCTGTTTATCCCAGAGAATTTTTACTTAAGCTACAAAATGCATTCTTGGGACTAGTATCTATTGCGGAACCAGAATTAGAGAATGACGATGACATTGATGGTGCTCCGTTGTCAGATGTTGATGGAGATGCTGGAGAAGATTTAGATGGTGTTCCTCTTGACGGTGCTGCTTTATTGAAAGGAGCAATGAAACTTGGACTTACACCTCAACCTAGTAATTATGACGATATTGATGGTGTACCCAGTAAGTAATAATATTAATATTCCAATTATTATTAATTTCTTCATAAATCATAAAATAATTTTTTTTTGTAGTGGATGACGATATCGATGGTATTCCAATGGATGATACTCGAGTACAAACAAAAAATAAAGGTAATGAGAAAAAACAGTCAATACCAGCAGGTTTTGTGCCTTCGAGATGGGAAACTGTAGATCCTGATCAAGTAGAAGCTCAAGCAATGACCACAAGTAAATGGGAAGAATTGGAACAAAATGACGATTCAAATTCTCAAGATGCTAGTATGGATTCTAGGTAAACATTTTTAAATCAATGATTTATGCATCGTACTTTTTACTTTGATCAATTTTCAAATGACATCTCACTACTAGTGATTTATAATTGAACTGATTATGTGTAAATAATATCTTACCTAATAATTGTAATAGTAGTCGTGATTATAATGAGGAGAGACGTACAAGACTTCGTGAAATTGAACTGAAAATAATGCAATATCAAGATGAATTAGAGAGTGGTAGAAGGAGTCTTAAGTCAGGAATGACAATTCAAACACAAGTTGAGCATTATCGGAAAAAACTTATAAGAAAGGTGAATTTTTTTTCTATGCTTTTTTTTAATGATTAAGTAATTAATATCTTAAATACAATTTTAACATTCTTTTTATTTTCTAGAGTGAAAGAGAAATGAAAGACTCAAAAAATGATGAAAGAGACGATGAAAGACGAAAAGAAAGGAGACGGAGTACATCACCGGATTCTCCGCTCCATTACCGTGATAGAAGGAGAGGTTCTCCTTCGCCATCCAAGAGCAGCAGCCGTTATAGGTATGTGTTTTTAATACATATTTTTACAAAATATTTTTAGTAAAATTATTTTAAATTTAACTGTGTAGATTGTTTCACTTATCTAAATGAAATAACTTTGAAGATGTTTTGAAAAGTTAACTACTTTTAATAGAACTAGTTGATTATTAAATACCTACAAATTTTTCAATTTAAATAGGTCTCGTAGCAGATCACCTAGATGTAAACGGCGTTCACGTTCGCCTTATAAAAAACGTGCTCCAATGACACCATCACCTCCACGAATACGTACAACACCATCACCAGTCTTTTCATCATCCCGATCACGGAGATCACCCGGTAGTGATCGTAAAAAACGAGCGCGTTCTCCATCAATGTCACCTCCACCCCCTCCTCGTAGTTCTATCAAACATAGACTTAGCAGTCCACCGTCACCCTCATCAAGGAAACATAGACATAAGCATAAATATTGAGAAATATTGTAATTTTTCGCAATCAAATCTTAATCAATTTCATAAAATTTATTAAATAACTTTCCGCAAAAAATTAAAAAGAAAAAAAAAGATTATTTTTTATTATTGGAGTTACTCGGATTAATATTCAACTGTTAAATAGTTGTATAAAAAATTTTTAATTAAGATTATTATTTATATTATATAAATAATAGCGAAAGCGAGATTCTTATTTATACTGGTTCATTAGATATTAATAATGAAATTGATCAAGATAATCAAATTTTTGAAAGAAGTAGCATGTAAATAATTATTTATTTTCATGTAGTTTTTTTTTTCTAATTGTATTAAACTTACAAATAATAAAATTACATGATTCATCATTGTATAAACAGAATAAATAAGTTCTTTAATTTTACAATAAAATTTTTTATTTCAAATAATATTTTATTTAGTTTAATTGAATGTTGGTAAATAATGTGTTACCATAGAACGTTTGTGTATAATTCACTTGAAAAATAGAATTTTTAATAACTTTTACTTTAAATTATTGGGATGAATTTATTGAAAAGATATACAGAGAATTCATAACAAAATAGTGTAACATTATTCATAAAAACTGTCCTTTTAAGAAAATATTCTTTCTTAATCAATAAAATTATTCTCAACTACATTTTAATTAAAATATTATTTAAAACATAAGTAATGAATAAATTATTTGTTAAAATACTGTTAATAATTAATTCGTCAAAAGCAAAATTAACAAAATCATTCTAAAACTACAATAAATTTTCTTTAAAATTAAACAAAAATGCTGTCGTAAAAAAATGATTTCCACGCTATATCACTCTTGAAAAATTAATTTAATAAATATTCAACCATATCTTATTAGAGTTGATTTTTACTATGTTCTCGCTATTATTAGTATTTAATACAGACGAGTTGAATAATCTGGATACTTGAAAATTTTTTATTATTCTTGTACTTCCAATTATAATTATTATTTACAAAATATTAATTATCCAAGTCCTGTAAGAATATTATTTTTATTTGCTACTTATTTACTTAAATAAAAATTACATTAGTAAAGAAAATTGATATATTGTTAATTATTTACCCCAGCTAACCACTGCTCAATTCCTTCTTGAATATTTACATCATTATTATCAACTGGTTCTGTAAAGTCGAATTCTTGTCGACCACCACGAGAGCTTGATTGAGGTGTTTTTGAAACTTCTTTAGTATTTTTATTTTTAGATTTTTCTACACCGGAATGCATTGGCTGTGGAGCATTCAGACCTGTTAAAAATAAATATCGTTATTATGAAATTAGTTTATTTGTTAGTGTCATAAAGATCCTCAATGCTCATTTAGAAAATAAAATTTGAAAAGTATCTACTTAGTATTTACAATATTTTTAAGACTGATCAAATCATTAATAAATTTATTTACGTTTCCAATCACCAATATCTTGTTCTTCTTCTTCATCGTCTAACTCTTCCTCTTCTTCATATTCTTCCTCGTCTTCTACTTCTTCCTCTTCTTCTTCACTTTGACTTGGAGTTGGAAGTTTTCCGTATTTAGCTTCCAACTTAGCTACTAATTCATGATCATCAACTTCTTCAACTTCAACTTCGTCATCCTCTATCTCTTCCTCTTCTTCAAGATCTTCTTCATCTTCTAAATCTTCTTCATCGTACTCCGATTCTTGTTCTGTCCCCGAAAATCGTTCACTTTCAGAAGTATAAAACTCTGGCTCATCCTTCTTACCTGGTGAAGGAATATTCACTTGATCCTCTAAATATTCCGGCAAAAAATATTTTTTATCATATTTCTTTCAAATTCTATTGATCAATTGATTGATAATAAAATACCTTTCTTTGAAAAATTTTTAGAAGCTTGAAAAGCTCCTGATTGTTTATTGTGAAGATTTTTTATTTCTTCGGTAGGTAAATTTTTGTATTTTGATTCAAGCTCTTGGAGATGCTTGATTTGTTGTTGTTTTTGTGCTGTATCACCTTTAATATTGAGTTGTTTAGGATCAGGTGGAGGTATTATAGTATTTCTTCTACTTAAATCAGTAGCTTCAGGAATATCATCAACTAAAAAAAAGTTCAAATATACTGATAAGAATTTCATAATGATGAAAAGTGACTAAATTATTTACATTCATATTACATAACACCAAAACACTTATTATTATCATTATTGATATACTTACGTTATCTGTTAGTGCACGATGACAGCAAACATGCTAACACATGAATTATTTACGAATATTATTTGCCCAAGCGCATTAAAAAATTATTAAGAGCAATAAAATACTAAACAAAATAAACAATTAAATTCACTGTACACTAGTTCAATTGTTAATACGCTTGGAAAAAAAACATTGACTCTTTTTTAAATAGATGAAGGTCTAAAAAAGTTCCTCAAAAACAAAATTACCATTTTTCCACCTTCTAACCAGTACAAAATGTGCGGCAACGACTAGTGCAACACCAACTCCAAATTTTACTGCCACTGTAATCACGATATTTTATTTTCTGCATTTTATTTATTTTACAATACATATTTAATTATGTAATAACCATTGACAATTATATTTTTCTTATAATTTTATTTGATAATTATTTTAAAGAATAATCGGTATTCTTATAATTAATTAATATCTAATTAGAGCATTGAAGGACCTTTTAATTATTTCTAAATAGTTTTTGTTCCAAGTGATAGAAAAAAGCTGACTCACCACTTGTTTCTTCATCCTCTTCTATTACCTCGTCTCTAAGAGGTTCTATTTCAACTTCATTGATGATTTCTTCAGGTTCTCCTTCTTCAACCTAGAAAAAATTTTGTTTTAAAGATAATTATAGTTAGTGATAATATCAATAAATGAATAATACTTTACTTCTTCTAGAGGTTCAGTACTATCATCAATATCATTGACTCCTGGTATGCTAACGTATTCATAAATATCATCTTCATCCACTTTTTCAAATGGTTTAATTCCTTCTATACTCATATCTAAGTCCGGTGCTGATATATTTGTTATATCTTCTTCATCATCATCATTATCATTTTGCTCTTCATTGTCATCATTTTGATTATCATCAATTTCATCAAGGACTCCCATATCATCATCTTCTGAAAAACCATCATTTTCTGATTTGTAGTCAACTCCTTCATCTCCCTCATCTTCATCTTCTTGTTGTTCTTCTTCCTCATCTTCTGTATCAGTCTGTTGGTCTGATGTTCCTTCATCTTCTTCAGCATCATTATTATCATAATCTTCTGCTTCTGTTTGATCTTCTTCATCGTCTACACCTTCAGTACCTTCATCTTCTTCTTCTTCTTCTTCTACTTGATTACTTTCATTGCCTTCCACATCTTCTTCTTCTTCTTGATCTTCACCTTCAGTCCCACCACTTTCATCTTCCTCATTTTCTTCTTCATCCTCATGGTCATGATCGTCTTCTTCTTCTTCATGTTCTTCCTCTTCTTCATGATCTATCTCATGACTTACTTCATTATCATGTTTTTCGTGCTCTCCTGCATCATGAAACGGAAACACATCATCAACCCATCCTTCAAAAATTACTGCCCATTGTGAAGAAGCTATTGGAGTATCCACTGTCAAAAATAATATGAAAAATTTAAAAAAATTGACAGAGAATTAAAATTGATGTATGAATTTGTTTTTTATACCATCAGTTGTTCCACGATGTTCAAAAATGATAACTCCTACTAAACCAATAAGTACTGTGAACAAGGCGAAAAATATAATTCTAGCACACCAATGTCCTCCTGTTGAGCCTTCCTTATAGATATGTATCGTAACATTATCAGGAGCATGTTCTGCAGGATTTACCAACATTGGTGGAGGAGTTCCAGTATCTTCATCTTCTAAATTTCATTGAAAATTAATAATTTAATTTTATTAATAATGTGAAATTCAATTGATTTTTTTTTATAATGTCATCGAAATGTTACTAAAAATATTTTGGTTTAAATACGATTATTTTTTTAAAATAAAATATAAAAAATATTGTTAGAAAATTTTTGCCAAAATTTAGAAGATTTCCTAAGTAGCTAGAGTGATGTATAATCTATTTTTATAGCTGAAAGTTTGATAAAATACTGTAACCCATTATTGAATCTATTCCGTAAATAGAAAAGTTTTAATAAGTAATCATTAAAAAATTTTTTTTGGAAAAACAACAAATAATACATGAAAGGATTTTCAATGAGATTAAAGAACTTTTGAGTGACATTGCAGATTTATCATTTCCTCAGGGGTAAAAATAAAGAATTTAGTTATTTCTAAAAATATCTTACCACGATGTAAGTTGTATTACGAAAGATTTGTCTAACTTACCTTTTTTACGTCTTTTTTCCTTTCGTTTTCTTGGTTGAACATCACCAGACATTATTTTTTCAGTAGATTACAACAATAAACTTAACAGTATTGACTAAAAATAACTGTAAGTGATTTAATCAAAACAATACAAGTAAACTTGATGCGAAAATTTTGATTTTAAAACTGACGAACATAATCGTGGGAGACGGCAGTGCAATCGAATCCAAAATTAAAATCCCTATGAATATAAATCTAGAGTCTCTAGCATAAAAATAATTTGACTACAATAAATAATACAAACTTAGTAAATTTTATATTTTAGAGAAGTTTTTTTATTGCAGTAATTTATATTTACAATATTAAAATGTTCGAAATTCATATTATTATTCAATTTTTTAAATAAATAATTATTTAATTAGATATTTAATTCAATTATTTAATTATAAAACAGAAAGAAAATTGTTTTAATTTTCCTTCATTTGATTCCTCAATGTGTAAGGCACAATCTATGCACTAAGAATTTTACTAAGAATTAACAATAGTAATATTAATAGTTTTTTATGAACACAACAAAAAAGTGATATACAAAATCGTTATTAAATTATTAATACATTACAATTAATATAAATAATACCGCTCATAAGTAATTAAATAATTAATTATCATTATTAAAAATGACTGCATTATTTTCATTATCAAACCATAATGAAATTATTACAGTTATTTGTAAACTTATAAACTAAACTTTGCAGTTGTTTGTTATTCTTACAATGCTAAAAGTGTGCCAAATTAAGTAATTATCTCTTTTCAATAAAAAAAATTTTTTCAATTGAATTCACTATAACTTCGGATTTTATAATTTAATCATCCAGATGTGTTTTTTTGATGTGGACACAGTAATGTGTAGATATGTTAAATTTATCAAGACTAATTTATTACCATCTATTTGCTTGTTCACATTTTAATCTGTACACGATATTAGCACTAAGAAACTGTAAATAATTCTTTGAAATTTAGAGTATAAATCATTTAAATATAAGTCTTAAATATAAATTACTCATTTCATTAGTAATGATAAACATTTCTTATTAAATGAAATTTGTAAATGAGAGAATAAAAATGTTAATCGATATAATCAACTTTATGTGCGTTAATGATATTATATCATAAATTCCAAAGAAATTTATCACAGCATCGTAAGAATCAATAGTTAGAATTCGCCCTAATTCTAAATAAAACAATAGAGAGAAGTGAAAGTTTGTTTAGATCTTTCATCTATACCTGGACAATAATTCTGTACACTGTACAATTGGGTTAAGATTAAAATTTGTGTACTATTCAATAATTAATCATAATAATAAAAATAAGAATAATAATAATTAATAACATTATTTTCAATTATAACGATAACTGTACAACTTATATTTCTTTGTATTATTACTTGGTGTTTTATATCTTGTTCTTAAAATTATTTTGTTCATTAACACTTACTACAATGGAGGGATTCTACAACAATGATTCTTAACATGATGTAAATATACATAAAAAAATTAAACTGAAACTTGAAAAAAAGTAACAAGTCTCTTACTATTTACTCTTTTCTTATTCAATCACTTTTACGTCTTCAATATTCATGATATTATTTATTCAATTATTATTTCTTCAATGAATTATATCCTGAAAAAGTTATCAGACTCTACATTTACATTTTTATTCATGATTGTAGCTTTATTGTTTATTCTTGTGCTTGGTAAAAAAAAAATGCGTAAGTAAAAAATAGTAATCCAGATCCTAAAGCTAATTCAGTTCAATCAAGTAAAATTATTTTTTACGTCGTTACCGTAAAAAAAACGTTCATTTCTTTTCTTTTTATCAATTCTAGAGATCACGCTTGATAAATTATTCGGTAAATTGTCAAGATATTTAAATGTTTGCTCACTATATTTTTTTTTACATCTTATCATTTATTCACAAGTATTTCATTCGTTTTAACTCAAAGTCCGTAAAATTTTTTATGATTTGTTCACTTGAATGAATTTTACTACTAATGAATGAATGATAACAGCAAATAAGTGGCTATATTTAATCTTATCGAAATTGATATCAATTAATAGATAAATGTAAATTGTTAAATTCAATGTATGAATGTGTATTGAGCACCGTTATCGTAGTGATCATTGAAGATAAACTTAAATGAATTGAGATTACGATTTATTATAGTTGTCGACACTATAAATATTATATTTTTCTACGCATTACCAATATTCTTTACGAAAGAAAAAAAAACAAAACAAAATAAATTTTTCAAATAAATAAATAAATACAAATTATAATTGTGACGACATTATTTTGTGCATAAATTTTGAACAATTTATATAAAAGAACATGAAATTAATGTCATGAAATGGAACTAATTAACATTCCAAGAATCAATTTTTAATGAGATGAATGAATAAAATTTATAATCGATTTTTACATTAATAAAATTTTAATGATTCCCCCGACCACTCATTGAACTAGACGATATATCCGAAGCATCGTCTCGTATTCTCCAAGATAAAGAGCCTTCATTACTAAACTTTCTGGTGTTATCATAATTACTGAATTTCCTAGATAGTGTACTTGATAAATTAATTCCTTCACATGTTAATAAACTTCCAACTTCTATCCGCCTTTGATTTTCACAATTTTCATTGTCATTCTTTTCAGATCTTAAAGTATTGTTCAGACTACGATCAAACTTATTGAGATCATTCTGAATACTTCGAATAGTATCTGAATTATTATCATAATGCTTTATAGTATTATTTTCATTCTCATACCTACGATTGATCGAATCCGAATCCAAACATTTTCTCAAAGATTCATCGTATCTAGGATCATCTATTCGACGCATAAAATTATCATAAGTGAACCCTGTATCGATACATTGTTGATTCAAGTTATCTGTATCTGCTGTGAATGCACGTTTCGTAAGTTGTCCCTCGTAGCCTGCTCTAGCAGCTAGAAGGAGGTAGTTATCATCACCAATTGGTGCTTGTCTAATAAAATGAAAAATAATTGATTAATTAGATACATAAGAAATTGGACTGATTTTCGTAAATAAGTGAAATACTTACTTGCTACCGTATTTGGTGTCTCGAGCCAATTTTCTAAAGTAAGCACGATGCTCACGTTGTAAAGCAAATGCCGCATCTCTTAAGGCTGTTAACGTTTTGAAAGTCGAAGTTACATCTTCAATTGGTGATCCACCACCTTGTAAAACACACATTTCACTGGCACCATAAACTGCTTGGCATTCACAATTACTCATTAGTGTTTCTAGTCGTGCCATATTCGCATAAATAAGGGAATGAATCCTCTGTAGATCTCTATCTGGATCAAGAACCATTCGTAAACCAGCTTCAATGCCCGCAGATGCTTCGCTACATCCTAAAGCAGTTTTAGATGTTGCTCTACAACTGTAAGAAATAAAAAAATATATTGTTAATATTAACTATTGAAAACCTTATTGATACAAAAAAAAAATATTTGATAATATAATTCTTACCACAGCCAATGACCATTGATGTAAGCGCTTGGATGATATCGCTCTAATCGATTACTATTTGTGTGACAGATTTTCGTCAGGATATCAATCCACTCTTTTTCTTCAACACAATTTCCAGCTTGCACATAAAGTGCTCGTTGAGGTTGTACTATTTGAAACATATTTTTCATCTTAAACGAATCTTCGTGTAATCTTTCCACAGCCAAAATTTCCTCCAAAAGTATTCTACACAAAGGTTCCTTCCCTTTAAATAAAATAAAGTCAAGCCGTTATTAATATTATACTCAATATTTTAATTAGTAGTTGGTAGTTATAAAAAATTACCTTTTGTTTTTGAGTAAGTCAGATCTTGTGTAGTCAGTCTAAAATATCTTTGTTTGAAATTTTTCCTCCCAAATCGTTTACGGCCTTGGGCTCTTTTGATCATAACTCTGTAAGAAAAAATCAATATTTATTAATAGTATACTAAATGTATGAAGGCTTTTCAATTAACGCACATCAAGAGACACGGGCAATGACGGTTTACAAAGTACCAACCTCTTGCCACAGTCCATAGGATGCGCAAAGAGAAAATTTATACTATTGAGAATAAAATTAATAGGATTTAGGAATATTTTATGATTGAAAATATTTTAAATAATTTATTGATTATAAGTTTGTAATAATTTAATCTTACCCTTCTTTTAAAACTACTGGTTGTTCTTGAAGTATAGTCGGACGCCGTGCTGTTCCACTGTTACTACTAGTAGAAATTAATTCTAAAAATTGCTTAACTGCTTGAATATGCTTTTCCGTATAAAATTCTCTATAATAAAATTACATTGTTAATTTCAAGAGTATTCAAACAATAATTCTCATAAATATATAACTCTGATAAGATACAACAATTGTAATGAAATTCCTCACCTATACACGCCTTCCATATATTCTTCTTTACAAACACTTCCAGCACCTCCCCGACAACTAACTAAATTACCTAAACTTTGTATTGTCTTGGAGATAAGTGTTAATGTTCTATTTGTTTGAAAGTCCTATAAAGTATAAAGAACAAAGTTAGCAAAAAGATGTCATAAAACAAAAGAAAATTTTGAAATAATAAAAACTTACAATTTGTTCAGTTGTGATGTCAAATAATCTTGGACCTAAAATTGCAGCAGCAAAGAACCTGAGAAATATAAATCCACTAATAACAGAGTATCTCACTTCTTTGTTCTGCGGAAAATGTATAGCCGCAAGTTCCCTTAAGCACCAAAACATTTCACACATTAATGGTGGACATCTTACTCCAGACGTTGTGATTGCCGTAAATACACGTTCTACGTATTCCTGTATAAAATTATGATAAATAAGTATAATTATTATCGAAAAAAAAAGATTAATTATTATGAAGTAATAGATGATGAATTTTGGATTAATAAAAAAATACCTTCAAATTAGCCAAATTAGTTTGAATAGTAGTGGCATCTCTAACTCGAGTTGGATCAATTTCACAAGGTTTTTTCTCAAGAATAACTTGATCGATGGCAGGCCTAAGTGTACTATGAAGATAATGAAGTCCTGCCAGACGCATTCCTTCATCCATCATCTTACTGACAAGTGTATTACCACGGAAAATTGTCGTAGGATCTCTATTTATAAAAAATAAAGAATGTAGATGTAAAATAAATGAATAAAATAAATGATTCAACTTATGGTAATCAATAATAATCAAGAAAAATGAAAATCTACTTACGTTAATTTCGAAATTTCATGACTAGCTAACGCTCTAATGACCGATACTAACTGTCCATGATGAACCAAAACTTTAACCAAAGGTTGAGCTGCTTCCATTTTACTCGATACAATTTCACCCAAGATGTAAACCGCAGATGCCGTTATAGGTTGCACATTAACACTTTGTAAAAGTAAACTACGTAATCTATCATACATTTCTGAAGGAAAGACATAATCTGCAGTGTAATGGATCTTTAAACGCAAAGATCCAAGACTTGGAAGAGTCCCTGGCGGCGTTGAATTATGCGTTATTTTACTTGGACGGTGTTTTGTTGCCCGAGGCTGTAAGAAATACCTACAAATGAGCAGAAACAATCATTTATCATTAGAAACATTATCGTAAATACATTTTATTGATACTTATCTCAAAAAATTAGATTTCTTACTTTTCATGAATTTAAATTACAAAATTATGCAGAGGAAGAATATTTTATTTTCCAGGAGAATTAATTTACAGAAATTAAATGGAGTAAGCATTTTATATGATTATTATTATTTTTCTTTATACTTGAAAAAATAATAGAATTTAGATAAAGAACATGTACAATTACAGAGAATTACTTACCAAGCAGTAGATGTACTGGTTGGTTGCTTTTGTAGGCCTCTGAGTGGAACCCTAACTTCACCCAAGAATGCTGGCTGTTCTCCCATGCCTGGAGAAGCATGCCAGAGACCAACAACAACTTCTCCAACTTCTCCATCGATAGAATAATGAGAAACATCCTTTTCCTTTGGTTCTGTCGGTTCGGGCTCAAAAATAAATGTTTCATTGAAGTACGGGGATACAGTCTTCTTTTTCACCTTTGTACGTTTGCAAATTTGCTTTCCATTGCTATAATTGACCGTGACTGTAGCAAACGGATCACATCCACCGTTTTTTATTGTTAGCTCACTACACTCAATCACTCGAACTATAAGCTTAGGCTGGGTGTGATTGACTTGAGGTTGAAGAGCAAGTTCTAAATGTGCTTTTCCTTGTACTTCAGAGTCAGCATCAACTGGACTTAATGGAAACCAATGTTCCTTACTATGGTATGAAGCTAAATCTTTTTGTTTTATCGCCACTTTTCCCAAGATCTTATCTTGCTTCAAGTGTCTGTCACGATCGTAAACGTAAATTCCGAGGTAGCGGAACTTTCTTGGCACCTCAAATTGGAACTCTTCTCCAAAGAATGGACTGCAAAGAGATAAAGTTCAAATGTAAAGGGTTATGAGTTAATAATTCAGTATTATTTATTGAGATGTTTACTTACTCGAGAGTTCTTTCGATTGTGCTAGTACGAAAAATTTCCTCCTGATCAAGAGACAGGGCACAATAAACATCTCGTGTTCCAGGGGATCCATGGCCTCGACTTAAAAGATTCTTTACCTCACCTATAAATAATTTTTATGATAAAAATGTCAGTATAAATAATATTTACTATTTATTATATGCTATATTATTTCTTTTCATTGTTACATGAATAATTGTCTACATTCTTCAACGTCTCACTTGGAAATTCGAATAGCATTCATTGATTGAGCTATTGGCAATGTCGAGACACTGAGTCACAGTTCACAGATACTCTAATCGTGCGTTCATGAATGAAATTATAATATACGTGCATTCATCAATACCCGGTGTAATAAAAATAATATCGATATTCATTTCATTTCACCTATATCATTATATTCATATTTTTTCATATATCAAAACAAACATTTTATGACTGCTAATGATCTTATAATTGATTTCAACAATCAACAAAAATTATCATTATGATTTTTACTGGTTAATTCGTTTTTTATCAATGCCAGGTTGATCGGCTCATTAAATAACATTACCAGATGGAAAATCTATTTATTCTGGTAAGTAATTAGTTAATATTTTTTCGATTAGCCTGATACTGGTGATAATAGACGTTCAAAGAATATTTATACTGTTTTATCTATAAATTTTACCTCTAGTTACTTCTATCTAACAATCTATTTTTAATTTATATAATACATTGAATAATTCATAAGCTGTGCTAACATTAACATAATATCAACTTCATGCAATTTTTTATTATTTTAGTAGTTTTTTTTTTAAATAATTTTATTCTTTTTTAAAGAAATATTTAATGTATCAATAAAGTTAAAAATATACTTTATGATTATAGAAAAATTTTGTAAATTTATTGAAGCATTAATAGATATAAATTTAAATTGATACTTCTTTCAATTTTTTTATTTTTTTAAACGACATTGTAACCACAAAAGTTTTTCCCCTAAAGTTGCCATTTCCTATGATAACGAACAAATATGGCTTTTTTTTATAAAATAAATAGTTTTGCAATTTTGTTTACAGATTATAAGAAATTTGAAAATGGGCACATGCTCGATTAAATATCCTGTGGACATGCACCGTTGTGTTGTGTAAAGGAGGAGTTGTGTTGAGACGACTGAGGGCGAGAAGACGCGAGAGGGAAGTGAGTGTGATCCACGACAACGCGTGGGAGTAGAGAATCAAGAGAATGTACGTTTACGCATTTTATTCTGCAAATCTTGCAACATTTTTCCCATAAACATGAATATATTGGTTGTTTTTTTGTTAAAATTAAATGTATCATGTTTAATTTTGATAAATTTGAAACCAATTTTCGTTTATTTTAAAGCATCATAAGACCTTGTTGATGAAAATTGGGTGGAGAAAAAATAATAATGTTAAGAAAAAATAACACACACAAGCAATTTAGAAATTTTTCTGTTGAGAAATATGAGTCGAAATTTTAGTCTTCCGCCCAGGCAGCACAATCGAGAGAGGAAGAATGAGAGAAGAGCTAGAGAGTGAAAAAGAGAATGATAAAAAGAGTGAGACAGAAGTAAAAGAGACTCCATTGAACTCGCGTTCACAATTTTATACTGTATATATTCCTTCAATTGAATCACAACTAATTCATATAAATGTAGCACTTTAAATCACGTGTTTTATTAAATACATAACACTTGTGAATAACTTTCGTACCAATTTTTATTTTGAGTCTCTCCTCAACGCGAACTAGGCGCGTCTCCTCGGCCATGTTACCTCCATGACACTACTGAGTGACTACACGAACAGAACGCAAGCGGTTCATATTCTGTGAATGGGTTTCGGGCAGGGCCGTAACTAAGATGGCGTCTACAGCGTGGGGGATTCTCACATTTCTAAATCATTTCTTCTTGCGTATTTCCTTTTTATCCATCACTTTACTCATTTCTTCTCTTTCTGATTATTAACTTCCGCATAACCCTGACTTAAGGAAAGCCCACATTTATAAATTGTTTTAAAATTACTCATTGTTTTATCCAATAATACTCAAGAAAATTATTTCCGATTTACATAACCTCTTTTCACTATTTTGTTAACTGATTTTTCATTTTACTTCTTATTAACATTTATATCATCATAGTTGAAGGTAAAAAATTTACAGTAACTGTATATTGCTTTAATTATTGTTAATCTTTATTTTTTAATTTAAATTTTATTTTTTTTGCAAATTTTGGGGTTATGAATTTTGCAATACAGTCCTGGGTCAACCCGGGGAGTGTGTCCAGCATAAAAGTACGATCTGGCCCTCGCGTGGTCTCTAGAATCTTTACCAATACAACATAAATACTACTGCAACTTGAAATGAACAGATGCATCGCAGCTTACAGTGTGGTTGTATGATGGGCCATTCCTTTCTTATCATGAAACGTGCTTCGAGTCCGTTTGTCGGCGGACACTGCACACAACCTGTAAATACGTAATACCAGCGTGTTGGTCATGTTATAACTCATCGGCGCTCGTATATGTACAGCAAGCCATTTCCTGATGGCGCAATGGTCCGCTTCCTCTCTTTGCTCACTCGCACGTTTGCTATCTTTTCTCTTTAGTCCCTCCCGCTGCTGACTCTCTCCTCCACTGTACTCTACACCTTACGTGGAATATAATTAAAAATGTCTAGATAAGTTTTTCTGTCTTTATAAACTTAATTAAATAATTAATTAATTAACAAGTCTTTCAAGTATACATGTAATTGCAGGATAATCTGATGGATGTTATTACTTTCCTGAGTATGTATTTGGTAAGGCTTTTATCGATGAAACAAGGTGATGAGACAGCTGCAATGACCTAATCTGACAGATTACACGAGATTGTCGAGTCGCGTGAATGGAGTAGCTACGACAACGTAGAGTGGCCAAAGGGGAAAAAATATGAATGAAGTTGCGGCGTGCTTGGGCGACAGTTGGGCGCCAACGGGAGAGTGTACGATAGAGGAGGGTATAGACTTTAATGTGCGCATGCGTTCTACGTATAAGCACGTGCAACACTTTCGTGCCATTCAACGTAAAATGTAACAACTGATGAACGGACAAGTCAATAAAATGTGGGGCTTGCGTGTCAACTCTAGGGGACCTGCTACTGGGCTTTAATATTTATGACCATGGCTTCCTTTTACTACAATCATGACGATTGTAGGAGATCAATATTTTATTAATGTAATTATATCACGCACTCAGGTGTTTCCATTTCCCAGATGTGAATCATTCACAAGCCTAAAAAATTAATCATTCTCGTATTAAAGTAAAGGTAAATTATATGATAATTATTTCATTCAAGTGGGTGGATGCATGTACATAATTTGTGATAGGTAATCTAGAATTATTCATTTGTAAATAATTTCAATTTGGGGGATTTGATAAACTTTTAATAGACATTCAGATATTGAATGCAAAATCGTATGAAGCTTTAACCTTTGCATGATTTATTCCCATATATAGGTCACATTATTCCATCATTTGAATCGCTTTTAATTCGAAATACAAACTGACTAGAAAGATTTGATTGGTTTTCTACATGCAAGTTTAGCTTTATTAAAATTTAAACTAAAGTTCACTTAGAGGAAGAAAATCATAGTAATCAATTAAATGATTCATATTCATAATAAGAAGTGTATTTTAATTAATTTAATCTCTAAATTTAATTAATCTAGAGTGCTATTGGGAAATCTTCTTGTTATATCAACTTGTATACATCGTATTCCCAACAAATACAACAATAATGGCATCCGTCTTTGTATGAATAAAGGCGTGTGTCGTAAACTTGCTACACCTTTTCCTTTAATGTTAAAATTCATCAGCATAGTGAGATATACAGTATATAACTTATTGTTACTCCAAAATCTCATTGAATAAATTATGTATCTACTAATGGGTGGGTCGGAATTGATGTGATACTTCCGGAAACCAATGGAGATGGATAAACAGAAAACAGATAGCTGTTACATTGAAATATATGTAGAATATCAAAATATTTGAAAAGGAGGAAAACGAAGAGTTTTAATGTTGATTAGTCAACTTCCTCATCCTGTCTAACTATAAGGTAAGCTTATGAGCTTAAAATATTAAATTAATGCGCATATTAATCTTTCTTACTTTCTAGAGGCATTTTTTATACTTTACTTTGAAGAGTTTTTCAAAGGTTTAATATGATAATAGTGGTAATTGGTCTACTAGAAAGGTGTTCCATTTAAAAATTACAGTTCCCAGGATGAGAATAAAAAAAATGTCAAGTTATACTACCATGAACCAAACAATAAGTTGTATAGTATTATGAAATAATGAAATCAGTATGACATACTACAATAGTTGGTATGATTTTTGAAATTTGCTTTGATAAGCTGATGAAATAAAGCCAAGTGAAAGTGTTATGGGATAGAAAAAACAAAAAGTGCAAAATTGATAGAAAGTATAATACTAGAATTTGTAAAACCTGAATATGGAAAATGTTGAAGAGAAGTAAAAAATTATTATATAAAAATAACATATGAAAGCACATATGAGAATTCAATAGTAGCATATTAAACTTGATAATTACATTTTCAACTTTCTTACTCCCAATGTATATACTCTCACTTGCACTACTTTTCCGGCTGAATTCTAAATATAAGAGTCATAAACATTAAGCAGGAAAGCAAGTGTGGGTCATTTGATCCATGTTATATACTGGAAATAGTTTCATTTCTGTGGAGTCAGGTATTTATTTCTACTTTTTATTCATGTCCTGTGTTTAAACGGAAGCTAAGTAAGTTGTATGTTTTACCGTGGGTTCACACGCATGTATGATATTGACTAGAGCTGCTGTTCTAGAAGTGGAAAGAGGATGCGTGGGTTCTGTTGCCACCTCAGGGAACACGTGGGTGTTGCTGAAACGTATGACTATCCGCGTTGGTTTACGTTGTGTTCATAAGGGATACGAGAAGGACGCGTCCTCGTAGGCGGTCCAACGAAGATCACAAGAGTTATCTCAATACTTGACTTCTTCAGTGACAAAGTTCTTATTTGGTATTTGAAAATCAACGAGGGACTAACAATGTGTAGGAGAGCACCGATGGGCGTGTAATAAAGATAAAAATCGTAAGGAAAATTAGAATAATTTATATTATTTACTTGAATATATATCACTTATAATTGGATTAAAATGTATGCTGATGCTTTCAAAGTTACCCATCTGCCATAATTTATCTAGAAAATGAATTCATAACATGAATATCAATGAAAAACAAGTTTCTATTTCAAGGTATAATTTTATTCCATCGACAATTTATTTTCATATTTTGAGTTATAATTAAATGACCTTGTTAGTAAATCAATTAGTTTGACTAATTTTGAGTTTAAATAAAGGGCAATGAAAATCCATCATGCATGAGGAGTTACAGTTTAATTAAATCTCCCAGTTTGGGTTTTCCACTCTTGGAGAACAAAGGCATTAGATGATTGTCCTACTTACGCAATTCTCAGATGACGTTCATATAATGTCGAGGAAGAAAATCAACTCATATAATTACTGCTTTGTCTTTATAACATTTTCCCCGACCTCTATTGCTCCATCATTATGTGCTCTCTTTTTCGTTCTCCACCTTTAGTATTATCCTTTTCACAAACTCTCTCCAGCTCTCACAGTTTTCTAGACATTTTGTAATTCTACACTTATAGAATTGTTTTATTAAATCGCTTTTGTTAACGAATTCGCGGAAAAAATAGATTAGTTTAGAAAATACAATCGACATTTGTTACTGTAGAAGGTTATTAGCATTCAATTGAAAAACAAACTTTATTTTTTTCACATGAAGAAATTTGTAAATAATATTTAAGAATGTAAAAGATACATAATTAAACTTCATATTTTAATTGGTACAATTTTGTCGATTCAAATTTAAAATCTTCGAGAACAATAGTGCCCCTTATTGGAATGCGTAAGAACTATTTTAATTAAAAATTATCTATTAATGGTAACATAGAGTATTTTATTGTCAACATTGTAGCTTTATCAATATTGTGATAGATGTGACAGCACGTGTTTTGCATTAATAAAGTGTTAAACAATAACTAAAAGAATGGATTTTAAAAGTTTTACTACACCTTTCACTGTTTTAGGCCCTGGTAAGTTTATCAAAATTATCCAAGTGATTCTAAATAACTTCACTCAGTTGACAATTAATTTATTTCTATTTAGATGCTCCTGATGCAAATGATGATTTGTATTATAAAAAGATATTGGATAACTTATACAATAAACTTAATCTTAAAACTCATTTAAATAGTGATAATCTCCGTCCAACAATTCACAATTTAATTAATGAAGATGGCGATAAGCTTCTCGAGTGGTTTCTGCTTGGTACAGCAGCTTTACATTTTTTTGTTCAACTTAACTTTACTGGTCCAAAAGTTTCTGAAGACCTGGAGTGGTTGAACAATAAAAACGATGAAGCTCATCAAGAACTTGCTGTTGAAGATCAGTGTAATGACAACGCTGTTAATTTGGAACTGTTATATTTAGCTAAATTAATTTTTTCCCAAGAAAAAGTCCAAAAAACCTATGACATATCAATTTGGTGGTTGTTCAGAGCTCATTATGTTCATCAACTAATTTTAGATGAGACGTCTAATGTTATTATAGAAAATTGTGAGCCATTAATTCAGAAAATAAGCCAATTTGATGCTTGGAATAATGAAGAGAATAAAAGCTTAGAAGTATTATTTAATGTTGAGGCAGCACACTTCTGGTTACTTTATAAGAGAATTAATAATTCTGAAAAGCACTTAAAAACAGCTGAAGATATTGCAATGCTTGATTTAAAATTAGAAGGTGCTATGGGAAAACGTACTAAATTTCAGCAAGAGGAAAAGCCACAATTATTTCTTCATATTACAACTGGAAAGCCAATCTTCCCTTACGAAGCTAGTCCTGATTTACCAATTTCAGTGAATCTAATTGATGATCTAAGATTAGAAACAATTAAATTTTCAAAGGAGATTAAGCGACCAGAACTAGGTGCCATTGAAGAATCAATTATTCTGGCTAAATCTGTTCATCTTCAAATGAATCAACCAAAAGACAACTTTGCTGAGGAAGAAATTATGCCTTATTTAAATGTAAGAACCATATTCAAATAATTATTTTGTAGATTGATTGAAAAAGTAGACTTGTATAGAGTTAAAAATCAGGATATTTTCAATTACGCTGTAGCTTTTATTGAAGTAGAAAAAATTTTTTTTTATTTTTTTCTGTTTCTATCTGTTTCTTCTACTGTGTTTGTTTTTTTAGTTTAGTTTTCAACTTCCCTTGTTAATAACTAGCCTACTTGTAAAGAAAAAAGTTACAATTTCATTTACTATTAAACGAGAGTATTTCAACTTTCATTTCAACAAAAAAATTGTCCTCCCTTTCTTTATTTATAGTTTATATCTGTTTTACTTTTAACCAAGAATATTTGCTCTTCTTTATTTATCATACCGAATGAAAATATGAGAAATTTTCATTTTCATTGCAATTTCTAGAATTCATTGCAATTTAGCTTGGTATTTTAATTTAAGCTGTCATTGGTAGGAATAATTAATTTCATTATGCAATAAAGTATGCTAAAAATAATTTTTTTAATTATCTATATAATCACGATGAACCATATTATTTCTCATGATTAATGCAGTATTATTATCAGTAATATATTCATTATTATATCAAACTGAAATATGAATATCAGTTTACCAATTTAAATGTCGTTTGCGTCATGATTTTCATTTCATTGAAGCACCAGTCATTTAATTTAATGATTAATGAGAGAGAAATTAAAAAATAATTAATCAGGTCACTGTTTCCATGGTTTATTTCTCAATATTATAAATTATTGAAGTTTCTACATTTCAGTAATAATCTAAATGACCATCAAATCCGAGAATAGCATCTAGTGATATTACTAATGAGAAAATACTGTTTCAGGCAGTAATTGAAAGCACGAAAAATTGGCCATTGAAAATGGAAACCTTGAGACAACGTTGTGTATTCGAAATGAAGGATAAACGGGGTATAGAGAGGGCTTTATCTCAGTCTGAAAGCCTTGTAGGACAATGCAGCCAATCAAAGCCGAGTGTCTTTTACAGAATGAATATTCTTTTTGCTAGTGGTATGAAACCCATTTGGATATTCAAGCAAAACTTGGCAGACGCAATGTTGAGCTTAGGAATGGTGAAGGGTGCTTTGGATCTTTATCTCAAGCTTCAGCTATGGGAAGAAGTAATAGTATGCTACACGATACTGGAATTGCGTCACAAGGTACTTGGTAGAAACTAATTACATATTAAACAATTTCAGTCAATTATCAATTAATTATTAATCTAGAACAAATTCCAAAGTTTAAATGACTAATATTGGTGTCTTTGCAGGCTGCAGAAATTATTCGTCAACAAATTTCAAAGAAGCCTACGGTAAAATTATGGTGTTTACTTGGAGATGCAGAACAAGATACAAGTCATTATGAAACAGCTTGGGAGTTGTCTAAAAAACGAAGTAGTCGAGCACAAAGACACTGGGGTTTGTACTATTTTTCAAAACAACAATATGCTGAGGCTATCCCACATTTGAAAACATCTGTTCAGTTGAATAACATCCAGGAAAATGTTTGGATCCGTCTCGGCTTTGCTGCAATGCAAGTTGAAGACTGGAATCTGGCTGCAAAAGCTTATCGACACTACTGTGAACTTGAACAAACGAATTTTGAGGCTTGGAATAACTTGGCAAAGGTTTATATAAAGTTAGGTGATAAATCTAGAGCATGGTACTCACTTCAAGACGCCGTGAAGTGCAATTATGAGAAATGGCAAGTTTGGGATAATTTGATGGTTGTCAGCGTTGACTTAGGACACTTTTCAGAAGTCATTAGGTGTTATCATCGTCTTTTAGACCTCAAGGAAAAGCACGTAGATATCTTGGTACTGCGAATATTAACTGAAGCTGTTCGTAAAAATATTAACGATTCTGAAGGACAGCCAGCGGGAAAACTTCTTCATAAAACTTTGGAACTTTTTGGACGATTGACTGCATTAATCCATAATGATCCAGACATTTGGAGACTTTACGCTGAATTAACAGTTGTTCAAAAAACTGATCTTGATTTCCAAAAAGCTGCTCAATACTTACAACGGGCTTATCGCTCTTTGACTGTTGATCCTAAATGGCTTCAAACTATTGAATCAACAAAAAGTGTTTTACAGTTGTGTTCAGATCTTGGAGATACTTACCTAAAGTGTTCGGAAAATGCAACTATTTTACAAAAAAGATCAATGCTAGGAAGTGCAAAATTATCTCTCCAGTCAGTTATCACGAAAGTTAAACAGGAAAGACTTACTGAGCATCAAGATATTGTTGTAATGTTAGAGAGTCTTGAAAATCTATTGAAACTTATCGTGGAGGAACTTGATAAAATAAAAATGTCTGAATAAGTTATTCGTTATGGGGTTTTATTTTTTTGTCGTAATATACAAGATCTTTCCTTTTAATATTTACGATCATCCAATCAGCAACTGAATTATTCAGAAGATGGGCAAAGGGTTGCTCTACCCTCATGACAACAAATGGGATTAGGAAGTCTAATTCCAGAAAATTTCCAGGAATTTCCGTTACAAATTTTTGTATACAGGTTGATCTGAAATTGAATATTGATTTATTAAAAAATGATAAAGAGAAATAAATACTAAGCGAGAAAATTTAAAATATAATAACAATTTTATGAAGATATATATATGAAGGATCCAAAATGAAATATTCTCTGAAACCCATTAATATAATCGTAATAATAGGCAAGTTTTAATGTCATTTGTTCGTAACAATTCATTACTGAAGAAATGATTTCATAAAGTAATCTTTAAGAGGATACTTTGAGGTAAAGTTGAGCTTTACTTTTTTATACATTTATATTTCATAAATGAAATTATTTTTTAATTTCAAATAAGACAGTTTTTTTACTCGTCTTTTTTTAAAATTTCATATTTAATTAAATAATCAAATACATTAATAGAATATATGTTTCCTGTTGAAAAAATAATTTGTTTGATTATTATAAAAAGTTAAATAAAATAACTTACTTGAAGATTTTCAACATGTCCTTTTAATTTTCCACAAATAGCTTCGGGACCTTTATCTTTAGCAGCTATTGCCTTAAAATAAAATTTTAATGACTTTGAATTGTATTCTTGTGGATATCAAAATTATCAAGCGTCATAAAATAATTTTTACTACTCACTAAAGCAGTACAAAGGCGTTCACATTCATCAGCACCTTCTTCATTACATGAGATGTTGAATTGAAGTGTTTGCTGCAGAATGGGTTCAAGACCATCATCTTGAATAGCCGCACAACTGCAACTACCTTCGAGTTCTAATGCACGACTTTAATAAAAAATTCAATGGATTAAAACAAAAGAAGAAAGGAACAAAATAGTCTTCTTTAATTATATGAAATGATTAAATTTTTACCCGGATATCGTTGAAGTTATAAAAAAAAGGATCATCACTATGCTATAATTTATTTGATGTTTCATTTTTATTTTTGATATTCACTTCTGATTCGAAAGAGAGAAATCGAATGAAAGCTTTCGAAGGATTTAATAAAGAAGCAATGAAAGTATAACTGCGTCAACGGTAGTGGGTTGAAAAAAAGGAATGAAGCTTTATATGTACATTTTCCCTACTCTTCAAAGCATCTTATTTCTAAGAGTATCGAATATACATCGATACTTCAGTACAAAATGTTTGAAGAAAAAGTATCAAGTAGAGCCTTGATTTCTTTTACAAATATCTTTTCGAGAAATATTTTTAAATATTATTGTTCTTTCGTATATTTTTATTTTTCCTGCTGTTTATTATGTTGAATGATTATTTTTTATTGGCGGTTTAATGAAAATCAACTGAACCAAAATATTACCAAGGAATATTTTAGACTCTATCATTGATTGTGACAGCATGTAATTAGACTGGTGATGCAAAATTTCAATTGTATTTCACCAGGTCTTTTATATTTGAAAATTTATGTAAATTGGTGTACTAATAAATGTACTTGACACAAGAGACTTTTAGCGTTCTAGAACTGCTTTTACGGAAAGCACATCGATGGTTATTGCTCTTATAATAAGTATTGGAAACAGGCAAGGCAATTTTCCATTTTATTATGGTAAATATATATTCATCATTAGTAATAACAATAAAAAATACAAACACAAATGTAAAAAGCATAATTATTGTTACTAATGAAACACTGATGGTTGAATTCAAACATTTATTCGATACAAATCGATACAGCTTGGAGAAGTATTATCTGCATCGAATAAGGAATACGAGCTAGTTGATCAATAAATGAGGACAATGCATAAAAAATACAAGGAAAAAAAATGATCAACGAGTGTTTCGAACGTTTGTATTGAATATTATATATCCGGTTTGCTATATAGCTCACTCTTATAATTGTAACTTTTATCATTTGATTGGTTTCGTTTATCCTTATCAAGTCTACGTGAAAATCAGCATGTACTGATTAATCAAGGCTATAAAAACATCATGACTGATCATGACAGCTTTTTCGGAGTTTAGTGATATTATCAGTCGTTTCACAAGCTACAAATTTATGATAAACATTATTAAATTAAATGATTAAAATTTCGTGTATTTAAATAAGCAACACCATTATAATTTAAGAGAAACATTAAATTAATTAACGAAAAGTAAATAATATTGAAAATGTTGAAAGATTGTTATGGAATTATACTAACAATAATTAATTTCGTAAATCAGTGTATTATTTTAATAATCACTAGCTATGTTTTGTACCTTTCTGGCGCCGCTCTTACAACAGTGAATGTTCATGCAGGACTTTGTACAGTTGGAGTAAGTCGTAAAAAATAACAATTTCCAAAGTGCTCGGGGCTAAAAAAGTATAACTAGGAAATGCCAATAGAATTTTTTACGTGAATTTGATGTTCGCTTTTATTGCGTGCGATACAAAAAGTGCATGAAAGTTTTTTTTTTATTTTAGTGGTAAATATTAAGACTTTAGTAACAGGAAAATGCTTTTAAAAATGTTTGAATATTTAAATGTTTATCGTACAAAATATGACAACTTTCCTACTAGAAAAACGATCAAAGAGAATTGAATATTCGTTTGTGAATTAATCAAATCGATATCAGGGTATTTTTTCTAAATATATTTTTTTTTATACATTTAGTTTTTCAAATATTGTCTAAAAATAAAATAAACCAGTATTTTTCTTTTTGCCTGAAATATTTCAAAAGAAATAAACCCAAGAACAATGAGTATTTGTTCATTCAGTATGTAATTAAGTTTTGCAGTCAGCTTTCAACATTCTTGAATTACCCTTTTTATTGTTTACAGTCTTTTCAAAAAAGTTGGAAAAACAATTCTGAATTCTTTTCAAATAACTAAAGCTATCATTTGACAGTCGTGATTTAAAACTTGAAAAGAGTATGACAAATAGTTTGATAGAAAAATGAATAGATCATTAGAACTGTGCATTACTCCACAACAAAGAGGACATTGTTAACATCGATTAATTGGTGCCAAATTGTGTTTCAGTATGTTCTCTTGATGTCTAAAGCTCTCTTGGTTTTAACTGAAGAGAACATTTGGTCACGGCAATTATCACGACGTGCAACTCACCATGTGCACTGGTATCTACAGCTTCTTGGTCTTGCATTTAGTATTGCGGGAGTAGTAGTAATGTTCAAGACCAAAGAGGCTCACTTCAAATCTACTCATGCAATCTTAGGCATCACTTCAATTGCGATATTGTGTTTTCTCTCTTTATCTGGAATTACTGTCCTATTCGCTGTAAAGCTAAGTACTCTAGTACGGCCTGTTATCTTCAAATCAGTTCACAGTTTCCTCGGAATCGCTTGTTTCTTCTTGGGAATGCTTGCTGAATGTTATGGATATAATAAAAGGTGGATGGTTAATACTGTTGGACAAGGAATTGCAAACGTGTGTATTACGTGTACTGGAATTGTCACTTTTATCTGTATATTTAGACCTTTAAAATCGTTTTATCATCAAGTGAAGTCAATTCTGGAATAATTTTAAGTCTTATCATAACTAAGCAGTTTTTGTAGCTTAGGTATTAATAATGTACTTTAATGTTCTGATGAGCTTTTAACAATGCCAAAATATTGGACATTAACTGGAGACAACGACAACCAGAGTATTTATTTATGTAAATGTAGTAAAGGATATTTGAAAAAAAGATAACGAAAAATATTTTTTAAAGTACACATTATTTTTAAGAGTATATTTTGGGTTTCTTGTGTAATTTTAAAAAGTTATTTTCTATTGTTTAATATAAAAAAGACTCAATGTTAATTTAGAATTTTAATAGTGATTTATTTAAAAGTCATTAAAAGATCGATGATGATTTAATAGTTTTTAAATAAAGTATTAAAATTAAAAAAATAAAATAAAATAAAAAATGAATAATACTTTATAATATACACTTTGATTGGATAACAATATCATGTTTCGATGATAAAATTTAGATATTTACATGTGGTTGTTATTACAAGATAAAAAGAGTATATGCTTACAGAAGTAGTACTCTATAATTTTTTTTTTAAATTGTAGCTTTTCCTATTATTTAAAAAAGTTGTAGGAGACGGAAGTCAACAGCGAACTCGAGGACGGTGGATATGATGAGCCAGGCTAAAGTTGCAAGAAAAGTTGATCGTCCTGATGCTAGACTATGCTGCATAGCCGCAGGATTATCGCCATTAAAAATATGAACGTACACTCGTGCCGGTTGAGCATTGCTTGCCTCGCAGGTGTAATTTCCGGAGTGTCTGTCCAATGCCTTTGGCACTTCGAGCCAGCTTTCACGACTTATGAGATCGGTGCTAACATTCACACCTTGATCGACGTCGTAGTTTATCATACGGAAGTTGTGGTACCAAAACAAATACGACGGTGTTTCCGTTGATTTTTTTACCTGACAGTGAAGTTGAAGAGTACTACCTGGGCGCACGAATTTTTCTGGAGGTCCATCAATTTCCGCTTTCGCCTCTGAAGCAAAATACATGATTACTTTACTGACATTTAGCAGAGCAATATCTTAACGTGTATAAAATAAACCGTTGGAGAATTTTACCTCACTAAACGTTACATGAATTTTACTATGTTAAATAAATAGTTTTTTTCAATCTTTTTTCTCTAGGTTATTTAGTTTCTACATATACATATTCTGAAAGGTTAAGAGCCTAGATAAATCCATTGTTTTAGTAAACAGCTAGGTTTACACGACCTATTTTCTATTGTAATAGATTTACACAACAACTTTGCAACTCGATATAATCATGCTTAAATTCAGCATATTTTGACGAATTTCAAATTGGTAACAAGTTTCCAAAGTTAATGAAAAACTAACAGCATCGCTGAAATTGTACACTAATTCCTCAAGGTATCTTAATGAATTTTTAGTTGCTAACTTACATGCTACTAAATTGTTAAAATTATCTTAAATCCACAGATGATTGTAATTTATATTTGAAATCTACGTTTTCATTATCTTCTTCTGTAGGTATGGTTTTTGTTTTAAATTGGGAGAAAAGAGCTTTGACATAATATATGTCTGAAAACCTGAACCTGAGAACCATTCAACTGATGGGTATTAAATTTAGGAATAGTATTACAGAAAATTATGCTTGCAATTCTTTCGATATTATCTTTTATTGAATATTTTTTTCTTTTTTCTTGCAAATAGAGTAAAAAAAGGAAATAATAATAATTATAATAATAATTCTTTAGTAATCTTTTATTTTCAAATGTTGAAAAGTTTGAAAGTCTTCTTTTATTCACTTCTCAATTCTCTTGCTTGATAAAATATCCAAAAATTTACATAAAAAAATAATGGTAATGTTACTTTTCTAAAAACTAAATTCAGTCAAAATAGTTTTGACCATTTAGCATGGCGTATCCAATGTTCTGTTCAAAAGTTATGTAAACTTTTCTTAATATATCAACAACAATGTTATATTCAGAAAGACAATTTTCGTGTACTTCAGACAGGTATAATAAACATATATTACATGAATAATTAATTGTTGTAAAATTACGAATAAAAAAAGAAAAGATAAATTTCATGTGGGACTTTTTTAATATAAAAGACATGTTATGTAGACGAGTAAATGGACTTGGAGCTATGAAGAGACAAGTCCATAGAGAATTTCCATTAATAAATGCTTACCAACGACCTCGAGAAACAGAAATATACTCGCGGGTGGATGAGTGGACACTTGGCACTCGTACATCCCAGCATCCCTAGTTTGTACGTATTTTATTTGAAGAGTCCAATCTTCGCTATGATGAAAGTGGATCGCCTGGAAACGTCCGTCGCTCGCATATGTTGTCAGCCCAACAGTCAACAACTGCTGAACTCCTTTCCTTCTTATCCAGCTTATCTGTAAAACAACCAAATAAAATCTACATATTTACCCAATCCTTATTATTATTTACCTCTATTTCCAATTCTTTACAAACAAATATTTATCCAGTATTTGTGATGAAAACGGTTATATTCAGTAAAAACATTATGAGAACAAAAACGTGCTTGTAATGAGTGTATTTAATGAGCTTTAGATGAAAAAAATTACAGACTTTTTTATGATTAAGTAGTTAAAAACGATTTCTCATTTATATAGGCGATAAATACACATCTTAGTGTGAAGTTTAATTTTATGTCATCATTATATTTTTCGAATATTAAGTGTAAAATGAAGCTTTTTACATGAAAAAAAAAATAACTCTGATAAAAAGTGTAATTCTATGTAACTTAATCCTTATTTTTGCATAATAAGAACGTCAAGTAATAAATAATAAATCCTTTACGTAATAAAACAGAAAAAAAAGTAAATAAAAATAATTCTGATTTCAGCTTTAATGATAATACTGTAGATTTTTAGCATAAAACTTTTTATAATGATCCAAAAAGCTGCACGTTCTATTTCTTGAAATGTTCTTACTTTTTTTAGGCTGGTAAGCGACTCTTAATAACAGTGTTTCTAGCTTGGTGGATAAGGTCGAGGTAGAGCTAGTTAAAACACGGTTGAGTTTATTGCCTCGCGAAACTCTCAAGCCATAAGGCAGTAACTCAATTCACTCGCCTCGTCGGCAGGTTCCAATCCCTCTTGGGTGTCCTATGCTAAAACTTTCTGGCTACTAATTTGTCGTTGTCTTGTTTTTTTGTTATTTTTATATTTTACCTTATGTACATGGCTTGCTCGACAATTTATCCATGAATAACACCAGATATAACATATTGTATTATAATTTAATATTTATACTTTGAAAATTGCAATTTTCTTAGTTAGTATCCAGTATCACATTTCAGCACTTTCGTTCAAATTATGCAACTTATTAACCCTTTATCTCTGCTGAGATCTCACTTGAGCTTGTTACTATTAAATAACAATTTCATTTACGTCTTATATTTATGAAGTTCCCATTTATTAAATTATAATATATTATTTATAATTAGCTTTAATAGATCTTCAATGAATTTTATAATATCTCTAGTATTATAATTGGATTTCTTTTATTAAGATACTTATTCATAAAAGATTCTTTTTGACAATTCTGCAGATAACGTCTACTTGCATTATGTATTATAATTCAATATGTATGCTTTGAAAACTTCAATCTACTTCGTATTCCATCGTCTTTTCTTCATCTCAAGTCTCATATTTCCTGTTACATGTTGGTTTATTATCAGTTTAATTCAAATGCCATCGTATTTTAACGTTACTACATTATTTAGTGTTTTTGTTGGTTGAATTATTCAAATTGGATTTTTTTTTGATAAAATAACCATTAATCATCTATGAAAATATTTGATAGCCTTTTGGTATTAATTAGGACTAAACTAAACTTGATGATAAAATCAGCTTAGAACCATTAACTTTTTTTAATAATTTAAACAAAAAAAATTTTAAATTTTTGATTGGAAAATGCATATGCATACTACTAGTAGTCTATATGTACTTGACGAGCAATATTGGATGAGTACAAAATTGATTATTAACGACAGAGCATAAAGTTTCACCAACTATCTAGATGAACTAGATTTTTTAATAATTTGCTTTTTTTATGATTCATTAATTAATTTTTCCCTATTATTTATGAAATAAATTTCTTTATAAATATTATTTTACTTTAATATTGTATTTCAGTTTTAGAAATATGTTTTTGTTCTCATAATATTTATATCATACTGAAAAAAAAATTTTTAATTAAATAAAAAAAAACTTTTTTTTAGTTATATTTTCATTTATTATGAAATATGCTTGAATAATTTAATTATTAGATTTAGATATGTTTTTTTTGTTATTGCAATGACCTAACACTCAATCATTAAATATCAAGGAATTTCTTCAATTTAAATAAAATAGAGATTGATCGGACTTTTTACTTTAATATAACACGATATACAATAAAGAAAATTATCTGCACAGTTAGCGATTAATCCATTGAATTTCGCAAATTATCTGAATGATTTAATATAACTACATTTCTTCTAGTTGAAAATCAGTATGCTAAACATATCTTCAAATTAACTAGAAATATACATGAAGCATAGATTTTGTGTGCAATATATGTATATTATATCTATTCATAATTGCTTCTTCAATATATTCCTCTTTAATGAAAACTCTATATATACATATTCTGTGATAATTTTAGTTTCATCATTTATATATTTATCGATAGTTGTCATAATACTCTTAAAAACTGTTTGGTACAGTATTAATATTTATTAAATAAAATGGCGTTATTTATCATTTAATAATCTTTCATTTTTCATAAAGATAATAAATCAATTTACCAGTTATTTCAATCAATTATTTTATATTTTAATAGAGATAAACACGTACCACTATGGTGAGACAATGAAAAATGATTTGATAAAAATGATTAAAATAGTTTTTCTTTTTTTTTGTTTAACAAAAAAATTCATTCAACAAAATGTTAAATTTCATCATGTGTAATTATTACTTTGCAAAAAACTCTGGTGTTAAGCTTGTACTTTTTGTTCCTACTTTCGACAATCCGATTTGAAGGAGTATTTCATTTAATACCTCAACTCATTAACACCTCGAAAAGTTCGACTTATTTTAAGCCAAACTATTAGCTTTATAAAAATATTGAAATTAGTACTGTATTAATAAATTAAATGATTGAAGATATTTATTATTGTTATTATTATTTTATATTTTATATCTATTTAAATATTATTTAATATTAATAATGTTTCTGACTTAAGTTAAATAAATAATTTATATTTAAATTCGTTTCATTATTCATTAAATATTTTATTCAGATTTAAATGGTACATGAATAAAAGATGATTTAATAATTAATAGAAATTCCGAAGATAACGAAAACAGTTGACTTTTTTAATAACGTAGAAATAAATATTTAAACTAACATACTGATTTGAAAGGAATTGCAAAAAACATTTAATTGACATCTATCAATTTATGTACAGATTTTTATTTTTATTTGCTGAAATTAGTAAGCGTCCATTTCGTTGACATATCGTTTTTTTTTTTTTAATTATCAAATTTACTTTAGCAAAGGTTTTCTATAAATAAATTATATTAAACCAATTAGAATCAATTTCTATCTGTAAAAGTCTTATTAATTAAATAGTATTTGGACTGTTAGATATGAAAAAAAAAACAAAATCAACTGGCATTCTGTATAGAGTTATTTACAGCAGTTATGAAAGCTTACACTATTATATAGCCATAATAATTTTTTCAGTAGACATTTTTTATTACATTCACGATAATTATAATAAGTAAGACTACTTTTCTCATTAATTAAAATTGAAAGGATCCATTCTAATTATGTGAGTTTTTGTGAAAAGTTTCTTTCCTATAATTAGTTTATAATCAAGCTGGAGTAAAAATGAAAATGAGCATAGACGGATGAATAACTTAGTTCAAAGTTGAAAGAACTATAACGAGAGAAAAAACTTACGGTTCCGTCGCCGACGTTTCGAACGACACAAGGTAAATGAGCAGTAGATCCAGATTGAGCAAAAATAACGGAAGAATTTTCAGTGCCAAAGGTCATTGGTAATGTTGGTGGTAAATCAACGTCTGATGCGGGTTTAGAAGTGGGAGTTTTATCCACTAAATTGACATCCGTTCGTTGGGGCGTTTCAGCTGTAACTGCTGCCGACGGATAGTCTGAAATAAGAAGAAAAAGTTGGATTACTCGTGTAGTATATGATGAGATCAGAGTCACCAGAAACTGAGTAAGATAGAGAGAAGAGGAAGAAATGACATTAAAGGGAAATGAAATTTAACTTTAGTTGAATTTCAAGAGACTGTAAATCAAGAGATAATTAGCATTATTAATCAAATTCTACAATTGTATAAAGATACCATTGACTTACGAGTTTGCATTGCGATGTTGAGGAGGAATGAAAGCACTAGAATGCTCATTGTAAATTTCGTTTGAAGGTGATTTTATTTAAAAACACGATATGTCTTGATAAATGATTTTTTTATTAACTTGAAAGCTTCTTTATCGTTATTACTTGCTGTCCCTTCCATCGTCTTGATATATTTTACCTTAATGTATCTGCTAGAACCATTTACTCGATGACAATAATTAAATCTTCATTAAAACCTGTAACAGCCATTACATGGAAATGCTATTTTTTTTGTAATAGAATGTTAAGAAAAAATTGTTCAATCAAACAGAATGTCAAATTTTGTTATCGGATGAAATATTACTGTCAAACTTTACTAGTAAATAATTGATTCCTGTTGGAATTGTGTTTAAATTATTATCCTTTGTTCTTCTTACGTACCTTTGTGCTTTTTTTTTTGTTTTTTCATATTTATGATTTGTGGCAGGTATTGCTGACAACTCTATTCTATCTCTATGATATTCTCTTTCGTTTACAATGGAGAGGAACATTTTTTAAAGAAAAAAAGCGCTTTTAGGAAAATTAATATTAGAATCTTTTCTCAAACAGATATTTTAATTTTATGAAGAGTAATGTTTCTCTTGCTAATTAATTAGTTGATTCATGCTGATAACGAAATTAAAAAAAATTGCATTCTTACTATTTTTACTGCAGTTAACGTGCTTAACTAGTAAAAGTATTTTATTAGAATACAAGATATCATTTTTTTTTCTCATTGTATTTAATAATTTTTTGTCAAAGAATAAAGAATTCTTAACTTATACTAGAGTATTTTACTGATAATCATCTGAATGGAAAGAGAATTTTTTTATCAGAAAATTTCAAATTCTTTAACTTTGTAACAATAAATTGTTATGAAAAAGAAAAAATAATAAAACTTGCCATCAATATAGCGAAGAAAAATAAAAAACCATAAACTTAAAGTAATAACTATTTTCGTTACAAATATAATAAATTTTTTTAGTGCTCCACTGTGGTTGATAGTTTTACTTGGTGAATAAGTTAGTTATACACAATCGTTCACGAAAAATACACGGTCAGTGTTTTTCAATTTTCTGGTTATTGTGTGAATATTAAAAAGATTATTTTATTACCTTGGCTGCTTGAAAAAAAATTTATTAAACCTGTAAACATAAAATAGTGATCTCTATTTTGCTATTCAATATAGCTCCTTTGGGATCAAATATTTGTTTCCATTTTTAAAAATGAAATTTTTATCAACCTAAAATAAGTAAAAGAAGTTAAAAAACAAGTATTTGCTAGTACAGTGTTGTAAATGAAATGCTTGAAAACTGTTAAAAGTAAATATGTTAACAAAGTATAAATTTAAAATATAATTGTTTTCATACTAAAGTAATTAAGTGTAGCTCCATAAAATATTTTTTAATTTACTTCGCGGTTCAAGTGAATAAAATATTCTCAAAAATTTAATTTTTACAAAAAACCATGCAGAATTATTGGTTAATATTAATGAATATTTTTTTGAAATTATATCAAGAATTAAAACCATTTTTCACAACTATTTGATGGATTAAGCTTTTTTTCAGGTTTGTTGATACATATTCAATAATAAACGAGCATGAATAATGCAAAAAGCTTTTTTTTATAATCGGCTTAAAAGTGAACACAAAATAACAGTAAAGTCACTACCTAAAATCAAATAAAACAATCACAAAATTAACAAATGTTTTTAATTATTAAATCAAATAGTTCAATAAATTACATATTGAAATATTAATGATATTAATTGAGGATTTATTTTCTTAATTAATGACACTAATTAGTAGAGAATCATGCAATGCATACTGGAATAATTGAATCTAGTTCGAAGATATTAATTCGTAATAAGTTATTCAAACTGATACTGTATCAACGATAGAGCGAACAAAAATTTAACTGCCGATATTTTTTCGATCACTCGATATTCACTCGGGTTGTTTCTGATGAATTTAAATTATAACTCAATATCAATCCACCGCAATTGCATCGACGAATTTGCATGGTAAAACGATCATTGCCTCAAAAAATATTGGAACATGCCATGGATTTGGTCACTGATAAAAAAGTTTTTTACAACAATCACACTTATTCAATTAACTAACCAACATGGCTATGTAATCTAATTAATATTACAAAATACTCATGATTACTTAATTACTTTATGAAATAGTAAACATCTAAACAATAACTAAAAACATGTAAATATGTCAATTTGTTTAATTATTCATAGTTTTTTGATAAAATAAATTAAATAAAATTCATAAAATTTTATAGTCACCTGTGTTAATTGTTTTCTCTATATTTTGATCGCTCGCACACGCAATTGTATGATGGATTATGTTTCATCAACAATCAACAATAATTCCACACAAAAATACTTGAACATTTGCCAAGCGAAATAACTGTTTGAAGTGAAACAGTTTTGTTACTTTCGATAGAATATTTGTAAAAAGAAACTAATGAATGGAGAACAATAATTGTCGTAATAAATATTATTCTTAACAAAGTTCAATATAACTTTTATTATAGAAATAACTGAATCTTTAGAGTTTGTCTTTCTTTCTTGCTTATTCTTGACGTTTTTTAAAGACCTTTCATCGCTTTCACGCCCATTTCATTTTTTTCCTAACAACTTTTCATTCTTTTTTATTTTCTCCTTTCTTTTATGTCTTCTCTCTTAAACAAATACCACGCACCATAAAGCACTCAGCGTGCCAACAATATTACCAAGCCAGTGATGTTATTAGCGTGAAATCAGCCAAAAAGCTTTTGTAGATCCGCAAAATTACTATTATGACTTTTGAATCGTCAGCCTGAGGGTATGCAGGTATAGTTTTGTCAAACTAGTACACCTGACCTCAATTTTATATCAACCTGAGCCATCTACTTTATTGCCAGTAATTAAGACAAGCTATACATTACCACGATAAACATCCTGAGATTAGATCAGTCGTTGATATCGGTATAAACAAACGAGTTTGCACTTATCACCTTTTAGCGTCATCATTATTATTTAAAAGCATTTTAAATATAATTTTAATTAATATTAATAAAATTTTTCTAATATTTTAATTTTAAAAATCTAATTATAAAATTTAATTAAATGGTTGTTAATCAAATGATTGTCATAAAAGATTTGCGTAGAGGTGGGTATTAATTTTAAGAATAAATTAAACGATGTGGCTGAGACCAAACCGGCAGACGACGTACCGCGTACTAACGAGTTAGTTCGTAGAGCTTGGATGCTGTTCTCGATGGGGGTTGAAAGCTAGACGACTCATAGGGAGAAAACGAGAGCACAATAGTGGGAGGGATTATATGTAGACGAAAGAGAGGAGTTGAGAGAAGCGCCTGCGTTCTCCTCTTTCTTGTACCACATCATCTTTTTACATTTTACGCCAGTGACTCAATTTTTTTTTATCATCGAATTTTTACTCACTTTAACAATCTTCATTATTATCGCTTGTTTTATCATTTTTTATCTCATCCTTGTCTATTATTTTGCTCTTTAATGTGAGATTTTCTAAATTAATGATTATCAAGTAGTAGTAGAAGGAGCAATGCGATACGCAGTAATAATTTTCATCATGAAAGTGATCTGTTGATTCGAATTTCATGAGTAGCGTAAGATATTTCGTGACAGAAATATTTTAAAAAGAACTCATGGGATTCATACAGAGATATTTTGCTTCATTTTCCTTATCTGTGACGCAAGCGTGAAAATTCGCACTACCCCGCCCAATAAAATCCAGGGAGCCAGTATGTGCGTAGGAGCGCACCTGGAGTATGATCTGGGGTTGTGTAACTCGTCTATAAGAAAAAAAGGTAGTGTTAGTTTTTTGCGGGATCATAGTAACAGATGTTTTACACGTATATATCTACAAGTATAAATTTCTCGGTTGACTTTAAATACTTAAAATGAGCAAAAGAATAATCCTAAAGCTTTTATTTATGTATATATACTACTAACATTTCTAGAATATATAAAACTCTCTGATCTGCTATTTGAAATGCATAGATTATTTTTTTTCTATCATGTTTATATCAACTTTCTACCTATAATTTCGTTGCAAATATAAGATTGAATTTTGTAATACATTTTTTTTTATCCAACTACATAAAAGTGGATACAAACAAATATTCAATTGGAAAAAAACAGGCTATACTATTTTAGGATTATATTTATGGTGATTTGAATGATCTCCATAAAAGTTTTTATGATATTTCAGTATGATTCGCTCGTTCATTGTGAGGTTGTTAAAGTTTGATTTTTAAAATCATGGATGAAAAACTGTCTCGATAAGTTTATCGAATTGAAATGAATGAATGAAGCTCATGCATGTTTTTTAACACGGACCGGAAAAATAATTGAATTAATAAACGTGTCCGTTAGAGTGGACTTTTAGTTTTCCATTGAAGTCCTTTTGTATGCTTGCACGACGATTAATTTGCATGGTATAGACACTCAAAGAGATTAGATTAATTGGATATAGTTCCGTTCTGGGGACACCTGAAAAAATAAATTAATTGTGCTGGGATACACTTATATAGTGAATTAAGTTATTTAGGCCGTATGAAGGACGGCGACTAGTTGTGGAGTTGTCCATATGTATTTCATTGGCTAAAAAGTAGAGGAACTCCTGAAAGGAACTGCACCCGATTAATTTATGTTATAACAATCAATAGTTTGTAGGAAAAAAAAATTAGATTAGTGTTCTTGCAAAATCAAATAAAAGTTCAAGCTATACTTTTAATGCTAATATAATAGTATTTTTTTTTTGATCAACTATTTGAATAACATTAACTCAAAGTGAACAACATTTAACGTTTTTTTTTTTTGATTCAAAATGTATGCTGTTCTTGATTCCTATGGTTTTTGCTTTAGCTTTTTCCTACAAAATTGCCGTCCACTTGAAGTCCTTGTATGATATAAATCCGTGACATTTATAACCCTTGGGTACTTTATTGCTCCGTTCTTTGTCATATACCTCATATGCGTTTTAATAGATCTTTGAGCTTTCTTTATAGTTTATACTAACTTATACTTTTTATAATTTTACATGGGCCCTCAGATATATTCTTACAGACAATTGAAGTCTTAGTAAAAGTTTTATAGTCTATTATGACCATGAAAATGACCTGGAATATTGTGCGACTATTCTAAAGTACCTGTAGATAGATTGCTCCTCGTTATCCATACGTGAAACTAGACATGTTAATAAATGAGCAGTGATCTATATATAATTGCAATCATACGTAAATTTCCAATGAAATTCAAATTAAAGGGAATGTATTTATGAACAAAGAGATATCTATTCTTTTGAAGATTAATTAGTTTTATATTTTAAACTTATAGAACGTAGTTATATATAAATTACATACCAATTTTTATTGATCAACAGTTGACTATCAGATAATTCTAATTATTTAAATAAATTATAAATCACTTCGCACAAAATCACCGGGTCCTGGTGGAGGAGTTGTCAATGATGTAAGTCCACCAGCTGGGTCTGCTGCAAATCGAGGAGAGTTTTGGGGACCAGGTGGCGGTCTTTCTCCAGCTTTCAATTTACCTATTATGTGCTTTGTTGTTTCTGGTGTCAAATCTTCCTGTTAAAGGTTTAATTACAATCCATTACTTATGCTATTTATTTAATGCTGACATAACTTAAATTAAATTAAATCAATCGATAGTTTACTTTTATTTCATCAATTGAACTAATTAAAATTTTTTATTAATTTATTTTTAAATTTGAAAAAAGCTTTGCAAAATATGCTTTCATAATTGCGTAAATAAAATAAGTATTTTGTTAAATTAAAGATCATCAAGCTACTAAGAATGGGTCTTTGTAAATGTAGAGGATAATTAGAGAAGATAATATACGTTTGTAAAATAGTTTCTATAGATTTTCAAATAGTATACCATTCATAGGATTCTACCGTAATAAGATAATTGTTAAACGTACGTAATAATCATCATTCACTTGAAGCATCGGAGCATTGGCACAAGCTCCAAGACATTCAACTTCCGACAATGTAAACAATTTATCCGCTGAGGTTCCGCCCAGCTTACAGTTTGTTGCCTCCTCGACAGCTTTTACAATAGAGTCTGAATCTCTTAACCAACACGGAGTACAAGTACAAATTTGGACATGATACTTTCCCATCGGTCTTCTGTTAAACATAGTATAGAATGTTGCTACTTCATACACACGCATGTTAGATACTCCAATAATCTCAGCCACTTTATGCATTGCAGAAATAGGCAACCATCCATGCTGCCTTTGAGCCAAATCTAGCAAAGGAATCATTGCACCTCTCTTATGACCCTCTGGGTAAATTGCAAGAATTGCTTCCACCCTCTTTTTGTTAGCTTCATCAAATTCAAACGGTATATTGGGATTGTCATATTCAGTATCTCGGTGCTGAAATGCAATAAAAAATTAATTGAAAACGTTAATTGAAAACATCAAAGTAAACAATCTCTTTCAACAATTTAATTTTTTTTTCATCGAGATATAATTCAAATAAACAAATTTCGAAATTGTTATATATTAAAGCAATTATATTTAAGCTTTTTTTTTAGCTTTTATGTCTGCCAAGTTATTACAACTTATTATGAAAGTAATTAAATCAGATAGAAACAAACTCTATGTAATGAAATAAGCAAACAAAAAATAAATTGATAATACTCACAACAAATAGATGATCAGACGTTCGAACAGCTGAAGTTTGTACTTGTCTGATATTTCTTAGTGCCTAAAAAATAATAATACATCATCAAAAGTACTTGAATCTTTATTAAAATCCATCCTTATATAAGATTAAGGTTAACTTTAAATTCTTCTATTTATTTTGATTAGCTATTTTAGATACTTACTGATGTACCACATACTCTTCCCAACGTTGCAAACATTATGTGATATTTTATGACACAAATCGATCAAAAACTATTCTTATTTCTATCGTTAAATTTATAAGTTTGACAGAAATGACAATTTACTTCTCGTTCGTGCCTCCAATATTGCGGAGTGAATATATTTTAGGTTATCTTTTGCATTTCGTTCGATGAAAACTTATTTGTAAATTCAAAAAGAGGGCGCTTACTTTAATTGTTTAAAAAAATTATTTGTTATATGATCGATTAAACGATGATTGGCATGTGTGTTTTGATAGCAGTTATGAATTTATACGAATTATTTTTTTCTAGTAAATACATAAAACTATGTTTTATATCATTTAATAAATTTATTTTAATTTCACGATTTGAAAATGAATTAAAAGTTTTCTAATTAAACATGCATAATATTGTTATCAGACATGATATATTGGCTTCAAGCGTAATCAGGCAGCATACACTGTACATTAAGTGATATAAATTGATTGAAAATTTGGAGGAGGCTGGGTCTGGATGTCTGGATCACTCCTCCATGTCCAGCTCCTCTAATTCTTCTTCTAAACCTTCTAAGTCATCTTCAGTAAATAAGTTTTCATTTATAGCTAATGCTGTAGCCCCTTCTCCAACTACTGTTACAGCTTCTAAAAAAAATTAATGGATAAAATCATCACAATTACAGATTGATTTGAAATAGTAAAGTATTGATTTCATTATTCTGATTATTTTACCAGGTTCACCATTAATTTCTGGAACTTTTTCACTCGTCAATCTATCCGCTTGAGCAATTGTTATACCAGTTGTGTCTAATTCTCGAGCTTCCATTCCCAATTTATCTATATCTAGCTCTCGATACTCTACATTTTCGCCATCCTCTTCATGTAGAGCATAACTATCAATGGCTTCGTCACCATCATCAATGCCTACAGTGAAACCAAGTGTTTGTTTTAATTAAGAAAAGTTTCAACCTTGTTTCAATATGAAAATACTCCAAAGTATAGTTATTGGAGCAAGAAAAAATAGACGATTACCGTCTCCAGCAGCAAGCTCAGGATTAAATGAAAACATCTCACGCCCAGAAATTCCAACTTGACGACCTGCTTTGAAGTCGTTTCGTCTTTTCTCTTCATCTTTCTCAGCTTTCTCTTTCTTTTCTCTTATCTTACGTTTCTTCCATGCCAAAAAGGTTTCTAATGTTATTCTAGTCTATAATTTAATTAATTTGTGATTAATTATTTTTATAATTAGCATAAAAACTGAATTAATATTTAACCAAGTGAAAATTATAATTACTTGATTTGGTCCTAAATTCGCACGTTCTTTTTCTATCAAATCTTCCAGCGAAATTTCGTCCTTCTTATCTTCTTTCTTCTTGTCTTTTTTGAGAACAAATCCTGGCGGTAAAGCATGTCGATAAATACACTTTTGCCCAGAGGGACACTCCCAGAACCATCCATATTTAGACTTTTCCACAGCTTCCAAGAAATGTTTGCAAATCTATAACAAAGAATTCACTTGTCATTCTATTATAAAGATAAGTTTGCTATGCTTTTCTTTTAAGGTAATTTATAATCTTTCTTACAATATCTGTTGTTGGTTTGTTTCCACCACCTCCGTGTTTTTTTTCGACGACTTCTTTCAATTTATCTTCATCCCATTTATCCATTGTATCTGTTTCCTTGTCATCATCTCGCATATCACAATATAGTGACCTTTTTTCAGCTTTACGTTCAATACTTAGATCATGAGAAAATTTACATTTTTCTCCCTTTGCACATTGGCCTTGTTTAAAGAAAGCACAAACTACTGACTTAGGATCAGTTCCTGCAATGAATTGGAACATAGATCATTGATTAACTTTATTCTCACAGATAGAAAAAGTTTATAAATCTTCTATTATCCCATACCCTTATCAATTTTTTGAGTTTGTACTGGTTTAAATAAGAGCGCAAGTTCTTTTTGTTCTTTTAATTTTTTCTCTTTTTCAAGTTTCTTTGCATTTGGATCTTCTCCTTTTCTTGGGTTCACTCCAGGCTTCACTTGTTTCTCAACTTGCTGAATAAATTTCTGCTGCTTTGCACCTTTTTTATTTTTCAATCCAAATGTTTTATCCTAGAAAAGAAAAATTAATATGCATACTGATGATGATTTAATAAGGTAAATAAAAGCATGGTCAATGTATGTGCTTCAAAATATTTCTAAAACACTATTACCTCGATGACTTTTTCTTTCTTCTTCAACTCTGTTTTCTTACTTGGGGCTGGTGCCTTTTTTGGAGGCATTTTGTTGTTTTTTGATGTCACTACTTAGACTTATAATTTAAAAAATACTTATTCTATTAAACTAATAAGAATTATACGGAAAAGTTTTGGAAAATGAAAACCATATGATTTTTGGATAACCAATAAATTTTTTTAATTTAGCCATCTACAGGATTACCATGAACTACGAACTTCAGCTATTTTATCGACTGTTGTTTTTTGATAACTCTGCTATGTTGGCAGAAAGAGTACGAAGTTTACAAAAAGAACACGTCGCACGGCAGCAGCACTTGTAACCGACGCCAAGCCGATCGGAGCATTCGGAGTCCTGCCGGGAATGATTGAGGCTGCGTAGAAATCAATTTTGATGAATAATAGTTAAATAAATCATTAGCATAGCTTGTAATAGTAGTAAGTTTTATTTATTTAATCATTTTTCGAAATTTCTTTTATGGATATCAATAATCGTTTAATCGATGACTGAAATCATCAATTTTTTCTAAGGTACTTACAGTTTAAAATTTTTTTATTTCTGTTGTGTTTATTATTTCTACATATTATCAGCTGTATCTTGGGCCTATTAATATTTACATTGAATAATAAAAACTTTTCTCAACGAGATATCAATGATCGTTCATGTCAATTATTGAAATAATAAAGTTTTATATTATATACTCGCGGGGGGCATGCGCGTACTTACATTACACAATTTTTACGTTTTTTTACTCTCTAAATGTTTTAAGAATAAATAAGAATCTGTATATAAGATTATGACATTTGTTTTTTAATGAAAAAAGCTCTTAATATTTCGTGTATTTTTACGATAACAAAAATTAACGTGCCATGCTTTCACCTAACGTTGACGGCTTTTTTGCGTTGTTTATTACGTACGATAGGTCTATAAGTTGATGATACTGTTTGGATAATGTACGATAGCGAGAGAAAGGGGTATAGTAGTGTGTATGAAATGTATACTAATACATAGCAAGGCTCGTAAATTTTTATAGATCATCCAGTCGCAACAGATGTCATCATATATCATTGTAGTTTTTTCACGTTTTTGGTTTACACCCTCGTCATCATTTTTCTCTATATTCTATATATATATATATATATATATATATATATATATATGTTCCGTTCTCTCGCATTTTTTATTCGCAATTTTTTTATGTTCGTTTTGACATCAGCTTTCGTTCATTTTTTTAATATTATCACATATTTATGACAAAATATCTGCAGTCAAAGCATCAATATGACTTTCAAAAATTTGCACAAAGTCATGGTAATGCTCGTGTTCACTTGTCTGGTCTATGATTTCTTTTTTCACTTCACTGTATTGTGATGAATTGTTGTTATTTATCATTTCTTTACATTTTTCTTTTTTTTTTTTTTGGATTTTTAATTTTTTGAATATAAGGCTCCCACGGCAGTCTCACGAAGTAGCATCAGTTCTTGTATCAACAATTAATAAGAAATGAACATGGTAAAAAGTTTACAAAGCAGAGCTTATGTTAATAAATTATAAAAACACTCTTGAGATTTAATATTAAACTAATTCAACTATGTCAAAGTAAGTGTAAGATGTCATTACATGAAACATGCAACAAACTTATACTTTTCTGTGAGCGTGTTGTCATCTTACACAAACTTTTACTCCTTGCAAAGCTTTGTAAGCTTGATACCATGTTCAATTATTCTAAGCGACTATTAAATAATTTTACAAGCCGATGTTTAAGGACACACTGATGAGATGAGATTTAAATTGTTATTAGTTTAATTTTAATTCTATCCTTGAAGTCAAAATGATTGTATTAAAGCTCTTAATTAAAATGAGAAATCGATTATTTCGTTTAAACGATGTGAATACTATACTTTTCGCGAATCTATAATTAAATGATGTGTGTACAAGAGATGTCATACGAGATCGAACAAGAGTCCATAGAGTATGAAATATTTTTGTAATAATTTATGCTAGCATCAGTTTTTTTCTGTTAGGAAAGTCAGTATGCTAACCGAAAGCTCGTAGAAGCGAATGAATGAATTGTTTTTTTGTTATTTTTTGAAATGACAGAGTTTACTTTATCTTGTAATTTTTTTTCTTTCATTATTATTGTTATTAATATTATCATCATCATCGTTATCATTATTATTATTAAAATTATTCACTTTTTATCATATTCATTTGTCATTTATTTTATTTATTTATTCACTAATGGTCTAACGCACGTGCACAAAAGATTTTTTTTTCACTGAAAAAATTTGTAGGCTCCCATTAGTAGAGCATTTAACGAGGCGACAGACGATTATATATATTTTTTATGTATATTTATAATATATTTATAATATGTATATTTTAACAAACAACGTAAAAATATTCTTACTTGAAACGCGAGTACAGTAAATTTGACTCATCTAAAAGAGTAGCAACGAATCATATTAATATCTTAATTAATATTTCTGTTCTCAAACTAATATTAATGTTACTTTTATTTATTTATTAAATTAAAAAAAATTTTCTTTTCTAAAATTTACGTAATCAGTCCGAGAGTTGGCCACAGTGGCCGTGAAAAATTTTTAGATCGCAAAGACGCTTCGTTCACTTAATATAACATTTAATTTATATTAAAAACTATTTTTAATACTATCAATTATTAGATAAAAAATTTCCTTTGAAAAAATCACTTTAATTAATTATTTAACTGGAACGAAGCATAATAGCGACTGTTTCAAATTGTACAAAAAAAATTACGATAAAAGCCAGACGTATCATTATAAATTTCATCAACACATACTCTAATTTATTATGTTAGTAATAAGAAAATTGTCTAAAAGGGATTTTATTTTTTAAAGAGACTGTAAGATTTACTAAGTAGCGAGATAATCGGCGATCAGCCTAATTATTTTAATGATAAGTCCATTTTTTAAAATAATTTTGAGTTTTTTTATCTTCAATATTAATCATTATTTTAATTAATTACGTAATAAAAAAAACTTTATTAACCAATGAATGCGCCGTCATCTTGCTCCTCATTGAATCGCTTGTTTAATAATTAGGTGTCTCGTCACACGTCATTCGAGAAATATCAATAGAAATTTAGAATTTAGTATAAAAGGCCTCTCTCTCGCTCTTGCTCACTCTTTCATTTTATATCATTCATATATTTCAACATTTTTGTTATTGTAGATGCTGTCTCCGGTGATTTCATTTTTCACATAATAATTATTATCATTATTATTTTTTATACTTATTTCCGTTACTAGTCTTTCTTCATCCTTTCACATATTTTGTTATAATGAATTTAATGCAAATAAACTTTTTTATCTAGAAATTTTTTACTCATTTTTGTTATTTAAAAAAAATTGGTATATACTTTTGCAACGAATATTCTATTGAAAATTTTAACAACGGAGACAGTTTCTATTTTTTTTTTTTATTTATAAATCATTTTTTCATTTCATAGACATGATTCTTTAATTTATTTTTACATTCTTTATTATTGGTTTTTATTTTTTTAATTCATTCACTCACTAATTCATCGCACTCATTCCCGTTGATCACACATGTTCGTAAGTCTCTACAAATGTAACTACTTACGTAATATATTTAAATAATATCTTCTTAATTATTGATAAAATAATTCATTAAATTAGTACTCTACATGTTTGTATTTGTTTTTCACTGTTCTTATATCTTTCACTTTTTTTTCTCTCTCTCTCTCTCTTGTGAAGATCTATTCATTTCGGTTTAAATATGTTTATAATGCAAAATTAAGGGCTAAGTCTTAGACTCTAAGCCCGAAGGTATTACTTTTCCTCTTCACCAGTCAAATTTTCACGATTGTCTCCGTGCGTCCGTGTTGTATTTATAATGCGAAAATTATGTTTTTTTATTTAAATTCATTTGTTTATTTTCAATATTTATTCACTGGTTCTCCTTTCATTTCCATTTAGAGTTTTCTCAACAGGTACACATCATAATTAGTCTATTCCCTCATTTTATTAATAATAGCAACCGATATTATCCACATCACAGCTGTACTATTAGAGAACACATATTGCTGGTGTTATTTTTTTAAGTTCATATAATTATTGTTTTTTTTTTCAATTTTTTATTTTTTTATTTTCTTTACTTTCATGAACACTCGACATGTCAAGTTTTCATTGTCCCCATTTGAACACGAACACACGGAAGACTTGTGTGATGAGGGACTTAACGGTGTAATTGTATTATTGTTTATTATAAATATCATTATCTTAAAGCTAAATTAACTTCGATGCGCGCACGCAAAATCCTGCGAGGGCGATGTGTGTTCGTAAACTATAGAGTTACATAGATCATACGATAAATAACAACTTTTTATTACATATTTATTAGATCAATTGAAAATAAAAATTTTCATGCAAATACTTGTTATGAAGTACACTGAGAAAAAAAATCACTTTAATAGAAAAAAAAAAGAAATTTTAATACACAATAAATTAAATATTTAATAAAATATATTTTGAAAAATTTTTAACAATTCTTATTTACTGAAAAATATAAATTATAAATAAATCATAATTTTCGTTTTTATAATATATATTTCGCACGAATGTTTAATTAGTCCTTACAAAATAAAGTGTTTAAAACTGATTGTTAATTGAAAATGATTAATCTAGTGAAAACATATAGTATCATTCTTTAAAATAGAAATTATTTTTCTTACTAACGCATGAATAATCCATAACATAAAGAACACAATTTTATTAAAATAAATAATAAATCAAAAAAATATTTTTTTCTCAGTGAGAACAAGGTCCGAAATGGTGATAATCTTTATACTGAAAAATTTCTTAACGTGTGTATACACAATAACAAAAAAAAAAATGATTTATGAATTAATTAAAAATAATTAAATAAATGATTCTCCATTGGACATACGTATAAATGCGGATATTGGACACAGGGGAAAAGGTTAAAAAACGTTGCTGAAAGTCTTGGTGGTCACGTTTAACATATAGTCTTTTTAAAAAAAATTAAATATAAAATGTTAAACATTAAATTGCTATAAAAATATTAAACATGCTCTATATAATATAATATTAAATTATAAATAGAAAATAAAAAAATTATTTAAATCTAGAAAGAAAAATAAAAATAAGACCCACGTGACTCTCAGCGAACGACCACCGTCGCCCTAGGTTTTCATTTGAATATAATAACTTTTATTATATTATCCGTCAACTTTTGTTTATTATATATTATTATAAAATTTAACTCCAAATTGCGATAATAACTTCTAGTTGCAACATGTGAGGTGTGTATATGTCTAAATTTTTGTGGTGTATGTAACTTGTAACCTAAGTTTTGTTAGATTTCTTTTCATTCTACGTAATTCGTATTCAATTATAATATTAATTGTTTTTATCAATATCGTTCTTATTAATAATATACTTATTACCATTATTAATTTTTATTATAATTATACTTAGAATAATTATTACTCATAATATGAATATAAATTATTACTATTATTATTTTCATCATTATTGATATTATTATTATTACTTAATTATTTAATTATTCATTTTTACGGCACTTACGTAGATTCGAGTGTTTCGTGTTTCTGCAAGTGGGAGCAAGTGTTTTTTTTTCTCTAGAATCAAATGAATCCTAAACATTGTTATTTATTCATCAATATAATAATAGTACGTCTTCATTCTAATAATCAACCATTAACGTATCAGTTTGCGCACCGTGGCTTTCAGCTCAAGTTTTAACTCATATGTAATTCGTTACACTTAATTAAATCAAATCGAATTAATTTCATTTAATCTGTTTATTAAATTCATTAACTGCATCAGTTTTCTTTCATAAATCACTATCTACATAATCTTTCTATTATCCTTCACCACATTTTAAACATCATTTAATTATCATTATTATTAATAATAATAATATTTTTTATATTTGTACGAACGTGCAAATATTACTTCCAGTCTTAATGCCCTGCAACTATTATGCATTTGCATTTTATTTAAAAATTTTCTTTACCTTATCAATTAATTATTATAAGATTTTTTCTTATATCATTTATAAAATGAGTCAATTCAAAATTACTTATTAATTTTTTCCTCCAATTTGAAATTTATACAATTATATTTTTTATTTCTGCCACGGTTTTCTTCACCATAACAAAACAATAAGTTAACTAATTAATAAAATTTTATATAAATTTTATTTTACAATTATATTTATAGAATTTTCTTGTAATTTTTTTATCAATAATAATAGTAATAATAATAATAATAATAGTAGTAGTAGTAATAATAATGATAATAATAATAGCTAATAGTAATAATAATTTTTTATAGGGAAAACATAACGATAAAATTGTTCTATACAATGTGTGAGGGCACAGGGGAAGTAATATTTACGTATTTAAAGAAGCGCATCGATAAAGTGCGTTAACCAAAACGTTAATCCGTTAAATTCATCTCAGTTAAATTTAACTACGTGTCCTCGTGTCAATTAATTCATTAGAACAGTCCCGAGACAAAAAAGCTTTACGTTTAACGTCCTCGCACCAACATAAGTCCTTTTCAAGGACATCACTACAATGATTATTTTATATCGTCTATGAGCACTCAGTTTATTTAATTTATTTAATTAGTCTATCACCATCAAAGAATGTAAAATATCCAACAATCGAGCTCCCATTCGCATAAACGAACATTTTTCTTGAATTCTTGTCTCAGGACCATCCTTACAAAATATTCAACCATTATTAGTCAATATAATATACTTTGTGTATGTACCATAACAACCAATAGCTCTATTTTATATACACATGTATATGTACTCATCAATTATTCATCATTTTTCAGTACGTACACATGTATATTTTTTATTTATATATACTTCTATATTTTATTTATATATTTTATGTTGTTTTTATGTATACTTCATATATAACAATGTTATGTTTACGTAAGGCCCAATATGTTCAATACGAAGGAAATAATCTGAAAAACGAAAAATAAAATTTATTTTTTTCTGAACATTTTATTAAAAAATATATAACTATTATTTAAAAGGTAATTAGTTGGAATAAAAAGGAAGAATTTGAATTTTCTCATAAATTTCAAATATTATTCATCAATTTTTTTTCAATTCATAGGAAAATATTTAATATAATGAATAGTTCATTAACTATTTTTATCATTTTCTAAAAGATTTGAATAATTTTCCATAAATAATTCAAAGTTAAAAGCAAATTTTCAGCAAAAATCGCAAAAGAGACCATTAGTTAATTAATCAGTTAAAAAATGCAAATTTAAATTTACACGAATTCTCGGAAAAGTTATGAATAATCAACTCTATTTCTAAGAAAGTAACAGAAAGCCACTAAGTGTCGGAATAGAGGAAATTCAGACAAATTAGAAGGAAGTATTTTATGTGAATTTTTTACCTTGACAGAGCAAGACCCTATATCACTCGTGTTGCACGTCGTCTATTAGCGTCGGGTCGCCCTGTTCCACGTCGGCTGTTCAGCTATCGACGCTGAATAGCTCTTTGTGGAGGGCCGGAAATTCAAGATGTGGCTGCGACCGCTTGAACTTGGCGAGGGCGTCCATATGTAGATGTGAGATTTCTCTCAGCTGGGTCATTTTAGCAAGCATTGCATCACATACCGTCACATCACCTTTGATCGGCAATATATGATTTCGTTCAAGCTCAGACCTCAGTGCTGTGATGACAGCTTGCGAGAGTTTTGTTATCTCATTCTGGCCTTTCAATCCTGGTCGATCTATAAATTAACATAGTAATTTCGAAATTAATTATATAATTAGTCAAAGCCCTAGATGATAAAAACTACATAGGATAAATTATTGTCGACTGTAGGATGGCCCTTTTAGGATAGAAAAGTTATGATTTGATGGTACAGGTAGAGTGTTAGCTAATTAAGCAAATTTAATAATTAATATTCATACCAGGACTAAGGAGAATTGTCGCACTGTAAAGTGCAAGTTCAGTTTCTGTGAGTTTAAGCTCAGCTATGCTTCTCGCAAGCTCAAAAACACACGAGATGAGCTTCATTTCTGCAGTATCTGTTGTGTAAAATGCATCCTGGGGCAGCATTGTATCACCGTATAGGACACAGTTTTGTTGGAGATCTAGGTACCTGCTCATACGTAGCACAGCTAATTCAAAAGAACCTGAAAAATTCATTGATATTTGATTTTAATCAATTCATTAGTTATGAATGTAGTTAGTTATTCATTTATTCAAGTGAATGATTAACACCTCTAGATTAATTATAAAAAAGTTCTTTTGATATTTTCGATTAATATTTGAATTGAGACAATTATTTACCGGCTTTGAGGAGGACAATTTGATCATCCTGTGAAAACTTCATAAAGCCCGGAACCATTTTAGCAAATTCGATGATTTGTTGAATAACAGTAGTCAATTTTTGCGCACATTCAAGCCACAATTCCTCGTGTGCCATATTCTTGTAATATATCAACCTGTTAAGATCATGAGGCTTGCGGAACGCTTCTTGAATCTGTTCTGTCGTAAGTAGACACGTTCTCGCATGCGCGTCTGCTATCGTTTTTGACAGCAACTCGCTGATTTGTGCTGGATCTGCAGAATAAAAAAATATGAGTTTATTTAAAAAATATTTGATTTTTAAAAAAAATATAAAATAAAATATCAAGAAATCGGTTCACGAATGAATGAACGAAAAAGATGAATAAAAATAAAGTTCCAAATTATTATTTGCTCTAGCTGTTTATCAACATCTATACACATTTATTTAACCAATAAAATTTGACGAACATATCAGAAGAAAATGTTTTTTAGAGTTCAAAAATAATTTGCCTCAAACGTGCATCAATTTAATCGCAAATAAATGATATATATCATGCATACAAGTTTTGTAAAAAAATGTTTTTTAATGAATTGGCTGGAAAAATAATGAAGAACAGCAGCTGGCAGAAAATTCAGCAATAAAGTATCCACAAAAATAACGGTAATAATAATTAGGGGAGGAGAAAGACATTTATTAAATAAAAAAAAAAAGTGGAAATGGAGATCATAAAATTCGAAGCAAACATAGATGTCAATACTTTTGAAATGACATGGAATAAAACATGCACGTGCAGAGAGGGGATATAGATTTTATAGAAAGACACAAAACATAGCCTCACATCTTGCATGGGACATACTGGGCAGATTATGAGCTTCATCATCTTCGGGTGGATTGTTGACTCTTTGTTGTTGATTGTTAAGAAATGTTGTCGAGTCCACCATCGTGTAAGAACCATGACCAAGGTTAGCGAGTTCAATCGTCGTTTCTTGTTTAACAGCAACTATTCCCCCACCACTTAAAGAACCACCATTTCCGGAACCACTACCCCCATTTCCACTGCTACTCCCAGTACCGTTATTGCTACTACTATTACCACCGCCACCACCTCCACCACCACCGCCGCTACCAGTGCTTCCTCCTCCACTACTTCCACCTGTTCCACTTCCGGTCGTTGAAGCGGATAAGGATTTTCCTAATTTCGGCCAATGGAGATAATCAATAAGTCATTTGATCCTCATCATCAATGCGAGACAAAAAACCAAGAGATTTATTTTGAGTTATTAGATGAATTGCGATTGTTATTATGACCCAATGAAATACACTTTCATTATCATTTCAAACAAATTCATTCATTTTAATGTATGCAAATGATTATGAAATCTAGCTTTGTTTCCTTTCTTGTATTTTAGTTCTCTTTCTTTGTAAAATATTCTAAATTTAGTCAAAATATTATTGACATTGTATAGTCTACGGAAAAGTATTGAGCTTGGAAACAACTCATGTTGAAGTTAACATATCTTTTAAAGTAACATGATCGATAAATACTTTTTACAAATAAAATATTTCATAAACATTTTACTTTTTTTTTTTTTAAATTAATACTAACATAAATATCTTCAGATCAAGGTACTTTTTTGATCCAAAAAGTTATTTATCAACCGTTACTTTGCGTTTTAGTTGAAAAAAAAGTATCTTACCTGTAGTGACGACGTTAGCCATAACTGCACCGGCCGTAACAGAAGGAGTGTCTGGAGCAACTGGGTCCACTTGATTTTGGGTTGGTCTTGGATCGTAGGCAGTCGTACTATCGACGTAATCTGCACTCAGTTCGTAGTTAGTGATTGCTTGATGATTATAGTATCCGGAGCCTCCTGTCCCTGGGCCTGGAGATGCGTATTCACTGCCACCATACGTGTAGCTAAAGAATCGTTTGGCAGAAAAAAGCCGTACAAATTAAAAAGAATCGTGCATTTGTTCATGTTTATTATCTAAATAGAACCTTAAGTAGGCTTATCTTGGTTTATCGTATTGTTGAAATTATGAAATTTGTCCTATATGAGAGGCATCTCTTGGTTTCGAGTCCTCTGATGAAACTGTCGATAAGGTGACTTGTTATATATTATAAGAAGCTGAATAGCGATGATAGGTGAATGGTAAAATATTGAGGTACTAAGGTATTTATTAATTGATGAAAAAGAGTGAGCTTTAAAAATTCAACTAAAATATTATGAGAATAAGCTTGATTGCGAGGTTAAAATGATTAAGATAAATCGTCCAATGAGAAACACTGATGTTATGATGTCATTCTTTCACTGCACAAAGGATTGGCGAGGGTGTGACGGGATAGGAATAGCCGTTACGCCTCTAATACATCGTAGATCAGATCATTTTTATTGTTTATCTTCTAAAGCCGACGACTTCGGCTGTATTTTTGCCTTTGACTTGAATTTAGTAAAGTGATTTATGTTCAGGAAGATTTAGAGTATCTGTATTGATGCAAAAAAGTTAAATAAGTCAATGTGATTGATAGAAAAATTTTTTTATACAAATAACTGACAGAAATATAGTTGAGATAGTCTATCTTTTTAAATTAAATTTGGAAATTATTCTCTTAATATTCATTTCATTCATCCATTCTATTTTAGTTTTAAAAATTGATCTTACATTGTTCAAGTTATTATTTGATTAGGTAAAGTTAAAATAAGATATGAACCTTGACTTATTCTTCTTTGAAGCATCATCTTGATACTTAATTTTCATTTCTATTAAATTGAAGCAGATATTTTAGAAAAATGTTTAAAATAGTTTTTAAAACTTTCTTTTCTGAATGTTGATTTAACTGAAAGTGAAACAAAAGTATATTCAGTAAACTTAAAAAATACTGACCCGCCGTTATAGGAGTGATGTTGATCCGAGCTGCTCGGGGTTTGATGTTCAAAAACACTGCTATCTGGTGCTGTTTCAGAAGCTGCTCTCATTTGCGCCCTGTGGAATCGCACTTCGTCCTCAACTTTTTCCCTTTGTTTTTTTGACATACGCCCAAATTTAACGGCTGAAAAAAAAAATATTCAATTAGTTTGATATGAAAATTTTTAAAAATTAAATATTATTCATAAATAAATTGATTTAATCAGTCTTAGATGTCTCTAAGTATGGTCGTGAAAAAAATTAACTCGATTAGTAAGTCAATTTAATTGTGAAGACGCTTCAAAGTAATGGAAGATCTTGAAAACGTGGAATAAATTATTTTAAAGATCAGTACTTTTTTTATTTTATTGATTTTATAGTTAGACCAATGGTAGGATAATAAAGCGGGGTATTATACCTGAGAAAATAAAGTGCAATTAGTCATAACAAAGGAGTACTAGTTTGATTGAGAGTAAAGAATATTTGAGACTTGGAATCTTAGGAAGAAAATATAGGGAAAGCTTCATGTTTAGCTCTCGTTCTGTTTTGTTTTTTTTTTTTGTTTTGTTATTAATTTTATATTATGTTCATTTTTAAAAAAAATCATTTTAGAAAATATTTTATATTTAAAAAAAAGAAAGACAAACAGTAATGATGGCGAAAATGTTTCTCATCATAAAACAAAGAATAAAAAAATTATATAAAGCGGAGAAATCAGACACAGATCGATTGTTATTGGAAACAAAACGTCTGAAATAAAGCACAATTTAGTAGTATGAGACATCATTACAAAGCTACTACGCCCTGGGGTAAGCTTAGTAGAAAAATCAATGACGTAATGAAACAACCTAAACAAAATGGAGTTTAAATTGTTATTCGTTTGATTGTTCGAATCTTGTATTTATGGATAATTTTATGAAATTTTTTTAATCTTTATGATCAATTATATTTAACTCTTTGCGAATCTTCTTAAGTATCATTTATTGTTCTGTATATATTTTTCGATTAATTGATATTTTTAGGATCCTTATCTCTAGCTTGAATTTAATTCTCTTACTAAGAGCTCTTATACGTTTCGCGTTCTCTCCCACACCTACTGTCATTGAGTCTAAAGTACCACTTACAGCTACGGGGGTAAAAAAAGACTCCCTAGTGTGTTTCAAGTATCTTTGAACACTATATATACGCAATAACCCTTCATCTGTCAATTACGCAATCATGATTAACTTTCTATTATTATTTTATTTATCTTTATTGTTCATTTAATGGCACATTTACAATAATTTGTCTGCTGTCAACCCTTTTAATTTACTTTCATCAACTTGAATATTATTATAACACATTTATTAATTATCATTAGGCAGAAATAATTAATCAATAATAGAGTATGATTATTTATAATTTAATGTAGCTGTAATAGTATTTAAGTAATTTTTTTACTCATAGGACAAAAAATTAATTAAAAATAGCATAGTGCTAAATCACTTAATTGTTTTTTTGGAGTCGATATCAATTAATCTCAAATAAAATCTTAATCAAATTTTATCAATATAGTTTATGAAAATTGGAGCAAAATAAATCATTTGAGCTTTCTAAATTACGTTAAAATAATTCAATGAAATATTTAAATTTATATTATTTTAAAATATCTATTCCGATTATTTCTTTATAAAATCAACGATTTAATATATAAAATCATACTTTGGTTTATAAAATAATAAATTAATTCTCTTTGGAAAAGAAGCATACTTGTATTGTCTTGTATTTTTATGATAAATATTTCGAAAACGCATATATATATTTTATTCAAAGAATTTTTTGATTAGAGAAGAAATTATTTGAAATTTCTATTTCAACAATGAAACATTCTTTTTTTTTCTAATATTTTTATTTCCGTTATTCTAGTGACAAAATTTTTTCTTATTTTCTTTCAAAATAAAGAACAAATGGTGAGAAATAAAAAATAAATCGGAAAAAAAATCATTGTTGCAAGCTCAGTATTTTTAATAGCAGTTTCTTTACAGCAATTGCCTAAAGAGGGGAAGAAGTTCAGTACGCGTGCGTGTTGAGGGAACGCGGAAGCAACGTGGTTCAACGGCTGACGTCATAATGAGGGAGAGACATACGTCATGGGTTAGCGCAGGAACCGCTATAGTCAGCCCCTACAGAAGAAAGACTTATGTGAGTATATTTATTCTGCTATAAAAGAGTGTGTGCGTGACTAAAATGTGAGTGTGTTAGGGAGTGAGAATGAGAGAGAAATGAAAGACGAGCACAACATCGATATGACGTCAGGCCAGCTGTAACGCAGTCTAAACGTAAGTTTGAGGGGTGTGAGACATTGAGGATTGGGAATGGGATAGTGGGAGAGATAAAATAAGCGTGACAAAGAAGAATATAAGCGATGGGGAAATGAGAAAAGTGAGAGAATGGTATATAGGAACGAGGGGTGATCGACCGCGGAGAAAAGGAGAGACATAAACATACAAGGAGAGAGAAACCATCAGGAAGAACACACGGCCTCGAGATGCATTTTCTTCAACTATATTTAGGTTCCAGTCCCTTTATCGATACTCATGTCGTCCATGTTTATTTATAAAGTCATGAAAATACGTTTTTCCAAGCCATAGTCATTTCAATTATCAGTTTTTCTTTGTCGCACCCGAGTATCTTTGGTGCATTATTGAAATTGATGCGAATATATTTATGACTGTTTGATTGTTTTAATTTATGTATGTAAATTTAATTTATTATTTTAATGTTTCGAGGGAATCTGAAACTTGTAATCATTACAACACTACTTCAGAGTTTGATATTCCCCTCTGGAGACTAATTATACACACGTCAAAAGCTTCCTTTAGGGAATGTTAATGATCGTAGTGGGAATATTAATCGATAAAACTTATCTCTTGATATTTTCGAATGTCAATGACTTTTTTTCTTACTACTAAACAGATTCAATACACATTTAGTTCGGGTTCGTGTTATAGAATAATATTACACTGAGTTTAAAGGGCCAACAAAGAATAGGATTTCTTTTTTCAAATTTTCACGCCGATTTTGGAATTGTGTACACAAAGGAACTACTAGAGTATCGATTTTTACTAGGCTGCAGCTTCAGGTTGGAGTATTGTTCAAATTAGTGTATAAAACTTTCATTCAGTTTTACATTATGTTGGATTTATGGGACAAAGATTCATTTTCTTCATACAAACAATCCATGAATAATTTCATTCAGAATCCTTTTAAATTTTTATTATATTTATATTAATTACATAAATTATATCTAAATTTTTTATTGGTAAATATTTTGAATGTGCAATGTTCGAACTTTTCTATATTTTCACATTCAATACATAAAATTATTATTAATAATAATTACGTTTCTAATTATACTAGTATTTAGGAAACAAATATGAATATTACCAATAAAAATCAGATGAAGGATAAAAAGAATACATAGCAATGCTATTAGAGAAACTTGCACCTCTACACTTGAATCATTTGCACAAATTTTTTCACGAATTATTTCAGTATTATTTTTGGTTTCCATCTTCCTAATCTACCAAAAAAAATACTGCTCAACTAATTGCACTAATGAATATAAAAGAGACTGGAGAAATTGTCAATAAATAACGTGGTGAATTATTTATTTAAAGTTTTACAAATTTTCCAATAGGTGGCAATGCTTCAATGAAACGTTACCAAAAGTTCAGTGTCTCCATAAGTGCTTGAAGACATCTGTTTTATTTTTAAATAGTTATTGCAGTGATTACCTCGTCAATGAACTTTACTGAGTAACTTAGACACACGATTAGTGCTATAACTGATATAGATACTACTAAGATCAGAGTTGAACTGACTATCTAAATTCGTGAGAGAGAGAGACAAAGGTATGATGGTCATGGAAAACACGCCCCTACGTAGCAGCACTATTGACAAAGCAGTTTCCCCGAAAACACTACAGCTCAATGAAAATTTTTTGGTTACGGATGAAGAGGAATGACACACCGTTAGATTCTAACAATTTTTTAAGGGCCTTTAGATAATTCTACAGTTATTGTAAGAGGACAACGAACTCTATTATCCACGCTGAAAATCTAGCTTTGATATAATAAATTATTCCATAATTCTAAAACACATATTTTTCTTATGTAAAACAAGTTACAATTGATGAATTGAAATTTTATTTTTTATTGAGAAGATTTAAATTATGGGATTTTTTTTAAACAGCAATAAATTTTTGATTTTATATTAAATATAAATAGACATTTTATTGTTAGCTACGGGAGTAGAGTCTTTTTATTAATATGGTCTTCAGTAAAATGGTTGAAGAGGGGAACATTCAGCCGTCTTCGGCAATGATAATGGTATTTTTTATAAAATAGTCATTCTCCCAATTTAGAATCCCATACCAACTTTGTTATTAAGACTTGACTGTATAAAATAGTCTATTGCTCAAGTAAAAGAAGTTTTAAATGTTCATTTATTGTTCATTTTATGACAATTTTGACGTGAAATATTTATCCATCAATTCTTAAATAACATTGAAGACAATTTTTATGATAGATTTCTCGACAAGACAGATCTAGGGCATTTCTGTTCATCTCTCAGTTTCTATTGAACTGCCATTTATAACTATATGCTTGGCACAAACTACGATCATAGCTATGAGAAGAGAGCAAACAGTCAGAGTGTCTCTATTGTTTCTCTTGAACGTACAAATGTCAACGTTTCACCTTTCCTCGCGGGTACATTTAATGACTGTGACACGTGCGTTTTCTGTGTCTGAAGACAATGCGTGTTGTCATCGTTTCGTGTGGCCACAATTATTCACCGAGTCATTGATTTCTTTTCTTCCTTCCTCTTTTTTTTTCACCATTTTTATCTTTTTCCTATACATTACTTTCTTTATTTATCCTCATACATAAATTTTTATTCGATTGAACCGTTATTTTTTCCTTTCTTTTCCCATGTAGCATTCACCGTTATACATATTCTTTTGGACACTACATAGTGTCTCCCGAATTTTTACCGTTACATCGCGTGACGGCTGTTGAATTAAGTCAGGAAAAAGGCGTGACTATACAAGTATGAGGAAAAGAAACAAAAAGATTTTTTTGAAAAATTTTAGAACATGATAAAATGTTGATGTGAAAAAAAATACCACAAAAATATTTGAATTTTAAGAATTATCGGTTTTCTTCAACTTCTTTGTCAAAAATTCTGCCAGCGTTTCGTGGTTGGAGAGCAGGAAGTGGTACACCCAAGTCTCTATTTATAATTAAATCTGATAAAAATTAAGTGATGATTGACGTAATTTTATTTCACATACGTACTATGTTAAAAAAATATTGATTGCATTTTCTCCATCTCTATTGCCTCAGTTTATTCTTCACTCACGCTTGTGTTATTGTATTTACAGTAGTGTTTGTACATGAAGCTGCGAGAATATATTGTCGTACATACTAGTTACGATAAGTTAGCTTGTGTTTTACAGGGGGCGAGACGAAGAAATGGTTGATAAGGGGTCGTACACCCCGGCAACAAACGCGTATAGCAAACGCACGTATTGTATATGTCTTCAGCATCAGTCTTAGTCAACAATTGGTTTTATAATGTAAAGTTTAAACTACTTTAAACACTCTTACTTTCTCTCTCTCTCAACTTCATATTTTTGTAATAATCTTTGTCAAGTTTCTTTAAACATTCTTTTGTATTTGGTGTCCTAATAATGTTTAAACTTAGAAATTTTTCTACGTAGTAACATTCTAGTATCGAGACTTATTCGAAGAGAAGAGTATTTTTTCAAAGTATTTTTAGGTCTTGGAAAAGTTGGAAAAATATTAGACAATAGAAAAACACTAGGAGAAGATGGGCCTTAGTTTAATTTTAAGATCGCGAAGGATTATTTTTCTGTTAAGAAGGAGGAGTTTCGATTTTTATTAATGTCGTGAGAGAATTAGAATTTTAACATTAACGATATAAATTAAATTATCATTACTTACCATCTCTGGACATCCCAAGCCGTAGGCACTTTTGAAGCCGGCAATATTGACACCGATTTCGATTAACGCGATCTACCACACAATTTTTATTTCTTGGACACTGATAGTTGACAACTGATGATTGAGATCTTCTGAAAAAGCCTTTGCAACCCTCGCATGTGATTACACCATAGTGAACGCCACTGCTTTTGTCTCCGCAAACCTTGCAGGGGATTATTTCTATCTGGGCTGTAATAATTCAAGAAAAAAATAAATATTAAAATCAGTTTTAAATGAGTAATAAATAAAAAAAATATTAATTATTTATATTTATCTTAGACTCTTTCATAATCATATAATCTAATAATTCAAGAAATTTTATTCACTTATTTTTCTACATAAGCATAAAATTTTCTGGATTAAATAAAAAATGTATTACTCATTATATTCTTTATCGTTTCTGCTTGGAATACATATTCAAACGGCTTTATCAATGACATCAGATGAAGTGCGTTCATGTGAAGAACTGATACGATAATACATCAAGTGACTATCGATTACGCAACCATTTTTACGTCGTAACTTACACATTTACATACTTATGTACTTGCGTGAGTGCAAAGTCGTGCGAATTTATTGTTGGCAATTATTTAAATAAATGACATGTTTATGGTACTCATTTTTAAAATAATTATATTAAACTAAAAGATATTTTTTCTTTACGGCATATCTCAAGTAAAGAGTGAATTGTCGATAATAAAGTCTACCTCGAATAGAATTTGCTTGGACTCTACGGTCATCTAACACGTCGTTACTTGAAGATCCACTCGTTTGAATCGGCGATCGTGTTCTCGCCTCTGGAGGCTGAGGACTCGTGCTGTCGGCGCCCCAGGTCGACGTTTCAAACACCGATAAATTTCCCTCCATTTACACTGTGCTTTATCACGATGTCGTTGCATTCGCGCACGATTCTTTCTTACTTCCATGCAACTACTATTTATTTTTTACTTCACACGTAAATTTAACTTTGAGAAATAATCTCAAGTATTAAAGTTCGTATTTTATGTTTTTTTTTCCAGCGGTATATTTCTTAATAGAAACAAACTTTTATTTACATTAAATTGTTTTGAATAAAAAATAGTTGTTTGTTTTTTTGTAATTTGTCAAGAGTAAAATTTTTTAAAAATATTAATTGGAATTAGGGTGATTGGGAATGATTTTAATTATCAGGTGATTTAAGACAATGCAATTTACTTTGATATCTTTTTTTGCCGGTCATTTGGACAGCGCCGCTCTTAGTAGCGTCGAGGCGCTTGCACCACATAGTCAAACATTACATAACTGAGAACGATGAACCCAAAGTACAGTCACTCAACATATAAGCATCTTCTCGCGTTATCTTATATCATATTACGATGCCTGCAACTGCAGATACCATTTTCTTCCAAAATTACGTTGATTTTTATTTTAATGATTATCGTTTTATAATCAGCCTTATTTATTCATTAATTATCGAAATATTTAATCTTGATAATCAACATTATTTATCCATTAACAATCAAACTGTATCAATCTATATATCAGTAAGCTCTTGAAGTCAATCTTCAGATGAGAAAAAATGATGTGTTTTTTAAACAAAATTCTTTTCGACTAAAATTCACTTTATCTAATTTATCTTTCAAGTACTTCAATGAGGCTGATTTATTTTTTATCGAGGACTATTTTGATTATTTTACCCACAATGATTTTACATTAAATTTGTCCTAAATAGAAAATTTCATCATTTTTATTTTAAAAATTCTTCTCACACTTCACAATCAACATATGTATGTATGTAGATATCAAACTTTTTTTTTCCATCACTCAAACTATGTCTATCATCATAAAAAAGAAATGTAATGGCAGAAAAAATGTATTCTTCATTACTAATTGAATACACAATGATTCCTTTTTACTTTATTTAACTTAACGTAAGATCTTTTTTAACTTTACGATAATAGTTAAATTAACGCGTTGTAAATATGTTCACGTGTTCATTTCTTATTGTTCTGTCGACATTCCACATGTTTACTCGTCACTTTTTGAACTTGATTATCAAGAAGTTAATGAACTCGTGCTGTTTTTAACATTTTTTTCTTTCATACTGTTTAATAATAACAACATCAGTTGAATGAATTTATTAACACCACACTGTATTAAAACTCTTTATGACGAAAATTAATAGGAATTAACGAGTATTCAAAGTTGTCAAAAAATCCATGAACTTGCTAAGAGAGTTTGGAATCGGCACTTTCAAACTCCCGCACGCTTATACACTCTATCACGTATTTATGTATACATATATATACTTTGGTCGATCATGAATATACACATGGACACACGACATCTCTTCCTGTATCCTTCTTTCCTACTCTCCTCTTCCCCTACATACACACATATACACAAACGCATACACATACAACTTATACCCTCCCTTCTTTTATTTCATTTTGTTTTATACGAGGACACAGTACTAGGAGAATATTAGCCACTAAGTGTCCAAAGAAATCACACAATACATTCTTATAGTTCACAAATCTAAAGTATGTAATTGAGAAACAAAAAAAAAAACAATCCGAAGACAGAGAAGTCAGCTTGCCAGCACACTTGTACCGAAATCGAAAAGAACAAGAGGAAGTGAAAACGAAGAAGAGATAACAATGAGTTATATTAACAATCCTAATAATAGTAATTATAATATCAATCAACAATGATAATAATAAAAATTAATTATAAAAAAGTGTAGTGATTGAATTTTAAAGCACAAATTAGGGAAATAATTTGTAATCTCTTATGTTTCTCTTCCTCCTGTTTTCTTTCATCAATTATTATTATTTCGAATGTTTTTCTTTTCAAGTCTATTCAACATAATTATTTCATAATTTATTCCGAATCCCGTAATCGTCGATCAACGGACGACGTCGTCGCGACGCGATTTCCGGGTTGTACACCCAAAGAATTATCATTCGTTTTTTAATGTCAATCGGTTTGTCACACCTCGCACTGATGATGTCGATACCACCTCTAACACACACGTCCTCCAGCACCACAACGACGACGACGACGACGATGTACGGGCGCATGAAAAATTTTTCGAGCTTTGACGATGAACCAACGAGAAGAGAGGTGTTTTTGGGGATCGCCAAAGCAAGCCTGGCATCTCACAATATGTCAGGAACCCCCACCATACCGCCGACACTGTGGCGGGTCACTGAACTGTGCTCCACCGCCGATGATGGCCGAGTGCCTCGCCTCACCCTCCCCCCGCTTCCGCACCCTTTCGCCGCTGCCATTTCCACTCTCTCCCAACGGACAACACTCCCCTCTTAAGTGTCAAGTGATACTCGTCGGAAATAACCGACACACCACGGCTCTTTCCGAATGTTTCAACGCGCATTTTCAAATTTTTGTTACACATCTCTATTAAAATTATGTACCTATTAATTACTTATAATTAAAATAATTTTTTTTGAATTGATAAAAAATATTTTTATTAACATTTTTCAGGGAATAATTACTTTCAATAAGTTGTACAATATTATGAGTTTTTTTGTTTTTAATTATTTTGATTAAAAAGCAATCAAAACTCATTATTCACTGGTAATAAAAAAATTAAATAACTTTTCCTCTTTAATTAAAAGTTTTTTTTATTAATAAAATTATTTTCCAACAACTCTAAAATAAATTTTTTATTGTCATTAATGTTTACATAATTGTTTATAAGTCGTTTAGATAAGCTTTACAATTGTTGTCATATTTTTTCTTTCAATTTACAATCGATATTTATTAATAGAAGCTTTGTACTTATTTTTATCCTTAGGAATTGAATGAACATCTTGATAATTACTGATAATCCATGTTGATACATTACACCAGACAGATAATTAAAAAATAATAACGGTGATAAAAGAGAAAGAGATAAAGAAGAAATCTATCAAGTGTAGGAAACTGCATCACCCATCGGGTATGTGTCATTCTAACCGCGAGATTGTTATGAGCTTACGTCCAGTGGTTACAGACATCCTAGGTCTGACGTTTTTTTTTCGGCTTGGTAATGATGTAATTATTGAATCATACTTTCAGTATGTCGTTATAATCAGTTGACTTGGAACTCATTCATTGAGTGAATGAATTAATAAATTATATTTTTCAAACGAGGAAAAGTTTCATTGAAGAAATGAAATTGAGAAAAATAAAATTGACATCAATTAAAAAGATATCATAACTGTATCAAATATGTATTGATTTATTATTTTATTTTCATTCATCAGATGCTTGACGAATGACTTACTTTTATTCCATCATACTGTCACACTTAATTCCATTCTATTCGGTTACCACGTCCTTGTAGAGATCGTAGAACTCCTCTCTCTCTCTTTTTCTTACTCTCATCGTCTCATTCTTGATACTCCTCGTGTTTTCGCCCCACTGAGAGTTGTTCCTTCGCATTTGTTGCATAACCGGCGCGCAACACGAGGTTGCCAACCTGCGCGCCGCGTAATACTCTATAAATACCACCACAAATAAATAATTGTACAGCAGCGGTTTAACTATAAGACTGCAACGTTACGTCGCGTGCAATCAAGCCAATGGAAAATCGAACTTATCTTAAAATCGTGGAAACCGGTGGTTTGACATTGGATCTACTGGAATAGATTCGATATATCATTCAATTTCTCAACGTCTACTGTCATTTGAATATTTAATTAACGTGTGGGAATTCCGTTAAAAATTTTACTCAACGAAAATATTCTATTAAGGATAATTTAATATATTTTATGATGAAATGCAATCAACATTCTTGAATACTTTTCAAGGCTTTATTATAGTCACTAATTATTGTTGTTGTAATGAAAGTTTATATTTCCAATTCTCATCTGAGAAAATAAATAAATAATCATAGTTGAAAGATAGATATTTGAAATAAAAATTAAAATAATTTTGAAAAAAATTCTTCGATGGATTAAAGTAGTTTCTGAAGATGAATTTGGCATGCCAATATTTCGGCTTTATTTAGACGAATATTTTGTTTTTTATGTTTAGATATTATTGAATGTATGTATAGATACTTTTTTAATAAAGGCGTTGAATAAATTTTATTTAGTGTACATGTTACATAGCTCACGATGTAAACAGACAACAGTCGGCACAAGTCGCGAATCAAATGTAGGTCAGGCCTGAGGACTTCGAGTCTTCGATCCGAGTAGGTA